AACAAAGGATACGCTAGACTTGACTTTCCTTCACTTTAGATTTTGGACTTGAATTTATAACATGAGGCCTGGGAACTCTCAAACACAAATTAACGTGACATTCACTAGAGTACTTAACAGAAATAGTTACAAAATCTGTTTTGGAGAGGCCCATCCTCAAACCTGGTGGTAATGGTTTCCAGCACAGGGAACTGGCACTATTGCAGTCATCGAGGGTTGGGAACCAGCAGATTAAAGATAACTCTCTTTTCATTTCCCTCTCTCTTTCAGTAACTGCGACTTTTTGATAAACAAATATTTTTTTTTTCCATTCGAAATCCCCTGCCAGAGTGAACCCAAAATTCAAGATGAGAACAAAATTCAATACACCTTAAATGAAAACAGCAAACACAACAAGCAGTGGAATTAAAACCAAACTCCCAATCACTAAAGAAATTAAAACAATATCATTCCTAAACAATTTAAAAATAAATACACAAATGATGAAGATACATACTGGAATTAAAAGGCATGAGAAATCAACTTCATTGATATTACTATGTAGTGCACTATAGCCTTACATTATACTGTAAAATGCAAATGATGTGATAGTTCCTAAAATGCAGCAAACTACAGAAGGTGTTGGTATTCTACCTTGAAGTTGATGCTAGGGTGTTGACAGATTCTTTAGCTGAGGAAACGTTAATTCTTTTGGTACATTCATTATATAATATAAATCAATGTCATCCAAGAAACTTGTAAAGCAATGTCTGGATAAATGTAAACACATTAATTTCTGGAGATGAGCTTTACATTGAAATAATCAGATATTGCTTATCAGACATAATCATGTCCTTATTCATGAAAACTGAGAGATGCCCTTAATAAATAAATTTATATGAACTTCCCGGAAAATGGCAACACATATTATGAAAACATAAATAGAAAACAGCAAATTTTCTCATGTGGCATAGCTTTTGAATGATAGACACATGTTTTAAAATTGCATGTTTTAAAATTTTAAACACATGGCTTTAAATTTCTGTTTATTATTCCTTTCCCACCAAATTTTAGAACTGTTGCAAATGACTACCAAGAGTTGAGAAGAGAATAATGTTTACTATAGACAGTCAGAGTGCTAAAAAATCGGCCTTAAGATATGAGGTGCCTTTTACTGGTTTAAGACAACATAAACTTTGGATAAATTCCCTGAAATGTGCTAGGTTTAGTAAAGCAAGTGTAGGGTAATTGTATTTTGCTGGTAGAACATAATATTATGGAAGACGAATGTTTTCTGATTTAGATTTGATCTCAAGTAATGAAAAATTAGTGTTGTATAAATCACAAAAAATAAAATTTGATGAAGATGATGAATTTGATTAAATATATCCCTTTATTATTATGGAGCTATATACTCAAATGTTCTCATTTTTAATGTAGTATGTTGAAGCCAATAGGCTGTGAGGTTTCAACTTTCCAGAGATCATATTCCATGTGGGAAAATGTGCAGCACCTTTGTAGCTGAAAGGGAACTGTTTATTGCTTGCATTATGTAGTTGCCACCAACCTCTTATGAACTTAATATCTTTTCATAAGCTGGTGGCTGACTCATTTTTTTTGCCAAACTTCTTTTGTCAGGGTAGAATAAAATATAAAAGCTGTCAACTAAATTTTGACACTAATAATTCCATCTGGTAACAGCCAGAAATTCCTTTTGTTGTTGTTGTCGCTTTGGGTCTAATCTTTCATTTAAACTTTCTGTCCTACTATAGCTATTCATAGAAGTCTGTAGCTTATTTTCATGCTGACTCCCATTGCAAGTAATGAGTATATAATGTAGTTGAGAAAGAATTTGGGATTTCTGTTATTGCTTTCTTTGCATTATTCATTCTCTTTTTCTAGTCTCTTACCTACTATGAGCCAGGATAGACAAGCAGCAAAGAGAAGGCATTCTTTAAACCTTTAATGCAAAAAAGAAATGGCCTTGCTGAGCCTCCGTCAGACGATTTCTGTTATTTAGTAGAAAAAAGGTAAAGCTTTAAAATGATAAATTCATGTTTTCCCATGACTTTCTATTTCTGGTTCTTGTTCCTTTCTCACAAAGATTTTGGACTGCAAATGACTGCCAGGAGTTGAGAACAGTGGTTACTAAATACTGGGAAGAATAGAAAATGAAGAGGGCCAGGGAAACACTGGACAATGGATAGCACAATGCAGTTAGGTGGGACAAATAAGTTCATGCATTTTATTTCACAGAGGGGTTGTCTTAGAAAATGATACTGATTGTGTATTTTTAAAAGTTAGAAAAAGGATTTTGAATGTTTCAGCCATAAAGAAACGATGGAAGAGGAGATAGTTACACTTACTCTGACTAGCATTACACAATGCATACAAGTTTCAAAACCTTACATGATGTCACATAACCATGTACAATCTTAGACGTTAATTAACAATTTAAAAAGTGTTATTAAAATATTTTGTTGTATCATAATATTTAACTCTAATTTAAAAAGATTTATTTTATTTATTTGGAAGACAGAATTAGAGAGAGAGAGGAAGACAAAAAGAGTTCTTCAATTCACTGTTTCATTCCCTCATCCCCCAAAACCCACACTAGGATCCTGAAACTCCATTAGCATTTCCCACCAAGTTGGTAACTGGGTCCATCTTCTACCATTTTTCCTGGTACATTTTCAGGAAGCTGGATTGGATGTGGAACAATTGGGACTTGAACTTTCCACATATTGGATACTGGCATCACAGCAGGTGGCTTAATTCAATGCGCCACAATGTTGGCCCCTGACTAGGATTTTTATTTAAGATTTTTTTTCACATGTGTGTCACAAGAGGTTAGTGGATTTTTTTTTTAAATCTAGATTTATTTATTTGAAAGGCAGAGTTGCATTCATAGAGAAAGGGAAGGGCAGAGAGGGAGACACACGCGCACACACACACAGAGAAGGACAGAAAGGGAGAGATTTTCCATCTGCTAGTTTACTCTCCAAGTGGGTCTCTAACAGCCAATACTGCCCCAGGCTAAAGCTGGAAGCACAGAACTCCACCCTGGTCTCCGATGTGGGTGGCAGTGGTTCAAGGACTTACACTATCTTCCACTACTTTCACAGGCACATTAGCAGAGAGCTGGTTCGGAAGTGAAGCATATGTGTTTTTGGAACAATACATAGAATATAACCATAAATAATTAACTACTTGTAATTATGTGATCGATTAATTCAAGAGTAATAGACTTTCAATAAATATTATGAAACACATATTATGCTGAGGTGTTTTAAACCTATGCATTGAAAATTCGAAATGAGTATGTGTGCATGTACTTGTGTATCTATAAACATACATGTCCCTACTTTGTTATTTTAGTGAAATTCATGAATGTTTTCAGGTTCAGGCACTTTTCCTTTTGAGGCAAACATCTTCTGTTGGATCACGGAATTAGCTATTATTTATGCATCAGAAAGGAAATAAAAGCACATAGAGTAAAAGCAAATGATCATAAATGGGAACTTTTATATAATAAGTAATAGGGTGCCCAACGTGTTAGGATATCAATGATACTTCACAGACAAGATTGAGAAGTCATTGTAGAGGCAGAATCAAGAATATGATAAGCTGCCGTGCTTTCTCTGTGTGTCTGCTTCATATTCTGGTTCCTGAATAGGAGGCATTCCTTGCTATTGTATCCTCACCTGTCAAGTGACTGCAGCGAGAGGGCAGGTAGCTCAGAGGATCTGTTGCAGGAGTCGTGCACCAATTGTATTAGCATTGCTTTCACTCCTTTGTGAGACTCACATCATCCCTTGGAGTTCATTCTGAAATAGTAGAGCTTTTCTCTATTGCCTCCAGAGAAGAGTGCTTCTACCACCGGAATAAAAAGTCTGTCTTTGCTGTCCGATTAGGTGTTTGTCATAGAGGATAAAAAAAATGGGATGTGGAAGAAAAGTTTTGAGGAATAGGTAAGTTATTTAATTTTATCTCTAAAGTCATGTATTCAAATTATTTTTTTTAAGTTTTAAATAAGTTCCCCTTTTGCTTCAAAATGCTTAACAAAAATATCTGTGGGTACAAGAACATGTCAAGTTACACTACACTGCAATGGGACTTGAATTGAAAATATATGCACATAGTTTAGTTTACTCTTTAATTTTAAGGTTTATCTTATTTATTTAAAATGCACACACACACGCACACACACACACAGAGATAGATAAATAGAGACAGAGAGAGAGTGAGAGGTTTATCTTTACTGGGTCAATCTACAAGTGCTGGCAACAGGCAAGCCTGGGTCAGGCTGAAGCCAGGAGCTAGGAACTCTGGCTCTGAACACGGATAGCAGAGACTCAACTGCTTGAACTACCATCGGTTGCCTTCCAGGATATGCGTTAGCAAAGAAGCTGGATTGGAAATGGGGCCAGGATTTGATCTGATGCACTGTTGTGGAATGCGGGTGCCCCAAGCCCGAGTTACGTGCTGTACCACATTGTCTGACCCTAATATTTAGTTCTTAAAGAAATATATAGGGACACATATAAGGATTCTAGGAAAGATCAATATGATTTCATTTTAACTCTTTTAGAGGACAGCAATTATTTTATGAATAAATTTCTTAAGTAGAGAATAAATCACCAATTAGGAATAACGATTGTGTCTTAAGACATCAGGAGATATCGTTAGAAATCCATTTTTTACGCTACTGATTTTAGAAGATAGAAAAGGCTATTATAGGCTAAAAGGATCTATAATATGCAGGAATGGGCTAGGGTGTAACTAATACGGATCAGGTAAGACCTGCCATGCATCACTAATGAGATTTTCAGTCAAAGGCTGGCCTGCACATTCAAAGCTTTAGATTCTGTGTGTGGTTAGAAAGGCTGGAGTTGTTTTTTTTTTTTGACTTGTTTTATTATATAATTACATTTAGTAGAATTAGAGCACACGTAGAAATACCCGTCCCTCTGAGATGACATCTTAGTAAAGAGCAGCAATTTGTTTACGTTTTAGGGAGAAAGGCGACACTGAAATGAACTTCGCGAGAAAGCTCCAGTTAATGATCCCTTGGGATAGATTGTTGCTTCACATACTGCTGTTTTCATTACAAGGTAAGAATGCAAATCTATGCCTGATTATACTTAGTATCTGAGATTATCCTGCTTTGGTACTGATAGGTTCCTCATACTGTAAAGCATTTTGAACTCATGAAAATGGGTCTGTGCTAAATGACACTGGGATCATCCCTTTGAAAATTCTGAATGATATAGATTATGTGGAGCTGTAAGTTTTTATCTTTGGAGTCTGAAAATATACCAAGTTAAGGTCATGCTTTTATTATGATATGAAATTGTATGGGAAGAAACTCTGATTCTTTTTCTTTTACATATTGACTATAAAAAGTTGTCTATGTAAAATTTACACGTTTAAACGTTTTAACAACAAACAATCCAAAGAATGATAAAAGGGTGTTTTAAAATTGGGCTAAGAATTAATTTCTAATTACTTCATGAAACTTTTATTTATAAAAGAATTTTTAAAATAGTGCTCATGAGGAAATATTTATATTCAGTTATTAATTTTTAATCTCTCAAAGGGCTTTATGCTTCTTAGTTTTTAGGGGAAATGAGAAAAATTACTGAACTATAAAAGACTGAAGCAATTGCAGACATGATCTTCTCATCTTAATAGTGACAGAAACCTCAAGGTGAAAGATGCCGTAGGATTCAGAGATCTGGTGGCAATTGTGGAGATTGACCCGTCCAACATCGTCATTTTGTGATGTGTTGGTGTCTTACCTGATCGTGAAAAACTAAAGGACAGGGCCAGAACTAGAACTTAGGTTTTTCATTTCATTTCCACTGTTTGCTCAATTGCATTGTGTCTCTGTGTCCACTGCCTATTCTGTCTAAATCATCAGTCATTCCAATGTCTCATGGAATTTGTGATCAAAATCCTCCGGAAAAAAATGTAAAATAACTGATAGGTAAATTCAAGCTAACTTGTGGAATTTAGGTTAAGATAATCTGTTAGAGAATCAGAATGTGTGACCAACATATTTGGATAAAATTTTTTCACCATTGTCTATATATCCTTCTCTCTCATAGGATACATTCATGCATCGGTTATCGTAACAAGGGCAACACAGTGAGTATTTCTTGCTCTTGTGAAGTCCTCTGACTTATAAATTTAATGGGTGTGACAAAACTTAGCATATTGCTGTATCTCTTTTGTAAAAAAAAAACTAAAATATTTTACCAGAAAATTGCCTGAAATGCAGTTCTTGAAAGCATTCCCACAGATTAGGAATCATCAGAAATCCATTTCCATATTCATAATGCAGGAATATTTTCTTTCATTTTTGTTTATAAAGAATTCTTGCTGATGTTCACTGAGTGTAGTCCTTAGAGAGCTACTATTTTCCCTTTAAGGATCTGTAACTAAGTTATATTTAGTATTGTCCCCTTTGTATTATTATTAGTTCATGTTATTTGTTATACAATGCTACATTTTTATTATAGAGTAAAACAGTTATTAACGATAAATTAATACAATGGTTCTAACTATAAATAATGAAAATCAATTTTTTGGTTTAAAGTGATTTGCTTGAAAAAACATAGACATCTGCTTTTTCACCATTAGGTATTTTTAAAACTTTTGCTGATAAATATAAGTAAAAGCATAAAGCACCGTAAAGCAATGTACATCTTAGTAAATACAAACTGATTTCTGACACTCTTACTTTAGTGTTAGTCCACTCTTTATGAGATGGAGTAGGAGAGAATTAAATATTGTGCTTTCAAAAAAGCAAGCTTGCTTTAGACAAATGTTGACCTTACTAGATTTATGAAGTCATGTGGAGAAAATATTTTGCTGGTTGTTGCTACAGCGTTACACTATTTTGTTTATTTCTCCATCTCAAAGTTCTTTCCTAAAATCCAGTTTCCATCAGAGGCTGGAGAGATTGGGAACATTCCTGAATTTTGTAAAATGAGACAGCAATATCCCTCAAATCTACCCTTCCAGAAAGGGGAGGGGGACATTTTAAATGTTAAACCAAGAAAGACCTCTTTGATGAAGTGATGGAAATCAAGGGGAAAACACCAGCTGTCTCTTGGGAAAGACTTGTTCAGGTTGCCCAGGGGCCTTTGACTATACAAGTTCTTTTTGTTTTCTTCCAGAAACGGGTTTAATGAAAATCAGCAGAAAAGAGCTCTTTTAACAGCACAGGTAGGTTGTGCTTTTGCAGGAGAGGGAGGCTGAGAACCAATCCATCCTGCCTTGGGCTGTGCTGTCACTGCCACAATGAGGCCTTTGTGGAGGGAAATAGAATGCCAACCAGACAGGAAGCACAAGGAAGAGGCAAAGTGACTTCTCTCCTGCCTTCCTGGGACCCTCAGAGCCATGCGCAGTCCACATGGGCTTGTTCCAAATGAAATGCTTCCTTAGCTAATTTTCTGTTACCGCTAGGATAAAAGCCTTTTTTTTTTTTAAGTAATGAAATCTCATTCATTTTCCTGGAAATTGGAATCAGTTTAAAAGTTAAGCACAGGATCTGGGTGACGGTGGCAGGACAAATAAATGCAAAAGGAACAAAGAAAAGTGAAAATTATGTCAGCAATATACTGTCTGTGGACATCAGATATATTGTGGTGTCCTGAGATAGTTTTCGCATTGTCTGATAAATCTAAATTATGGATTTCTCTGTGGGGAAAAGAACCTTTCTTCACCCTCTCACTCCTGAGAGCAAGGGCAACCCTGAATTTGAGGGAACATTTTTGTGAGTCTCTTCAGAGAAAGGATATTGTATAGAATCGTTCAATACCTTTAAATTATAGTTGGACTAATCCAATGGATGAGTTGTAATAAAGCATTCCTTTACAAAAGATGGATGGTAGAGAATCCTGAGTAAAGATATTTCTGGACTAAGTAATATGATTTGGGTGTTGATACAGCAAGCTAGTTAAACATTCAAGGAAGACTTTGTCCTAGCTCAATTGGACTGAGCTAGAGTCACAGACAGGTCATTTATTTGGGAAATGTGCAACTGAGGCAGGGAAACCTGCAAGATGGGGAAGAGGGAAAACCCAATGCACCATGTGTTTATGAAGGGCTGGCTTCCTGCTGTGGACGTCTGGTTTTCTTGGGGGCCCTCTGAGAGGTTGTACAGAATGTATCCTAAAATCATTTCTTCAAGGACTTGGGAAGATGAGGATCTTTACCCATGAATTCCTTTACCTCAGTGGTAGAGAGCAGCTCCTGGTGGGTGCAAGGTTCAAATCTGATAGCCTTCCTATGTAGTCTATGCTGCTTGGGCACTGCCCTTGGACAGGGACAGAGAGAAGCTGGTGCTTGATGTTGGAGACACTGAGGCAGAATAGAAACCCACGAGGGAGCAGAAGGGAGGATGAGAAGAAGGAAGTGGGGACTTGGAGTAAAGAAGGGATATGACTTGTCACAGTCAGGTACAGTACAAAACCCAGGATGACGCCTTATCACCTCAACCCAGCCACAATCACCTCAAGACATATGAAGTCAGTGCTTGAAAATGCCTGTGCTTGTACCTACTTAATAATAGAATTGAATTAAGTAATTTAACTATCTTGTTTCTTTCAAAGTTGGAAGCAACTTCCCCGAGATATTATTTTCATGAAGCTATTAACTGGGGTGAGAGCAAAATAAAAGGTTGGTGCTTGTATTATGATTTTGTTACTTGTTTTCTCAAAAGATCTCTTTGGGTGTAGTATCAACTCTTTGTTACTTCATTTTGCTGTTTGAGGGAAACTGACTCAGACTGATAACAATGCCAATAAGTTAAGTTTTCATCCTATAAAAATTTGGATTACTTTTGGAAATATTGATGGTTAAACATTTAGACAGAGCTAATCATTGTGTGTGGTCGGAAACTTTTTGCTGAAACAATTGTTTCTTGATTCCTTCACATTTCTATTTTTATATATTGATTTTCCATTTCCAGAATGTTGATAGTAGTTTAAAATTTAATTTGGGTGGTAACTTACTTAAATAGTCTGCCATTTACTTATTGGAAAATTATATACTGTAATCTAAGAGAATCTTTAAGAAAGATGTGCTCCCTCAGGATGAAAACAACATTTGTGTTTGTAAAAAATATCATTTTCATCTAGAATAATGGTTTAAGACAGTTAGCTTTTTTCCCCCTCTCAAGATGTGCTTAGAGATTCATATGTTTTTAAATGTGAAGAGACACTTTTGATCAATGGATCTTAAGGTGGGAAAGGAATAAGATTTCTACTTCTTGCCTTTAGTAGAACTGTGAATAAATTATACAGTTTAGTGTCTTTCTTGTACTTGACATACTCCAGAGAGTCCCAGCTTCTTTAATAATGCTTTAAGGTGACTCAGACAAATTCTCTAGATCTCCTGTTGTCCTACCTAAATCCTTCCTACTTGAGTTTTGCCAGTTACCTACCTCTCCTCTTTCACGAAGAGGAATTTTTCACTGTGATTCATTTGCATTCTGAAAACTCATTCAGGAGATCATGACAATGTTAGGATTAGATTTCATATTTACTTGCTTCCTCCTTTTAACATAATCTATGGAGGCACTTTTCCTTTCTATGATTTTTTTTTTTTTTTTGGTGATACCTAACAGTGATTTTGACTTCTACCTCATAAAAATTAACCATGAGTTCTGAAGAATGAGTCATTTTTCATTCAGCCTGAGGATGAATTTACAAACTTCCAATGAAGTATTAAGTCATTTTCTTCAAATCAGCTGCCTATGCCTGCCTATGCTGATTTCTGTCTGAGTTTCATACTTTGCTCCCTGGGGTTGCTGGTGGATATGCTCGCCTTCAGCACAGTGCCTGCTCCTGGGGGAGGAGCTGATTGGCTGTGTAGTGGGCGCCTGACTCTGCCCAGGGCCTCCGCTGCAGCTGTGTGTTTCTGGTTCTCATCATCTGGGACAGAGATTCCTTACATGGGAACTTGACCTTTCAGTTGCTTGAAGGAGCCTAACCTTTGCTCTCTAAGCAGTTTGAGATGTGAGAGCCTGTCTTTCCTGCTTCACAGCACACATAATGAAACCAACTCGACAAAGCCTTGAAGGGTTTAATTCCTTAGCCCATCAAGGCAAGAGGCCCAAGGCTCTGTTTAAGATAATAGTGGATACAGTTAGTCCAAGCTAGATCGTGACATGCTCTGTTTATAAGAGCTGATGCGTGCCAGAAGATAATATTGTTTTCCCTTTCAGGTTCTTGTCCTCAAGAATGCCTTAACGGAGCTTTCTGTTCTAAGTCTGGTACATGTGACTGTCAAATATTTCAGGCTCTTGGGACAAGGTGCCAGATTGGTAAGTTTAAGGGATACTTAGGAGAGAATTATGAGGTCCCAAAGAGAATATAAAAAAATAATTTACTATAGTGGTGTTCCTCCACTAGGAGTTTGGAAAACCATATTATATAATAATTAGACAGCCCACAGTTCATTTTCCAGTAATATGACTCTAGAAAGAATGTAAAAAAAAATTAGGTGTTCCCACTTCTATTTTGACTGATCACTATTATTTCCACAAGGTTTTTTTCTACTTTGTATAATACCAGTTCCTTCAGACAAGATTCTCACTCATCCCTTTTTTTGCTTTAGAAGTTAGATTCGTTATTTAAAGTTACATGTTCTTTTTGACTCTGAATTAATTGGATATTCTATATAAAAGATAGCAATTGTATGGAGAATTCTTACAGGGCTGAGGATCTTTAAAAATACTTTTAAATCTACCGTTTCTAAGATATGTTCTCACATCAGTAATGATCAATAAATATCTACTAAGTAAGCATCTATTTAATAATAAGTAATAATAATGAATAAATATTCACTGACATCTACTAGATCCTGAACAAGGTGTAACAAAAATGTTACTGCTTTCCCAGAAGCCAACACATAGGAGATGATATATAATAATTAACCTTGTGGTAAGTATATAAAATAAGCATGATATATTATGAAAATACGCAGCATAGAGATAAGGCATACTGTCAGGAAAGGCTGCCCAAATAAAGTATCACTGTGTGTTTTTCTAAAAAAGGCAACGTTAAAAAAAAAGTTGGTAAATTTAAGTAAAAGTTACCAAGAATAATAGACAAATATATCTCTTCCATTTATGCTTTTCACAAATGTGTCAAAACATTTTACACATATTGAGTGTTCGATAAGTGTTATTTACACCCATATTCTTCTAAAGGGGAGGGTTAAGAAAATGAAAAATTGAGTACAAGCTTGTCTACATGATTAAGAAAGGAGGTAGGATATGAATAGCGGATGAAATTGTTTAATGTAAGATGAACACTGTGTGAGATCTGGCTCGTTCAAAGTCATGAATTCTTATTTTCCAGCTAATGTACTCTACTACCACATCCCAGATGGGGCATAATCTTTAACAACCAGTTCTTATTTTTCTGCCTGGATGGCATAAAGATAATTTTGAGAGAATTATGGATATCGTGCTACCTATGCTGATTTATTAGACAGTGAAAGTACTTCCTCCTGTTCTGTGCCACTTTTCTTGCCTTAGCATTATCAGTTTTTCTATTTTTTTTTTTTTTTTTGCTGTTTCCTTTTTTCTTTCTTGCCAGAATCTTCTTTTGGAAGGAAAATTAGGGAACAATCTTAACACAAATCCTTTCTTGTAAACAAGTTGGGGATATTACCCCTGTACATGCTCCCCCACTCCACTCCAGGGAAGTTTGAAAGTTTTAGGTGCTATTGGTAATTATACATTAGTTATTTATTCCTATGACACAGCTCATAAAAGACAATATTTGTCCCAATTGGAATCATTTATCATGACTACACACTGCTAGGAAAAGTTGTAGCATTTTATCCTACTAAACATTATCCTATTTATTTTCAGTCCCAAACATGGGCAATGCCAGAGATGGGATTTGCAAAACCTGGGGACAGTACCACTTTGAAACATTTGATGGCATCTACTACTACTTCCCAGGAAACTGTTCTTATATTTTGGCTAAAGACTGTGGTAATTTGGAGCCCCAATACACTGTCTGGGTAGGTGATCTTCAGATATAATAAATTTAAAAATCATTTCTAGAAAATGTGTTTTTAAAAAATATTGGAGAGTGATAGAAAATGTAGACCAATGCTTACAGTTTGGGGAAAGACAATTGTTGTTTCTGAATGGAGTAGACAAGATCTATGAGGACACAGTATAATTCTGTTGATACTGAATCAGGGGCTGGGACAAATAGGGTTTGAGTTCAAGTGGGAAGGACTAAGGGACAGATGGGTTCTTGTTGAAATGAGAAAGTCAGGGATTTCTTTCCTTACTAATCTCCCCTGATTTTTTTTTTATATCTCTAAGCCAGACCATGAAACTAGTTGTATTGTCTCATTTAAAAGCTGAAAAGCTCACATAGCCAAAATGTGTTTCAATCTCTGTTATTTTTATTATCCTATGTTGCATTTCCTGAATTCTCCTGTTTTAGATGGCACAAGTATTAAAAGCAGGCCCTGAAATAATTCTTCAGGGATCTGGGACTATCATCCAGAAATCACCTGAGGGATAGTGAATGAACTCATGGGGGCATTAAGGTGGCACAACTCTTTAGATAGGAAGTTTAATTGGATGCCTCCTCAATGCTTTAGGCTGCTGTCCTCAATTCTCATCCTTTGCTTTAGCTCCACTCACTTGCTAGTTTGGTCACTGAAACATCTTTGTTTTTTAATGAAATTTCCTTTCCAGTATCTCACTCTTTAGAGAATAAAAATATCTGCAAGGTAAGTGATCTTTTGATGATAACAAATGATGTTGAACTCTGCTGTCAGAGCGTTAGGAGATGCCGTTACTACTTCATTTGCTTTTGGTTGGTGGATTTTTTGTTCAAGAAAATAAGTTGATTTATCTGAATTGTCATCTTTCCCCATGATTATGCAAAGAAGTTCAATTATTTTGTTTTGCAGAAATCTAATATTAGAATTATTAGTCACTGGGACTGCATCATGGTTCGGTGGGTTAGTCTATCACCTGCAATGCTAGTACCCCATATGAGCTCTGATGTGAGTCTGCTTCTGATTCAGCTGCCTGCTAATGTGCCTGGGAAGGCAGCAGAATAGGGCCTAAGTGCATGAGCTCCTGGACTTACATGGAAAACTGTATGGAGTTCTGGCTCTTGGCTTGGGCTGGCAACCCATTGCCCACATTTGAAAAATGAGCTAGAATCTCTCTCTCTCTTGCTCTCTCTTCCTCTCCCTCTTTCTGTAACCCTTCTTTTTCAAATAGCTAAATGAATATTTTAGGAAAATAAAAATTATTAGCCAGAGTTCCACTGGAGGCAGGTGTTGGCCTGGTGATTAAGATGCATGCACATGATTTTGGAGTACCTAAGTGTACTCTCTAACACTGGCTCCTAACTCCAGTTGTGAGCTAGTGTAGATCCTGGGGAAGAATCAGTAATTGGTCAAGTGACGATTGAGTTCCTTCCATTTAACAAGTGAAGCAGTGGATTAGAACTGTCTCTCTTTGCCCTCCCAATACATATTTTTTTATAAGAATTAACCATAGCTAATAGCTTCATATATTACCCTCTGAATTTTATGCATATTTGTAAGATTGAAATCATACAATAAATATTTTTCTGTTACAGAAAAATCTTTTCCAAATCAAATGATCCTGACATACTAATTTTATTGATTGTATTTATTCCAACTTAGGGATTACTCAAATTATTTAACCATAATTCTATTTTTGGAAATACACATTAAAATCAGCATATTAGAAGATACATTGAAAATGTATTTTATATATTTATAGTATTGATTATTCAGTTTTATTTCTCCACGCAGGCAGAGCCTCACTCCCTGAATTCAGTTATGTGAACTTGTTAAATGATGTTTCCTGGATTCTATGTTCATGTCAAACTAGCCATTATTTCTTTGTTTTTCAGGTATTCACTTTCTTATATATAGAGAACAATAAATTATTTTACTTTTAGTGTTCTTTCTGCTTGTAATACACAGAATTGAGATGCAGATTTTATTTTTTTGTTACAGTGTTAATGCTTTTTTTAAATGGACCCAATTGGTTATGATGATTTCTAAAAAATTATTTTCGGCTACATTTACTTTCCTAGGGTAAATAGTTTTCCCATGTTTAAATTTGCTGCCTATTCTTTATTGCAGCTTTTCCTACTTTCTCTGTAAAACTCAACTTCAAATGGTCAGCCGCGTTAGACTGTCAGTTCCTCTTCTCCCCTGTGAGACTTCCCTTCTTTCTCTCTTGGTTTTCTGCTTCAACCAAGAATTGCTTTCCAGGGCTACTGTATGCGTAGCGCTTGGGAGCTCATTTCACCACATTCTTGGACAAGTTAATTCTTGTTCTTGTATTGATTTTCCCGTTTCTTATATTCCCAGAAAATATAGAAAATATGTAGTGATCATTAAACCTTGTTCATACTTGAGTCTTAGGTTGCAAAAAATATCTTGGGTACTCTGTATGGCTAGTTTTTTTTTTTTTTTTCTGTCTTCATTTAGTCATTTTAGTTGACCATGTGTTGTTTTCATGTTACTTTTTCAGTTCACTCTGATTTATGATCATTTTGCTTTAATCAGAAATTTTTACCAAGGTTCTGAGATTCTATAATAATGTAAATATATACTATATGTATGTATGTATATGTATATATTTTTTCCCCACTATTTGTGCTGATTACTGGATGGGCCCTTTCAAGGTTTTTGTCCTTGGAAATAGTTTTAGAATTCAATTTCTTATCTGTTTTTTCAGAAATGTTGTTATTCCAGTATTATAAGTTCTGAACTGAGTTTTCCCTTAATTTTCTCATTGATCCTTGCCTATTTTCCGTCTTTTCTGTTGTTCAACATTTTGGGAGATTACGTTCCAACTCTTACATATTTTTCATCTAGTCTTCCTGCTTTATCAATGTGTTTATCCTATTATATTGTCAACTTGCTTTTACTTTTTGTTCTTAACTTCATTTTAATGTTTCATAAATGGCATGTTTACACATATCTTTCTAAGGTTATTAATTATATACTTTCAGAAGTTTATTTTCTGATTTATTTTCTGCTTAACTTCATTCCCTTTGTTTATTGCAGATTTTATTCAAATGTCTAATGGTTCATAAGCATTTCACCTTTGAGAGTAAGGATTTGAATGAATTTCCAGCTCACATATATGAATAACAGCTTGTTTGGCTAGTGTGAGATTGAACATGGTTCCTCTTGTTTCATTAGGCAAGTTCATAGATACTAGTATTTGGGTGGTTTTTTTTTTTTCTTTGCATCTTATTTTTGTAAAGAAGAATACCCTATTATCCCACCTATGATTTGAAATCTGAGTTCCTGAATATGGAGAGGCTATTAGATATATTAATTTGTTTGAAATAAATTATATTAGCTTAAGCGACATATTAGTGCTTTCACAGGCACATTAACAGAGAGCTGGATCACAAGTGGAGCAGCCAGGATTTGAACCAGCACCACACCCACGTGGGCTGTCAGCCATGCAGGCAGTAGCTTTACCAGCTAGATCACAATGCCAGCCTCATATCACATATTCTCTATCTAGTTATCAGTTGGTGGACATCTGGGCTGATTCCATAACTTAATTTATGAACTGAGCTGCAATAAACATGGGGATACAGATAACCCTTTCAAATGCCGATTTCACTTCCTTTGAGTAAATTCCTACAAGTGGGATGGCTTGACCATATGCTAGATTTACTTTCAGATCTATGAGCAATTACCATACCATCTTCAACAATGGCTGTACTGGTTTACATTCGCACCAACAGTGTGTAAGAGTACTTTTCCCTCACATCCTCTCCAGAATTTACTTTCTTCTCATTTTTGGATGATAGCCAATCTAACAGGGTGAGGTTTAACTTTATGGTGCTTTTTCAATTCGTGTTTCCATGATGGCTAGTAATCCTGAGCATTTTATCATGTGTCTGGCCATTTGTATTTCATTCATTGAAAGATGCCTGTTCATGTCTCTTGCCCATTTCTTGACTGAACTGTCTTGTTGTTGTTAAGTTTCTTAAGCTTTTTATTGTGCTAATACCAGGCTATTTTGATTATAGCTGCTTTGTAGAATGTCTTGAAAGTTGCTGTTGCCTTCAGCTAGGCCTATTAACACCCAACAAGTAAAAGATTCAGATTATTTTAGAAATATGCTGGAATAATGGTGTTTTTATTGTTGCCCAATTTCTGAACTAAGTATTTGCTTTATAACCCAAATCCTAAATATAAAAGCATGTTATAAAGTGGCACACACTAATGACTCTATAAAACAATGTAATATCCACTGTGGACTTAGTAACCTAAATGTATACCAGTGCTATTCCCACATTTTATTTTCTTTTCTTTTTTTTTTCTCTTTAAGGTTCATAATAGCCCTAGATGCCTTGGTTCAGTATATTCCTGCTATCGGTCTATCAGTTTATTCTTTTCAAACCAAGAAGAAATTAGAATTTATGGCCATGAAATAAAAAAAGATGGGACAAGGTAAGAGATGATAAATGATGCAATAAAAAACACACCACAGATTAATAGAATTTTTAGACCTCTCATCCTGGAATTGGAAAATAAGGGAGGAAAAGCCTTTCTTCTTCAAAATACAATATACTTTCAAAGGATTCCAGAAGTCTTTTCCAGGTCTGTTTGAATGAGGGTTTTGTGTCACTTGATATTTTTACCGAAGCCTTGACAAGTGGTTGGCTTTGAATGGATCAGAGAGGAGCTGCTGCAGTTTCCCCTCTGCCAGGTATGTGGCCTCTGAGTTTTAAAGAAGAGGATGTTTTTCTATCTGGCAGAAGATTTTATATATTTTAGAGTTGGATGTGACTCCACATTATAACCTAAGTAATTATAAATACACTCAATTTTAAATTTTTTAGTGGAATTCTGTTAGAAGTAAAATTTGGCATTGAACAGTTCTATCCACTTGTCACAGTTCATTGTCAGGTATGTTTGAATGGAGGAGGTTCTTTCCAGTGCAGTGGCCTTATTAACCTGTGATGACTTTTCAAGAGGCAGTAGGCGGCATCAGAACGGGTTTTGGACACAGCACTGGGGCTTTGTCACAAACTGGTAACCCTGACTGGCTCCTCTTGGTCTTATTTTCATCAGTTGGGTTCTGTATTATCTTTTCATCTTTCTATTGTCCTTCTTTATTATAAGGTTCAGGATAATCCCAGTTACCCGCCTTTCTTTTTTTTTTTTTTTATAAAAAATGTATATTTTATTCAGTTTAGCTTGAAAGGGACCAAATAATCAAGGAACAAATAACTAAACAAAAACAACCTATAATAAAAACTTAGCATACACAGAATTAATGAAGTGTATTTGTAAAACATGATTCACATTTTTCTCGTATAGTTTTCACAAGTTCGCAAATTCGACACAGGGGTAATTCTACATATCATTTCATACTTATCTTTACTGTGAAGTCTTTATGTTTATAATTGCAAAGAATGATTTATTTGTTTTTATCTGAAAGGCAGATTTACAGAGAGAAAGAAAGAGAAAGAGATTTTCCATCTGCTGTTCACTCCCCTAGTGGCCACTATGGCTGCAGCTGAGCAGATTCAGGGGTAGGAGCTAGCAGCTTCCTCCAGGTCCACAGGGTCCCAAGTCTTTGGGTCATCTTCTACTACTTTCCTAAGCTACAGCAGGGAGTTGGATGAAAACTGGAGCAGCTCGGATATAAACTAGCACGATCCTGGCTCTTGAAGAGGGAGGATTAGCCAGAGAGCCATTATGCCTGGCCATGTGCAATCTTTAATGAGAATGTTGTGGTACTAGTAAACTAGAGTCCATTTGTTCTATCACTTAAAAATTTTGTCTGTTTTTCTCACTTTTATAATTAATTTTCCATAGATTATTTTATGTAAAAAATTTTGTGGCATTGATTATAAACCTTTGGAATTGTTTCTTTGAGGAGTTACCTCTTTACTAGCTGATGTGCTTAGTTTTATGGTATCCAGGTTGTTTCTAAAAAAAAAAAAACCTCACAAATTTGAAAAATTATCAAAGAAATACATGAATGTGTCTACTAATCACCTATTGCACATTATGGGTTATATTTTTTGTTTGACAGGACTACTTTAATAGAAATGCATTGTTTTCCTGTTTTTCTAATTACTGGTACTTGCTTTTGCCAGCAAAATCCATGGGTGAAAAGAGAGCAGTGGTTTATCAGTACTTTATCTGATGTGCTGTGTTTTTGAAGTGTCCAAGTCTTTAGTCTTTGTTCCTTGATGTCTTTCACTTCCTTTGTAAGTGCACGTACTTGTGATGAAAGTTAGAAGTGTAGACATCAGAGCAGGAACTTAGTATTACATGGAATCGTTGTTGAAACAGACACAGTTGTGTATAATTAAGAAATTGTGGCTCTAACCCCTTGGCAATACTGCATGATGAAGTGTCTTTACTTGCTATTAATGTATTTTGTAGCATTAAAATATAAATTATAATTAATTAGACAGTTTTGTTTTAGAAAATAACGACTTATGCCAAAGTAACATTTTCAGGCTAAATTTTCCTATTTCCATATAGCCACATTTATAATAGTATTAAACAGAATTAAACATGAGCAACATGTCTGTACGTTTGATCATTGTCCTGATTTCATAATTGTGGAGCAAGAGATAAAATCCATGCTTATTATGTCCTCAGTCTTCTAATTATTTGAAAGATTTTAAAAACTTACTGAAACTTGGCTAGCATGTATCTTTTCTTGGTTAAAAAATTCTCCAACCATAGACTTTAAATCAGAATGGGAAACTATCATTTATATAGTATTTTTTATTTCATCATTGAAGTTTTCAACATAACCTATTGATAAATGTTAATATTAATTGAATTTTTCTTTAGCCATATTATTGCATAATTAATTCTATGATTTCAAATAGCAATTCTTTAAGTGTTCTTGTCCTTTTTTTTTTTTGTCAAGTTTAACATTGCCTCAGACGATTGGACAAGTTTTCATTGAGAAGCTGGCCGATTACATTCTGGTGAAGACCACCTTTGGTTTTTCATTGGCTTGGGATGGGGTATCTGGAATTTACCTCAAGTTATCTAGGGAGCATAAGGGGAAACCATGTGGCCTATGTGGGAACTACAACGACATTCAATCTGATGATTTTATAATCGTACAAGGTAAGAAAGCAGGATGCAAGAAATGTGCAAGTACTGCCTTTGTTCTTCCTTCGTCAAGCTCTTAGTCCTCATAGGCTTTCTCATAAGTAGGTTTGGGAAAACTTGTCACTGTAATGTGCCTGCTTTAATGATTTTAAGTGAAGGTCAAATAGGAAGACTTCTAATATTATTTTGTATTTGATGGCCAAGTTTCAAATTGCCAAGCCAACATACAACATTTGCATACATGAAAAATAATATTTGAACATTTACTTTGTGTCAAGAGCTTAGAATACATCCATATCCACTTTTTTGGGAGCTTGGGATATATCTGCGAACAGAGAAACCACTTCCTTCTTACAGTTTGTATCCTAGTTTCAAATGTATTTGAGTAAAACATATACACTTTCGGACAAGGGTTATGGCCCATCCAAATTTTGATAGAAATAAATTAAATTTATAAATAACAGTTTTCAAAAATAACAAAATGTGAACAGGATTAAAATTAAATTAAATTTTAATTAAAATTAAATTGACTAGTGACTAGGTTTTACATACCTATTAGATTTAAATCATGAAGCTGCACCTTGTGAATTGTTGGAAATGACTATCGTTTCCTGTCAGGTACTGATGCATAGAGGCAACAGAATAAGAGAATAACAAGTCTCAGTCATGATTTAGGTCCACACCTAGAGGCACAATAAATAAAGAATCCTGTTGTTACCACCAGTGGGCCTTGCTTTGAGTCTTATTTCAATACATGCATTTTTAAAATCTGATGATTTAATATTTCTGATGCTCAGTTTCTTCAACTATGAAACAGAATGCTCAGTTTCTTCAGCTATGAAATACAAATATGGTAATTGTAACTCACCATGTAGTTAGTAAGCAACAATAATATATATTTATATGATAAATATGGTTAGATTGAACAGTTAGTTACATTATTCCCAACCCTCAGGTCATCCTGTAAAGTGGATAGTATTTTCTTAATTTTGCAACAGGGATACAAGGTAATGAGTTCGTCATTGGGGTTAGTTTTCTTGTAACTGAAATTGCAGAGTGGGGCTCCTTGGAAGCAATTTACAATAAGGATACAAGGTAATAGCACAGTTTATAAGTGCTACTGTCAGGATTGTTATAAAAGCAACTGACTCCCAATTTAGTGCTTATGTGGAGATATTGGCAACTTTTTGGACATTACATATTTTGTATAGTCTTTTGGTTTGCCTTGTGTTATAAAATTAACAAGGTGCCCACAAGTTATGTTTATTAGCTGGTAAAATGACTGCCTACAGGGTGGGCTGTAGAGTCAAAAAGCGAGGACCAACTTCTATTGTAACTCATATTAAACTTAAAATATTTAATGACACAAAATTTGTGTAAAGAGGTTATTAAAATGCAAATTTCAAAAAATGCACCTATTTCAAATTTTTATATCAAAAGAAATATGTTTTAATGTTCAAGAACTTTTTGAAGTTGCCTTGTGTTTTATACAGTTGCAAAGACAGTCTATGTAAAATATATAGTGTAGTATCTGCATGCAGATACTGCATGCCAGCGATGTGCTCGAATATCAGTGTGCACAATACATAGAAGCATGCTGGATCATCATGGTTGGATTTTGAATGCAACTGTGTTTGGAATGAGAAGGCTCACTGATTTGCAATCTTGAGGGTATGTCAGCAGATGGGTTTTGGACTCAGAGAGGACTAGTCAGATGCCAGTTTTTGCTTTATTTATCCTCTGTGTCAAAATTCTGTAGCAAAATATAATACTCATTTCAGTTTTCAGTATTAGAGTTTGAATAAACAGCCTTGCATAGCTTCCCTTGGCACATACAGGCAATGTGGCATAAATGTCACAGTAGAAACGAATATCGAGCCTCATAGGAGACAAAGAGGCATTAATGCAGATTATGGATAGGTAAGCTGTATTATTGTTAGCTTTAAAACACCTACTGTCTCCTTGAAACTCAGCCTGCACTTTGTAATTAGTCTTTAGAGAGTTACGTGCTTGGTTGAATGCCAGTGGATGCATAGTTTCTAAATAGTGATTAAATTTGAGTGTTTCTCTGTCATCATATTAGTCCTTCAGAGATTATTTTATAAATAACAACTATTCCAAATTTCTGCATGCAGAGCAAGATTTAATTTATGTGTCTAGTTGAGCATTTTGCTCCCATTATTCAAGTGCACATGTCACTGTGGATAAGGAAGTCCTGGATTATTCTAATTTTTCCCAGTGTAATAATGAACCATGCCTTTGTTTCACTATTAAGCCCCAATATACACCATCCTCAACGAAAAACCCTCTGCTTAAACCATATTTTATATAAAGCATTTTAGGTTTAGCTTAGTAGAATCCAAGGCCACAAGTATATATGGATTAAAACCTCACAGCAAGTAATTTCTAACTTTTTAAAATTAATTTTACCTAATAAAAATAGCAAAATATGTTTCCGGACCTGAAATTAAAATGAATACTAAGGGATTGTTCAGGTTGTTTAATAGCATTAAAAATCATACATAACAAGTGATATAAATGGACCTTGAGGAAATGTTTTATATTATTAATTCTTTTTAAAATGATATTTTGAAATGGAATGGGACTACAAATTTATTTTTAATTTAAAAAGATATTATTTCTGTAATGATTTTATATTATAAGTATTCCCCTAACCACATCCCCTACATTCCTCCCCATTGTCATGACCCCCTGTTTTCTACTATATTATTACAATGGATAGTCCTTCAGTAACAGTCACAAGTCCATTATTCTGCTGGTTAAGTGTATCATGACAGTGTAGGTATAGTCAATGGTAGAAAGCACAGTATCCTATTGTCAAAGTATATTGAACAGTTTCGTTGGGTGTCCTCCTTTTATTTGGGTATAAAGATGCTTCAATGTGTCTTCACTTTTTGATATACTAGTCTCCATTATGCAGTTTATCTGTGAGAAAATATGTATATACATATTTACCTATATATCCATTTCATGAAGGTTGCTTTATATAAGAGAGAACATATGATGTTTGTCCTTTTGGGATTGACTTATTTCACAGTATATTGGTCTCTAGTTTGGACCATTTTGTTGCAAGTGGTAGAATTTCGTCCTTTTTAATGGCTGAATAATATTCCATGGAATAATGGTATCAAAGTTTCTTTATCTGTTCCTCTTTTGATGAGCATCTGGGTCATTTCCATGTCTTTGCTATTGTGAATTGTGCTGCTGTATTGCAGGTCACTTTCTCATATGTAGATTTCACTTCATTTGGATAAATTTACTCTAAAACTGACATCAGCTTTTCCATGTTAAAATAAGTATATTATTTAGATCCATGCTTTCGTCAATGTGTAATAATTTAAAAAATGTCATGTACAGCTAAGTTTATCTCAACAATTTATTGATCTAGAATTCTGATAGTCTAATGATTTATATTTACTCCCATACTACATAATGATCCTTTGTTTGTTGATGGATTTCACACACACACACACACACACACACACACACATACACTAATGGGATCATTTAGCAATGCAGTAGCCACCTTAATTTGCCTAATTCACTCCGTGGTATTCATGTGCAACGATCCGGTAATTCATCTCTCAGAATGCAAACCTTTATTAATAGTTGCATGACTGCGTTGTATTTTGCCATACTCATTTGCTCATTTTAACAAATTGATTTTAGGCACCTGCTTTATGGTAGATGCAAGACTAAGGCATAACAATAGAAGAGCTGAGATAAACTTTCTCACTTCATGTAGTGTAGTATTGTGGTGGGATGGAATGAGGTAGGACTAGGGGAATGCAGGGGCTGATCCTGTGAAGCCTTCCAGATAATAGTAAAGTTTGGATGTTAACTTTTGGAGAGCAAACCATTCTTAACGGATAGTGAATATTCACAATCTTTCAACCTTCATTAGTATCAGACAGCCATTATATTCCTGTGCTGCTGTTCATCTTAGAGGATGATGACACATTTGGCATGAGATTTTGGTGCCAGTGGGTTAGCAGATTACCATCAGTGTTGGTAGAGAACTCAAAGCTCAACTCTGAATTGTCCTGGATGGAGCACTTTGCTTGGTTCTGGCCAGTTCTTAACATTCTTAACATTTGAGACACAGCCTTTGTCTGAATATGGGTCAGCATTGATGTCCTTATCAGACCCTGAGTTTTTGGTAGGAAGATAATTAAAACTTGACTTGGACTTGAGAATGTGGAGTGTTCACCCTAAATGTTGGAGTTGCTGCCTGCATATCAGCTCTTGAATATTACCTGCAAGTAATTCTAGGATTGTTTTAAGATTTTTGGTATGGGCTTTTCTCAGAACATGCTAATCACGTATAGATGAAATGGGATTAATTTCTTCATTTTCTCACTTTAATATGTTTTAATCAGTCTTTACCTATGTGCATAGCCTCTAAAATTTCCTTGTAAATATTATAGACTCTCAAAATGAAAATATGATTTTTGTTAAGATTCTGAGTAATGCCAACTATCATGAAGTGGCTGTCGGAAAAGTTCTATACAGCACACAAAAAATTAGAGTATTTAGAATTTCTGTGTTAGTTTTATGCATGTGTTTACAGCTCAAGCTGAGTATTGCATATTTAGCACATTATTGGTATGCTTAGTACCAGTCCACTCTCAGCCTTTCTTTTCCATGTTGTTTCAATGCAGTTTTTTTTTCTGTAATGACACTGCATTTATTTGGTATGCTTTTTTTTACTTCATTTTTTTATTATGCTGAAATAATAATATCTCATGTCACATTGGTAATTATAATGTTTTTGAATTTCACTTTTTGACAAGGAAATATAAATTGTGTTTACAGAAAATAAGTTACACTTATTTGTATATTTTGTGTTTGTGTGAAATAGAGGACTACACAGAAGACATTGCTACCTTTGCCAATAGTTGGTCAGTGCAAACTCCAGACAACACTAAGTGCATACCCGTACCATCAGATTTTCCAAATCCATGCTCCAGTGGAATGCCAGCATTTGAGGTAAATTTGATGTGAAGTTTTTGACCCCGTTATATATAAAGTATATCTTCTTTATATTTTTATGATTAAGCATTTTAAGGGCAAAACAGCAAAAATTACATTCAGGAAACAATAGCAAAAGGGGATAATTTTAATATTATTTGAAAAGTCTGTGTAATGAGTTTTAATAGTGACACTTAACATTACAGTATGTAGTTAGAATTTTGTGGTAAAAATTTGTGAGTATGAATTATTTCTCTTCTCTGGTAAGAATAGAGTTTTACAAATAGTGGGGTGTATACATTTATCACTATGTTGTGCTTTGGTGTACAGGCATCTTTTTTTTTGTTTGTTTTGCTTTTACATAGGCCATCTTCTTCAAGTGCCAGATCTTGTTGCAGTTCCCTTTTCTGAGCTGCCACGAATACATTGATCCATATTTGTATATTGCCAGCTGTGTTAATGATCTTTGCAAGTAAGTGAAATAATTAATATTTCTTTTTTCGTGCTACAGTTCATAGGTTCCAGGATTTTCCTTCCCCACTGCCTGAAGTCCTCACCCCCCACTAATTTTCCCCATGTCATTAAAATAGCGTAATCCTTCACAATCAGTCATAAATCTATCATTCCGCTATTTAAAAGTATCCTGACATTGTAGGCATGGACAATGGTAGAGAGAGTCCAGCATCCTACTGTCAAGATATATTTAACTATTTTATCGGTAGCCCATCTTTGATTGGGAAGTAGAGGTGCACACTGCATTATATCTTCATATCTCTATGTGATAGTCTCTACTACATGGTTACTGTAATACCCTTAAACAAAAAGCCATAAAACCAAATGAACAGAAGAGAGAGAGAAAAAAGAAAATTTATAACACATGAAGTTAAATAACATGCTACTGAATAAACAATATATTGCCAAAGAAAGAAAAAAGATAATCAAAATGGTGCTATTGTGTGATCTATTAGTGAGAAAATTAATAAGCAAAATAAAAACTGTTTTTTTAGTGAATGAAAGCAAAAATAAAAATATCAAAACCTCTGAGATGTAGCAAAAGCAGTAGTGAAAGAGCTGTTGATCTCATATTTTGCATGAAGCTCGCCTTATATCAGAGTGAACATATGATATTTGTCATTTTGGGATTGACTTATTTCACTGAGCATAATGGTCTTTATTCAGGTCCATTTGGTTGCAGATGGTAGAATTTCATCCTTTTAAATGGCTGAGTAATATTCCGTGGAGTAGATGTACCAGTTTCTTTATCCATGTATATTTCAGAGAACATTAGGGTTGTTTCTATGTCTGCTGTGGTAGATAGTGGTGTGACTAGAGGTTTAAAGATCCCTTTCTCATATGCAGGTTTCATTTTCTTGGGACATATTTCAAGAAGTAGGAGAGCTGCGTCATATAGCAGGTCAATTTTCAGTTCTCTTAGCATGTCCTTCCTGATTTCTATAGTGGCCGTACTAGCCTACACTCCCACCAACAGTGAAGGAGGGTACCTTACTCCCCACATTCATGCCAGCAGGTGTTGCACATACAGTTCTGAATGTAGGCCAGTTTCACTGGAGTTAGGTGGAACTTCATTGTGGTTTTCATTTGTGTTTCCCCAACAACTAGAGACCTGAGCATCTTTTCATAAGCCTATATCCTTTTGAATTTGTTCTTTTGAAAAATGTCTCTTCATTTCTTTCATCCATTTCTTCACAGGATTGCTTGTTTTGCTGTCATTGAGTTTCTGAAGCTCTTTGCAAATCCTGGACATTAGTTCCCTATCAGTTGTGTAGTGTGCAAATATTTTCTCCCATTCTGCTGGCTGCTTCTTTGTTGATCATTCCCTTTGCTGTACAGAAGCCTTTTAGTTTAATGTAGTCCCATTTGTTTATTTTGGCTTTGATTGTCTGAGCTTTGGGTGTCTTTTCTAAGAAGCATTTACCAATTCCTATATCTTGGAGAGTATTTTCTATGTTTTTCTCAAATGATTTGATGATTTCTGGGTGTAGATTTAGGTCCTTGGATCTTAGAGTTGATTTCTGTATAAAGTGACAGGTGGGAGTCTTGGTTCTTACTTTTGCTCACTGCTGTCCAGTTCTTCCAAGAGCATTTGTTGAAGGGACCAGACTTTTTCCCTGAATTATTTTCAGTTGAAGATTAATTGGCTGTGAATTTGTGGAACCTCTTCTGGGACTACTTTTTGTTTGAGTAAAATCACTGAAATGGCATCTTGGGTAACTTGCACGAGTTTGAATTTCTCAAAGATGAGAATAAAGAGCAAAAGTTATGGTAGTACAAAATTATGCTGTTAGAACTACTTCTCTGTAGTTGAATTTAGCTTATTATAAAAGTAATTAATATATTTTCTAGGTACTTGTAGATGTTTATACTAATTTTGACTAGAATGCAAATTACATGTTGATTTCTCCTCCAGGGGTTTTCCAATGACTCAGCAATATTGTTGCTACGTCATCCCCTTGGCATAGATTATTGTTCTCAATCCTTTGTCTAAAACTGTGGTAGTACTAATTGTGTTCACATTTCAGCTCTTAGAAAGGGAGAAAGGAAATGAAAAGTTGCTATCATTTGAAGTAGAAACTTCCATTTTTAATCTTCTAGTCAGAAGTTGGAAACATGGGCATAGCCAGATGTAAAGGAGGTGAGAAATGTTAGTTTTTAATGGCCAGCTATACACCCAGGAAATATTAAGGGATTTAATATTATAAATAAAGGGAAAAAGCATTTCTTTTGTACATACATTAAGTCTCCTCATTTTGAAATTAACATTTTTGTCTTTCAAATTTTGATACCTTCAGGCTTTGGTATTTGAAGTTTTATACTTTCTCCTAGGCAAATAAAACGAACAGGATAGGGATCAGGTGATATTTTGAGAGAGATGTTTGAGGTGCAAATGGTAGGTTTGGGGTCAAAGCAGGCATATAGTATGAGAAAGGCATAATATTACTAAAGTGAGTGTTGACAAAATGGAAGTGAAACTATTCCACGGTTGGTCTTTTACTCCATTTAGTATTTTATTCAAGAACAGACTGACTTATATTCTTTGTTCCACATTTCCACAGAAAATGAAAGATTCTCTTAATTTCCTGCATTAGGGGACAGCATAACAGGAATCCTATCATGGGCAAGAAAGTGTGAATTGGCTGAAAACAGATCAATTTCCTGCTGGTACTGTGATAGTTTCCTGAATTGAGTTCAGTATATATGTGTTGAGCATCTATCAACAGAAACGGCTTAGGCATAATGTTTGTTATTGGAATTCCTGTTTTAATTGAGCGTACAGTCAGTTCTCCAGCAATGCCACTGCGCTCTAAATGCAAAGTGCTGTGGAGCTACTGACTTTGTCAGGGAATGCCAACAAAGGCTCCAAAGAGAAGATAATATGTAAGTGCTATTGAGTTGGAACTTAAGGATAATGCTAGTCCTCAAAATTCTATTTTCTTATCTCTGCATCAAGGAATACTGAATTTATCATCAAGAAAGTGATTTTAATTTTTCAAAGTCACTATTTTAAAAATCAGTATTTTTAATGCCTGTTTGACCCTCTTAAAATTTATCACTGCAAATGAAAAAAAAATTCCTGGTTAGTAAATTGGGATAATAATTTATTTCTTAACAAATTCTTTTGATTTTTTTTCATGTTTCCATAGATTAATATGCCTAAAAATTTAATAAAATGTGTTTTAGTGTTAGTTGACTCATTAGTGAAAACCAACGGTCACTTTGTTAACTTTGAAAACTACTATTAATTTTAGGAAACCATGTATACATTTTAAGGTAAATCATAAAGTCAATAAAGCCAATCGTCAGTCTTTCCAGCAATCCAACAAGTTTTGGTCTCCACAGCTTTTCAAAGGGGCCTTTCTTCAGCTTTAAAATGCTCTCTTAGCTTCTGAATTTTCTATGTGTATCCTCAGTTCTTTTTCCCTCTTAAGACCAGTTAATTGGACTAGATAAGCTGTGTTACTCCAATTACAGTAACACAGGAGAAGTGCAACTTGAGACTGGTGGCTTTTGCAACTGGAGATGGTGGCTTTTGTAATTGATGGCCTTTGCAGTGGTAAGGCTCACAAAGCAAAACATTCTTACAGTTATCCTGTATGATATTTCATGATTCAATTTTGTGTTCAGATTGGATTGAAAAACAAGTTGTATTGCCTTGGCGTGAACCTGTGAATTTTATTGGTAACTTGGTAATCTCCTGAAGGAACTGATATCTCTTGTAAGAAACTGGGAGTGCTTCTTAAGTGATTGAAGGAAAAAATAATTAGAGATTATTTACTCTTGGCAGTGTAATAAAAGTAACTGGCTTTAAAGGTATAAGCTTGAAAGTTGTCAAAATGTTTTTTTAGATCTTAAATGCTATGCATTTAATCATTCCAAAATGCTTTGAAATTTTATTACAAGGATTGTTGAGGACTCAAAATATTTCTTTGTGCCACAGAGTTTTGATAATGGTTTTATCTGAACAGATGAACAATTAAGGGTATAATAATTTGGAATCAATTCTCACATTTGATGTTTTTGTTGGGATAGAATTTTATCTGTTCATGGGATTTATTATTTTTCTTCCTCCTGTTTTTTTTTTAAAGAATTATATATTTGAAAGGGAAAGTTACAAGGAGTGATAGAGGGAGTAGTAGAAGATAATTTCATCCATTAGTTCACTCCCCAAATGGATGCCATGGCCAGAGCTGGATTCATTCAACGCTAGGAGCCAAATGCCAGAAGCTTCACCCTAGTCTCCCATGCCAGTGCAGGGACCCAAGTACTTGGACACCATTGGCTGTTTTACCAGACACATTAGCAGGGAGCCAGACTGGAAGTGGAAAAGCCAGGGTTTGAGTTGACACCCATATGGGATGCTGGCACCACAGACATGTGGCTTTACCTATTATGTCATACATACCAACACATTACTGTTATGCTAAAGGTCTTGAATGCAATGTGTGCAGCAGCAACAAAAATATGTGAAGAATTTGGGGAAGTATTTCATAATTTAGATAGAATTTCTTTCCAGTATATTCATCCCTTGACTCAAATGAAGGGTGGCCAAATTATTCAAAGATGTTGATGAAGACAATATATCTAGGCTTGTTTAACCTGCTTTCCATGTATCTGTGCTTTTTACATATTTGTTCCAAATAAGACATGAGAGGTACACATGTTAATATCACTTAATACTAGAACATTGACCACACAGTCAGCATTTTTAGGCATGAAGCTTAAAGGTGGAGTTTATGTTGGTATTTGCTGCATGAATCTTGCTCCATCTTTTCACTTTCCAGAACTGATGATGATGAAACCTATTGTCGGGCAGCCACCGAGTATGCCAGAGCCTGTTCTCATGCTGGCTACCCCATTCAAGACTGGAGAGAGGACTTCTCAGCATGCAGTATGTTCCATATTTCCCAAACCCTCTGTGTTTTGATTGCTTTATTGTACAGCTCATAACTTACTCTACTACTCAAAACTAAAGTAGTGCAAGGATTTTCCTTGAGGTGATTGTATTTATAAACGTACATACTCTCAGAAACATTTTTTGAAAGTTGAATAAAATTGGCATAGCTTCTGTTTGTCCTTTTCAGCTGATAAATGTGATGACAGTTTTGTCCACCGGGATTGCATCAGTTGTTGTCCACCCACCTGTACGTTTGAGAAGCAGTGTCTGGGGAGCAACCTTCATTGTCTTGATGGCTGTTACTGCCCCGATGGTAAGTGGTTAGTGAAGAATCCATTGCTGACCTCACAAACACTAGCACCCAGCAATCTGAACTTCGTGTCTTGCTCTTGCTAATGTTGTGAAGTTACTTGTGACAATTCTTTGGCTCTCTTCATATGCAGTGATTTACGTATTCCCATTTTTAAAGATAAAAACTAATTTGAAAAAAAAGCCTTCACCTTTTTCTAGTACAAGATTGCAGTGAAATATAACTCAGGATAGAGATGAGATTTAAAATTAGAAATGACTGCTGCTCTAATTATATTTATAAAGAATACCAAGAATTTACTTAAATGCTTTTATTTTTACAGATCAAAAAGAATAGATGCCCAGAAATGTTAAGTCACATACTTAATGTATGTTATACATAATATGAATGAGAGTTACTTGAAGCCAGATCTGTTGACCTCAGTCCATTGTTGTGTGGTATTGTGGCAAACCTGTACCAATCTTGATTTGTTTATTACTAGTCAATAACAAGATAAAAAGTTTGCTCCAGACTACAAATCCATGTGTTATGACTTAAGTCAATGCTTTTCTTGTATAAAACCTGAGTGAAAAAGAAGGTCAGTTGAGTGAAGCAGTGTGTTGAATGACAAGGTTGATTTAAGTTCTGCTTAAACTTCCTTCACTTGTCAGAGAGAAGCAATGAGCACCATCCTATAGCATCAGCTTTTTGAGCACCCTGCAGCACTGCCGAGCTCTGTTGCTGTGTGACAACAGCATAAATCTCTGTCATTTTGCAGGGAGCTGATACTAAACAATATGCTTTGCCCTGCTTGGTTTGTTCTTATTTTGTGTGGTGCACATTGAGTTTCTGATGGAAAGTCATGGGATAAGAAAGTTGAAAATTGCAGAAAAGACCCTCGTCATGTAGCTATTGATTGAGACAATTTCAGGCTGTCAGCAAGTTCCTTAAAAGTAAAGGTATTTGTACCTCCAGCTCCTAGTGCAAGAAGCTATTTAACAAATGCTGAGTGAATTTTTATATTCAACTAATATAGTATTATTTCTCCTGCCATGATTTAATACACCTTTATCTTTAATAGGACTTATAATGGAAAATGGAACTTGCATTTCCTTGGAAAATTGCCCATGTACGTTTCATGGATTAGCTTATTCAGTTGGTTCAAAAATTGAACAAGAATGTACTGAATGGTATGTGATTATTGAGTAGTCAATTATTTCTTTGTCCATGTCTGGTTATAACTTGATCATGGCAAATATTTTTAGGGGTTTATTTCTTATTTAGTTCTCTCAGAAGCTCTGAGACTTGGTTTGCATGTTATTTGACATTTGTGGAGGGATAGCTATGTTTTCTTTGACTATGCAATTCTTTTTGGTTATTAATTGTTTTATTTATACAAGGTGAAAAAATTTCATATATTTCATAATACAAGAAACTTAGAAGCGCAGTGATCCTTCCCGCCCTGCCCACCCCCCTGTCCATCCCTGTCCATCCTCCCCCTTTCTCGGTATCTTCTTTTTAAAAAAAAAATATATACTGACATGCTTTTGGTTCACTTCACAATCAAAGGTAAGAAATTCAATAAGTAGCAAGAAGGAAAAAATACATTGTTCCTCAAGAATATTGTCAAAGACTAGAAACAATAATTAGAGAAATATAGAATATAGAATATATATACAAATATATATATATATATATATATGTACTCTGTGCTTTAGGTACCGCAGATCAGGGAAAGCATGGCATTCATCTTTTGGGGATTGGCTTAACTCACGAAGTGTTACTTCTTTTGGTTAGTTCAATGAAGTTTACAATCAATGTTGCATTTTCTCTGTTGATAGTCATTAATTTGCATTTGCTTTTATTCTACTAGTTTATGTGTTTCCTTCCTTCCACATTGAGTATTTTAACTATTTTTTAAAACACGGATAGTACATGGGCAAATATATAATCTTTCCACTAGAGTCCTAAAGAGAACAAAGGTCTACATATGTTTGAACTCTTTTCCTTTTGATAGCACTATGTATTTGCAAAACACATGCAGATCACTAACTGTTCTCATTTGCTACAAGGACCCTGCTGGTGTCCTGCAAAACTCAGGGACGGTGGAGGAGGGCAGCGCTTGTCTTACATAGAGCACCTCTCTCTCTTTAGTGTTCGATGATCCTCATCATCTTCTGTGGTTTTTAAGTGTAACATGCAGAGGATAATAATTGGGTACTAGTCAGCAACTGAAATCATCACTCAGGCTTATGTAGAGATACTATTAAGTGGAAGTATTCCAAGTCTATAAAAATGACCTTATTGCTATGTTGTTCAGGAAGCTGATGTCAACATTAATAGTGTCTCTAAGTCAGCAGACTAATATTTCTATCATTTCATTTAGTGTATGTGTTGGTGGAGTTTGGAACTGCACTGAACATGACTGTCCAGGTAATTTAAAAAATTATTTTGAAGAAAATATTTCTGTATTCTTTAAATTATGGAGGAAAGTAACATTGACACCTCACATATATCATGAAAAGTAGTAAACTATAAATTCAGGTATTCAGTGGATAAATGAGATATCAAATAAATGATAGCTTTCAGCAGTCAATTTAGTAAACCATTAAAATAGCATAAATATTACAAAGCTTAGATAATTTATAGAGTGATTTTATAAGCTTTAAATAAAATTGACTAATTAGCTTAGTATAGCTAGCCAAACCAGTAAGTTTTAAGTACTTCTTTTTGGTGTTCTTTTGGTTATTTATCCTAATTGTCCTCTTGTCTTTTGAGAATTAACATAATTTATTCTTTCACCTTTTCCTTCTCTGTATCTATCTCTTCTTCTTCTCTGCTTCTCTATCTCCTCCACTTTTCTCTCCTCCATCTCCTCCTCATTCTCTTCTTCTTTTTTCTCTTTCTCTCTTTCTTTTTTGATAGTTCAATGCTCTGTTGTGGGTGATTCTCATTTTACCACCTTTGACGGGCGACATTATTCATTTCTTGGCATGTGCCAGTACATCCTTGTGAAAGGAACTGGAAAGGATAAATTCACAATTACCTTACAGAAAGCTCCCTGTGAACAGGTAAGGACGAGATCTCAAAATGACCATAGCAATGTTCTGTTTTTAAAACTTAAACTTCATGTCCAGTTTAAGAATTGCATCATGAATTGATGTGTTTTCCTCAGAACTAAAACAACATTGAAAATTAAGATGCATCATTTTTCAATGTATTACTGTTTACATGCTGTGTCTTGGTTTCAGAAATATTAAAATGTGAAAATGTTCATCTTAGATAAAATGCTATACATTTAATTGCATTTTCTTTATTTTAAAATGATATTTGTGCATATAGTTTTTTTGAGTTTTAATTGTAACTTTTAAGTTTACTTCCAAACCAGGAATTTTAAAAAAATGAATTAAAAAAATTATTTATTTCTATTTGAAAGGCAGATTTACAAAGAGGAGAGGCAGAGAGAACTGCTACTTTACTCCCCAAATGGCCACAATGACAGGAGTTTAGTCAATCTGAAGCTAGATTGGAACCAGGAGCCTTATCCAGGTCTCCCACATAGGTGCAGGAGCCAAGGATTGAGCCAAGCTCTGCTGATTTCTTATGCCACAAGCAGGGGGCTGAATCAGAAGTATATACTAACTGGTGCCCATATGGACCCATATGGAATTCTGGTATTTCCCATTAAGGATTTGCCTGTTAAAATACCTACTAGATCTAAAGATAAACTATTTAAACGTTTTATTTATTTTTTGAAAGGCAACGTTTTATGTAGATGTGTGTGTGTGTGTGTGTGTGTGTATAGAGAAGGACGGAGAAAGAGAAAGAGAAAGAGAAAGAGAAAGAGAAAGAGAAAGAGAAAGAGAGAAATTTTCTATTTGCTGATTCATTTCCCCGAAGGGTGAGCCTGACAAAATAAAGAGGCAAGAATTCCATATGGGTCTCCCGGATGGGTGACAGTGGCCTAAGCACTTGGATCATTTTTCACTGGGTTCCCAGTTGCATTATTGGGGAGCTGAATAGGAAGTGGAGCAGGCAAAGTTTGAATCAGCACCAGTAAGGGGTTCCAGTGATGCAAATGGTGGTTTAACTCACTGTGTTACAAAACCAGACACAGAAAAGATGACCTTCAGTTGTAATAAATGGGTAGCATATTCTACACAGATATGATTAATTTCTCAACATACTGTAATTTTAATTTTGGCTCTTTTCTCAAAAGAGTATGTCAGTAACTTGCAAATAAATAAACCCAGATCTTTCATTTATCTCTGTCTAAATCTGAATCAAACTTTTGCCAAATTCTTTAATTTTCCGATATTTACTTCACGATAAAGTAGTTGTTTACAGAAAAAATTTTGAAATAATCTGCTTTCTTTCCAATTTATTTTGTGATATGAGTTAGCTTTCTAGATAGATTCCTCATTCTTTTTTATTTTAATTTAAAAACTCCTTATTTCTAATATAGCAGTTAACTTGGAGAGCTGTTTCAACTGTGTGCTATAGATGAAACAGTGACTAAATTCAATTATTTAATATTCTAAATGAACCATGTCTTATGTCAATGATATCAAAACCATAGGGAGATGTATTTTATTTGAAATGGCCTATAAAACAAAGCAGAGGATATACTAGCTGTATAATTATACAACCTTTGCTTCTGTAAAGCACTCATGTCTTATGTGCACTTGGTACTCCTTCCTAAACGTCTCTCTCTCCTTTCCTTTCCCCATCTTTTATATCTCTTTTTATTTCCCTTTTCATTTATAATTTGACTTTTTTTTTTTTTGCAGAACCTTGGCTTGATCTGCCTTCAGTCTATAACTCTAATCCTGGAGGATGATTTTAACAAACAAGTGACTCTCAGTAGGGGAGGACAAATCCTCACCAGCCCCAACCAAGGATTCAGTCTGAAAGGTAGGAAGCAGTGCTCGTGGTGCACTTTCTTTACTTGGGCAGCAACGACAGCAAACATGAAGCACCTGATACGTTGTTGAACATCTGAAACAGGAATCTGCAGGATGCAGAACATGACAAAGTGTTCCAGGCAGGTCAGGGAGGTGTCAAACTGTGCATTGCCCTATTGAGAACTATATCTCCTTAGATATTGTAGTGGCTTGAAACTGGTAAGTGGGGACTACCAAGAGTTGAGCTTAGGTAAAAAGGCAGGTAAGACAAGGGAAACCTTATGAATGGGACATGATGCATAGTGATTTCATGGCAATGCCTATTTATGGCTGTATCCCAGCACAGTTGTTAATGACACACTCTTTAAATCCCAGAAGCATTCTGATTTTTTACAACAAATGACCTGCTCATGCTACTGAGATGTCTTCCTAAGAAAATTGAACTTGATATAAAATTGAATATGATGTTGCCATTGTTTGATCATTTTATGTATCAAGATGATAATCTCATATGGTTCAGCTGAATAATGATGAGTTTCTAAGATGTGACCTTTTTGTAAACTATTGTGACAGCAGTGCAAGTGTGATTTTAAAAGCTTCTAGACAGGAGACAGGGATAGCAGTTCAGATAATTATAAAGTAGGGCATGCAAGGAAGGAGGAAGAGCTGTTCTGAGCAATCACAGTAAACCTGGAAAGAAGACTGAAAAAACAGCTAGAGAAAAGGTGACCTGAAGTTGAGGATAGATTAGATTGTTTTGATTAGAGAGACACCATGAATGGAACAGGAATGGTTCTCAGATTTCTGGGTTTGCTGACCAGAATCATGGCAGAGATTGTCTTAAAGAAACAAAACAGTAACTCTTTTTTTTTTTTAAGATTTATTTTATTTTTATTGGAAAGGCAGCTATACAGGGAGGAGAGACAGAGAGGAAGATCTTCTGTCCGATGATTCATTCCCCAAGTGAGCACAACAGCCGATGCTATGCCAATCCGAAGCCAGGAGACTCTTCCGGGTCTCCCACGCGGGTACAGGGTCCCAAAGCTTTGGGCCGTCCTCTACTGCTTTCCCGGGCCACAGGCAGGAAGCTGGAAGGGAAGCCAGGCTGCCGGGATTAGAACCGGCGCCCATATGGAATCCCGGGCGTACAACACGAGGACCTTAACCACTGTGCCACTGCGCCGGGCCCGACAGTAACTCTTGTGATGGCAAAAGCAAATTTTTTTTATGAAACAAGTTTTTTTGCAAGGCAGAGTGTCAGGGAAGTGAAAGGGGGAGACAGGGAGGGAGACAGAGAGTGAACAAGAGAGAAATCTTCATTCTTGTTCACTCCATAAGTGACAGGTGCAAGTAACCCCATACACGTATCCTAAGAGGCCTGAGCAATTGGGCCACTATCATCTGCCTGCAGCACATTGGCAGGAAGTTGGGGAATCAGGACTCAGAATTTAGCTTGGATATGGGATGTGGATATTACAGGTAGCTCCTTAGCCTCCTGCACCAGACACCTGTCCCCCAAAACTCAGTTATGAGTTAACACAAATTTTCTGCTCCTACAAGTGTTTTACAAAGTGTCTTTTCTAGTGCTCTAATTCTCCCCTCACCTTTATTTTTTGCTGATATTCTCAAGGAAATGGGGAATCTTTTGAGAAAAATATCAATGCCTTACTGAATAATTTTAGTTGTATTAAAAATTTACACATGCACAAACTATCACATGCACAAGAAAGGCGTTAGATTCTAAGTGCACAGGAACTCTGTCCCTCTTTTTGGGTTCTTGCCAACTGAGATTGGATGTGACAACTTGTTAAAAATATCACCTGGAGACCTGTGGCAGAGCGAGAAGAGAAATAGGAGGTGGTGAAATAAGACATCCATAATGTGATAAAATTGGACCTGGAGCTAAGGCCAGGACTGTGCACCTGCCTCACCAGACACCCCAGTGTCTTAGTGGAAGAGTACCAGTTCTGTATGCTGACGTTTCATACTAGTGCCTGTGAACTGCAGACATGATATCTGTATGCTGTTTTCCTGCAGGAATTGTTGAAATTCAGACTCTGTCATCCTTATTTATTCTTCTAAAAACCACATTTGGCTTAAAGATACTGTTTGCTATAGATGGCGAAAGAATTTATATTCAGCTCACTAGTGCATGGAAAAGAAGGACGTTGGGTCTGTGTGGCACTTTCAATGGGAATATTAGGGACGATTTTCTGTAAGTATTATTTCTGCATAGCTAACTAACTTTAATGATATAATTTAGAATATAAATTCATTAAAAATGTTTATTCTGCTACTAATAGCCTAGCAGTTACTGTTCCAAAAGCCTTACAGAATCATCATACTTAAATTATGCAGCAATTCCTTGATTAATATCTTGGTTTTATAGCAAGTAAAATAACCAAGTCCATAGTACCAGATAAATTACAGAAGGTCACCGAACTGCCATGTAACAATGCTACGCTTCGAGTTGAGGTAGTGTGCTTTCATATGTGGAGTTGAGGTAGTGTGCTTTCATATGTGGATCAATACTGCCTGTTATTTTCTCTGTCTCTAAACAAGCTAATATTTTACTTTTGAAAACTTGAAATTTTAAAAATATATATTTAGTTATTAGAAAGGTAGAATCAGAGAGGACAAAAAAACTGATTAAAAGATAGATTTCTTTCATCCACTGGTTCTCTCTCCAAATGGCCAAAATGGCAGGATCTGCACCAGGAGGAAGCCAGGAGCCTAGGGCTCTGTCCAGGTCTCCCATGTGGATAGCAGGGACACAAGCCTTTAGGCTACCTTCTACTGCTTTAGCACTTGAATTAGCAGGGAGCTGGATCAGAAATGGAGCAGCCAGGACATAATCTGAAGCCAGTATGGGATGTTGGCATTGCAGATGGTTGGCTTAACCTGAAATCCCAGCCCTAGAATCTGTGGGTAAAAAAAAAATTACTTGAATAGCATTTTGCATTAGTTGCTGTAAACTGTACTTTAAAATATTGATATTTGATAGTAATGATACCCCCTTAAGTAATATTTTTCTGTACAAGTTAATTAGATTATGTTGTGGTTTAACTTTTATTGGAAGAAATGCAATGAAATACATTTGTACTCAGTGTGTTTGAAAAGCATTTTTCAACTACGTTGGAAAAATTCAGTGTGTAATTTAATGTAAATATTTTGAACACTTGCTCTTTTAAAAATTATTTTTATTTAGTTTATAACTGATTCAATATAGCCTATAGATGCAACTATATAACATAATGATATTACCTCCCACCCTCCTTTGCTTTCCACCCTCTTTTCCTTCCTTCCTTCCTTCCCTCCTTCCTTTCTTCCTTCCTTCCTTTCTTCCTTCCTTCCTTCTTCCCTCCCTCCTTCCTTCCTTCCATCCTTCCTTCCTTCTTCCCTCCCTCCTTCCTTCCTTCCTCTTCCCTCCCTCCCTCCTTCCTTCCTTCCTTCCTTCCTCCTTCCTCCCTCCCTCCCTCCCTCCCTTCCCTCCTTCCCCATGCCTCTTCTTCCAATTCTTCCTTTTTTTTCACATAACATTTTCAGTTTACATTATGGTCAAGGGCTTAAATCTCCACTAAATAAAGATAAAGTTTAGTGGGAATATATGCAAGGACTAAATGATAGTCAAATGAAAGATGACCATTTAATCTATATAAAGTGAATTTTAAAGAAATCAAAGTAGGCTATAATAATACATGATGCTTAACTGTTGGTTTGTCACATTACAAAACTGTATTTGCAGCAATACTGATATACATGAGAATTTCTTTGTTTTCTGATATTTTCTTTTAATTTTAGCTCACACATACAGTATTTGTGAACAAGCATTGTGAAAATGCAGTATTTGTCTTTCTATGTCTGTCTTATTTCACTCAACATGATGTCCTCCAGTTGCATCCATTTTGATGCAAATGGTGAATTACATTCTCTTATAATTCGATAATATCCTGTTGTATAAGATACACTGCATTTTCTTGATCCATTCATCGGACGTTGGGTACCTTAACTGTGGTTGATATCAAATTTTGGCAGTTGTGAACATGCTGCTGTAAACATGGTATTGCATTTATATTCTTTGACACTATGTGTTCGTGATTTTGAGTGTATTCCCAGTAGTGTGCTTACTACATCATATGTCAAAACTGTATGTGCCGTCTCCCCTGTATTCTCCCTACAAAATGCAAGGAGTTTGAGAATTAAGATAATGTCTTTGGTTTTTGCATTTTTTTAAAAGATTTATTTGTCTTTATTGGAAATGTAGGTTTACAGAGGGAAGGAGATATAAAGATCTGTCCACTGGTTCAATCCCCAAGAGGCCACACTGGCTGGAGCTGAACTCCAATCCAGTTGAGCCCTGACCCAGGGTCAAGAACCAAGAGCCAGGGGCTTCTTTTTTGTCTCCTATGTGGATGCAGCATCTAAAGGCTTTGGATCATCCTCTGCTACTTTGCCAGGCCACAAGCAGGGAGCTGGATGGGAAATGGAGCAGCTGGGACATGCACCAGCACCCATATGGGGTCTTCGTGCATGCAAAGCAAGGATTTAGCCATTGCTCTGGGTCTGAATATTGCAATTTTAGGAGCTAGCACAGACCCTTCCATAGGGTGGACAAACAGTCGAATTGAACTGAGCTGAAGTTTTAGTGAGAGTATCAGGAACAGAATTTTGATTGGCAATGAGAATTACCATTTAAAAAATTTTAAATGTAACAATGTATTTTATCTTCTGTGTGATCAATTTGTCTTTCTGTATTTTTGTTTTCTTTAATTACAGGAAAGAATATTGATATCTTTATTACATCTGTGAGTTAGAAACTTAGTGAAACGAAGACATTCAGGAAAGACATTTAGCTTCCCTTCTCTTCCTTGTGTGTCCTAGAGGGTTAGCTGTCAGTGTTTAACAGATGGCAAGCCTGTCGGCCACCTCCTAAGGCAACATATCCCCCAGGAATCAACAGGACTGCTTGATAAGAGTTGCAGGATAATGTTGCAGAGTCAGAAATAGCTTTGAACCATTGTTTTGCTTTCCAACTAAGTGATTGAAATTCTTGCCTTCACAAAGGCTGACATGACTCTAACCAATAGAATGTAGTGCAAAATATTAATTACTTGAGAATTTATCTTTTTTATTTTTAAAGGTTGATTTTTATTATTTTTTATTGGAAAGGCAGATATACAGAGAGGAGAGACAGAGAGGAAGATCTTCCGTCCGATGATTCACTCCCCAAGTGAGCGCAACAGCCGATACTATGCCAATCTGAAGCCAGGAGACACTTCCGGGTCTTCCATGCGGGTGCAGGGTCCCAAAGCTTTGGGCCGTCCTCTGTTGCTTTCCCAGGCCACAGGCAGGAAGCTGGATGGGAAGCAGGGCTGCCAGGATTAGAACCGGCACCCATATGGGATCCTGGGCGTGCAAGGCGAGGACCTTAACCACTTGCACCACCGCGCTGGGCCTGAGAATTTATCTTGTGTGCTGTGTTATTTGATGGTGTATGTTATGTCAGTCAATCATAGTAATCTGAAAGTTTTTCTTTCATAAAATAAAACCTAAGTAAATAAATAGATCTGCATTTTTGTTCTATTTTGTTCTTTTAAGATAACTAAGTGAAGTTAAGAGTCAAGCTCTTTGTTCTTCTTGGGAACCCTGACTATACTCAATTCCTGATCTGGTTTATTGTCCATTGGAAATGGGAAGGGGCAAGGGAAACAAAAGAATGAGAAGAAAAACATTTTGCAAATCACCAAATGTCTTTGGGTTTCAGTTTTTTCACTTAAAGCAAATGAAAATTTTGCATTGGGTGTTTGTTACAATTATGCATAGTTCTGGAATGGCTTGATGCTGAGGAATAAAGAGAAGAGTAGGCGAGGACGCGTTTTATGAAATGGACTGTGCAGCCTCTTTTTTCTTCTTTCTTGGTTTTGCAGTTGAGGATTTGTTGAGTTGAAGGTCACTGTGCTAAATTACAACAAAAAATGACTCCACAGGGCACAGGGAGAACTGAGAGAAAGCCTACTCTTCTATTAGGCCATGTTGCAATAATACCGTCTGGGCTTGTAGTATAGACTAACACTTCCTACTGGAAACATGATCCTACTTGATTTCCAAAGTATTTTTGGTCTTGTTCTATAAACTGTCCAATAGAGACTGTCACTTCATAAATGTTGCCTGATAAAGCAATGCATATTCTTCTAAAAGGTCAGTTTATTTGAATGGCGAGTGACAGGAAGAAAGGGAACGAAAATAAATTGTAAAATCCAGGAGCAGGAAATTCCATCTGGGTCGCCTAAGCACTTGCGCATACATTGCCTCCTAGGGGCATAAGCAGGAAACTACATTAAAAAAATGAAATCACCAGGACTTGAAACCAGCACTCTCACAGGTGTGCCCCAAGCAGCAGCCTACCAAGCAGTTGTACCATAATACCATCCTGTGTATTTTTGTTTATTTCCTCATTTTGTTTTGTTTGCTTTGTTATGATGGAAGCTCATCATTTTAGGCTTCAAAATGGAAATTGAGACGTTGGGCCAAAAGTCCTCTGTTGCTTTCCCAGGCCACAAATGGGGAGCTGGATGGGAAGCGGGGCTGCTGGGATTAGAACCAGCGCCCATGTGGATCCTGGCGTGTGCAAGGAGAGGACTTTAACCACTACGCTATCGCACTGGGCCCAAACACATTTTTAAACTAAGCTTCTCTTTCTGCACCTTCTGGACTCCCATAACTCTAATATTTGGCCTTTTAATTGTGTCTTTCAATTCTTGAATACGTTTTTTGGCCTGATCCAGCTCTGCATCCAGCTTTTCGTTTGTTTCCTCCTGGTGACAGGATATATCTTCTAATTTTGAGATTCTTTCTTCTGCTTGCTTCATACTATCTTGGAGACTCCCCACTGTAGTTTTAATTTGCTCTACTGTATTCTTCATTTCTGATGTATCAGCCTTTTGTTTGATTCATTTCCGGTGTGACATAGTCCTTAAATTCTTTGAGTGCCTGCTTTACATGCTTCTCATTGTTGATAGGAAGTTTTATAACAAGGGTTTTGAATTCTGTATCTCTCATATTCTCAATGTCTTCCTCAGTTAACTCTGAGTTTGGCAAATATTTTTGCTCCTTTGCAGGGAAGTCTTCAGTAATATTCATTTTGCCTGTGTGTCTTCTTTTGCTCTTGGTCACTGCACTTTTGGTTATCAGATTCTTCTCCTTGTGCCAGGTTTTTTAAGCTGCGTCATCCACAGATCTTTGATTTTACTTATTGCAATTGCTACACAGCTCTTTGCTTGCAGTCACTTGTGCTACTCCCTGCAGTGAGTTCCAGGTCTGGGTTCTTATGTTAAATTTCCGCCATGTTCTCCATAGTCCCAGCTCTTGGCTCACCACTCTTCACCTCCTGTGGTACTGTGCTGAGGCTGCACCATTGTCTGTACAATCTTTCTCCCACTTCCAATTGGAGCAGGTCCCAGGATTAGGGAGACACCAGGTGTTTATTGTTGGTGTTGATCTTGTCAGAACCTGTTGGCCTTTAGGTCTGAGAGTCACATGTACCTATTTTGACCCGTATGATGCCATAGTCGGTATTTTCCTGTGGGACCAGTGCAATCCACTGAGCTCAGTGAGTTTTTGCCAAGCTCAAAGCATGCACAGCTCACTGTTGTTCCCTGTAGTCTTTATTTCTTTGTCACACTGTAAGAAATGGCGCCTTATATACTATACATCACTACTAGAGTTCTTGATCTGCTGGCCATCAAGTCTGATGGCTACCTGGACCTGTCTTGGGTGGAACCTGTGGGATGCCATGTTGTTACAGTTCTCTGAGTCAGAAAGAAGTTCACTTCCAGCTCAGTGTATGCTCAGTCCTTTCCCTTGCCTTTGCCTTCTTTAAGCAAAATGGCACCCAATTCGTCTAAAGGAGGCAGAATGAGCTGTGAAATCTGCCCTGTTCCTACACTGCCCATCTGGGACCTGCTGCTCTGACTCTGTTCCTGATTAAATCAAACAGACCAGCAGGACAGGCAATTCTTTGACTGGGTTCATCTCCAGAGCTACCGGTAATCGTCCCTTCCCACTTTGTTGCTGGTGGAGTTCTGGCTGCTGTTGCAATTCAGATCGCCATTCGTTGAATGCCACTGGGGTATTGGTCACTACAACACCACACCGTTGTGTCCGCTGCTTTCCTGTGTCTGTCAGTCTCCAGGTACCCCTCTGCTGTTGTTCTGTCCTCTCCTATTTCCTGGAATGTGCCCTCTCTGCTTCACACTGGCTAATGTTTCTCTGTCTGTTTAAAATGTGTCCTCATCCTATTTCGCTGTCTTGATTCCAAAACTATTCTATTATTTTAAAATTTGAAGAATGAGTGAATGAAGTGAATGCGAAACACTAAGGTAAATGTCATCTTTGCTTTCTAGCTCTCCATCTGGCATGATAGAAGGAACCCCACAGCTTCATGCAAATGCATGGAGAGTCTCTACTACTTGCTTTGCACCTGTGCATGTCCCAGTGGTTGACCCCTGTAACATTAATCAACAGAACAGTAAGTCTACCTTTCTGTGCATAAACTTAGGTAGAATTTGCATATATTAATAATTCTTTTTAAAAATTAGGTAGTGATTTTTCATTATGATAAAGTCATGCTATTTCTTATGAAATCTGTCTACTATTGTGCCTTTGCTTGTAACACTTTATTTTAAAAATATAAAATAAAAAATAATATAAAAATATGAAGTCACTACTTTATATTCATCCAAGTATTCACTTTGGGTGTTTAGGTTTTGTTTATTCCTAAATGTGTGTTAGCATTTCAGAGACGTCAGAGTCTTCAAATCCTAAAGGAAAATGATCTGAAAATAATCCATTAATGCTATCATATTCCTGACATGTTCAACTTTAATTCCATAAAACGACAATTCAAATGACCTCTTTCAGTAATTGCCGTCATATTATAGTACCTACTAACAGGAAATATATCTATATTTATATCTATATCTATATCTATATCGATATAGATATAGTTTTATAAGTAGGCAGCCAGTGATCCAAGAATGACTTTGTTTCATTGAGTGGGTAATAATTTGAGATGGTCAGACTCAAGAGTTATAATCTACAATAACAGTACAAGTTCCCATGCCAAAATTATTTGGATAGATTGATTTTTAACAATGCCATAGGAAAGGCTAATGCATTTCTTAATGCTAATGCATTAAGATAGTTTTAATTTTATATTTCTAGTTTTATCCACTACCAACAGTTGGCTACCAATTACAGGATTCTGTTATCAGAGAGTTTTTCTATTAGTTTTATTTTACTAGTAAGAATGCAATGTAATCTTAATGCTGTTTTTTTTTTAATTTAAGCAAAGTTTTAAAGTTGAAGATTGTCCACCTTTTTGATTATTTTTCCTATCCAAGAGCACAAGATTGAGTATTTTGATGTCTGTGATGTATTGCTTTTCAGAGATGAAACATGAGTGAGAACTCTCATTTAACAAGACTTTCCTTCATTCTGTCTCCAACTTCAGCTAACCTAACTTCCTTTCAATTACCATGTGCAGTATGTTTGTAACTTTTTGATTTTCTCTTGATAACAGAATATCTTTATTTATATTTAAAGGCATGTAAAAGTAGAGGTAGAGTTCAACTGATATCGTTTCCCACTAGTTGCTTCTGTAGTTAACTCGTGGTCTTATGTCATTTACATCATTTTTAACCCAATGATGTATCTGTGGTGCATATCTAGATAATATCCTTTCCTGAATTGTGATTAAAATAGTTAAGTGGATAATTGCAGAATTATCCCCCAAGGAAAGGAAAATAAGCAGACAAGAGTCAGTAGCCAATCAGGATTCTGAAAGATATGTTTCACAAAGATATTCTTGAGTAACTTTGTTCATTATCTGTGGAGACACAGAGATTTTAAGGGACATAACAAAAACCTCCTTGGTGTATAGCTATTCTTCCAGGATTTTTGGAGTTGAGATCTGCATGCTAATAGTATACTGCTGTAGTCTCAATCATTATTTTTCCCACACACACATGTATAAACCAATGCAAACATGCACTTGCACTGAATTATCACATTTCCTTTAAAATATACATTTGTAATTCTAAAAATAAAAGAAATTCATTAAATTTTAGGTAGTCAAAAAAACCCTTCTGATTTCTAAGAACCAATCTTTAGGTCTTTCAAAGATAACAAAAATGCAAAGATCGATGAATTTTGTGGGAAAATCAGTAATAACCCAGAACAGCTACATCAAAGAACCATGGGATATAGGTTATTTTATAAACTTATCATGTTATTTTTCCAAAGGATTACATCTAACAAAATTGACGACTGAAATATTCTATCTCCCAAATGACATGATAGTTATGCATCATGACCTTTGGTATATGTTCTAGACCCTAACTTGTGCTTTCTGTCCCTTCATCCTTGCATTTATAGAAACACTTATCAGACATTGTACTCCTAATGTTTGCCAGAAACTGTACATTGTCTAGACACTGAATACAATAAGTATGTAACATCCACAGCATTACCACTCATATCATAGAATCCATTGGAAAGAAATATTTCCCAGTCCTTCTTGGACCTCAATTTCCTACACATCAACAATGTGTAATTACTTTGATTGTGTGTAGATGTCTGGATATAAACCTGCTAATATCCCCCCAGTTAATCAAGGTGGATGTCCAAAGATGTTGCTTGGGTACTGAGGTGATAGAGGCAACTGTTTCTTTCAAACCTCTGATACTCAACTTACGAATGTTGTTTAAATACAACTACTTTTTGGTTTTTTGCACAAAATGGATTGTGTGAGGATGTATTATATAATGTTAAAAATATGATATAAAAATATAACCAAAATGATATAAAAAATGGCTCTACTTCCTATCTAGCTCCCTGTGCTTGTAGCCTGGGGAAGCAGTAGAGGATGGTCTAAGACTTTGGGACCCTGCACCTGTCTGGGAAACCCATAGGAAGCTCCTGACTCCCGCCTACAGGTTAGCTCAGCTCTGGCTATTGCAGCCACTTGAGGAGTAGACAGAAGATCTTCCTTTCTGCCTGCCCTTCTCTCTGTGTATCTGGTTTTTCAATTAAAAACTAAATAAATCTTTAGAAAAGACTTGATATCTGGACTCGTGAGTTGTTAATGGACTTCTTTGTCAGTTGGATATGCAGCGCACTGTGATGTCATCCACCAGGAGCTCTTTGCTCCTTGCCATGTCTACATCAGCCCTGGGCTGTACTATCAGCTATGCCGCCACGATGCATGCAAGTGTGGAAGTGCCTGCCTGTGCAATGCTCTTTCTCATTATGCCTACCTCTGTGCCCAGCGTGGTATTCCTATTGATTTCAGAGCTCAGATTTCATTCTGTGGTGAGTATGATGGCACAATTGAGAAGTATCAGTTATCCTTTGGAGGTTCGTTTGCTTGCACTAGTGCATTTTTTAAATATAAAAGGTTAATATTGCATGTTAATGACTTGACTTTTTAAAAATAATGTACAAACATGAGAAAACAAGGGAATACTTTTTTTAGTTAGTGGTATGTTAGATAAAACTCAATAACTTTGGACTAATTTTGTCATTAGCAAAATGAGAGTGTAAATGTATGGTTTGAAATGTTCAACAGAAATATTTTCAGGCTTGGTGTTATAGCCTACTGGCTAAATCCTCACCTTGCATGCCTGGGATCCTGTATGAGTGCAAGTTGGTATCCTGGCTGCTCCACTTCCCTTCCAGATTCCTACTTGTAGCCTGGGAAAGCAGTGGAAGATGGCCCAAGACCTTGGAACCCTGCACCCGTGTAGGAGACCTGGAGGAAGTTCCTGGTTTCTGGCTTCAGATTGGCTCAGTTCTGGCTATTGTGGCCACTTGAGTGTGTACCAATGGACAGAAGACTTTTTTTTGTCTCTCCCTGTAAATCTGCCTTTCCAATAAAAAAATAAATCTTAAAAAAGAAATATTTTTCCTTTAAGAAATCGAAATAATTCTTGTCAGAGAAATGCTGTACTTCAATACTGCAAAGTAAGCAATCAAACAGTATGTGACCAGTTCACTTGCAGTGAAATAAATACATAAGATCAAAGATAATTATTATTTCAAGTTATCATTCATGCTGGGGTGTTTCCTGTGTGCTTTAAGTTTTGTCAGTTTTTGTCAGGATACCCCCTCTCCATTAAAGTGTTTTTGCAACATAAGTTGCTCTACTTCTTAACACCCCCAGTGGTTTCATAAAACTTTTGCCAGGTACTTTAGGTGTGTCACTTGTCAGCTTTGACTTTCTAAGACAAAAATATTATGAATGTAAAGTTTTATAATTTTATATGCCAAGTCTGTGCAGAATATCAGTCTAGGCTTTTGTATTTTTTTGGAGGCAACTGTTTGTAAGAGACTTGGTGGGTAAAGCAGCTTTCCTGCCATCTACCAGCTGATTTTTTTTCTAGTGTAGCCAGTTGGCAAGCCATAACCCTTAGGACCTGCTATGCTTTTATAAGTAAAATGCATTCGATTATGATCACATCTGCCTGTGGAAGTGTTGTTGCTTATAGCTGTATCTGTGCACAGTTGAGTAGTTGTGGTAGATGTAGTACAATCTGTAAAGCTGAAAACATTCACCATTTGACCCTTTACAGAAAAAGTTTTACAACCCCTGCTTTGCTGCCCTTTCAACAGAGGATGCTGCTCTTTGAACATCCCAAGAATGGTTCCCAGTTCCTTGCCTTGCGAAAGGCTAGTGTTCAGGTTCTCCTCCTACAGGCATTCAATTTAAGGCTCATGGTTGCTGAGACTGATCTTTCCCTGCTCCACACTAGGTCTTGGGATTTGTCCCTCTTCTATTCTGGCATCTGAAGATGCTCCTCCCTGTTGTTTTCTTGCAAGATTAATTATACCTGTACAATTGTTTTAATTATGCCTTAAACAGTTTTTTTGCAAATATTTTTCCAGATGTGTTTTTAGGTTACTAAATATGATTATCATAATGGGTTTAGTTTGTTGTGAAATACATATTTTAAATATTTCAAAATAGAAATTTATTCTTTAGTCATCCTTGCTCTGTCTTGGGAACTGATTTATTTATTTGCTTAGTTCTGGTGTTAAAATTGTTTGACGTTCCATGTTTATTGATGTAAAGAGATTTTCCATTTTGCGGTGTGTGCTTGTAATCGAGCTCTTAGCAAGCATGTCCTGTGCCCTTGTGGGGGCTGTTCTCAAGCTGTGCTCCTGTGTCCTTAGCTGTCGTGTGCCAGAAGGGGATGCTGTACCATCTCTGCTCCTCGTTTTGCCGTCATTCCTGCACTTCTCTCTCTTCCCTGGAGCAGTGTAATGATGACTGCGCTGAAGGCTGTAATTGTCCGGAAGGCAAATTCTATGAAGACACGCTTAACTTTTGTGTGCCCATGTAAGTCACAGAAATGGATGGATGACATTAAATGTTTACTTCTGTTTCTTCATACTAGTTAGAGGAGACTTCGTGCTAGATTTTATAAATATTTGCCACTTATTTGTTTTTCATTTTTTTAAACTCTCACCATGTTCAGAGAGAAAGCTAAGGAACCAACTGGTTAATCTTGAACTTTATTGCTACTTGTTCTTAGCCATATCCAAGTCAATACTGTGTATGCTTTACTGCCATGTGTACGGCAGGTAGAGATGTATGCTTTACTGCTATGTGGTGAATTGTAGTAGCAGATAATAATGTCTGTCAGCACTCAGGCAAAGATTGTTGTTGTCTTCCACAAAAGGCTGAATGATGGATCAGATGTGTTTCTCTGAAGTGCTTCCAGTGGTTTCTGTTGTGACCAGTTTGTGAGTTGTATTTTAGGAAACGAAATCTGAAGCTACACAAGGGTACACACTGAAAGAGTTTTTACTATTTGTATAGCAGGACTTCATCTGAACTCAGCATGGTGCACCTGTGGAATTGCCTCACCATGACCATTTCAGACCGTAGAAGTTCCTTAGATTTTAGTGGTTTCTGTAAATTTTATATCCTGTTTGACTGACTGAACCTTTTATTCCGCCTTGCAGATCTCAATGCAGGTGTCATTATAGGGGCAGCGTCTATCAACCGGGAGAGCTCATTCCAACCCCCACAGGCTTATGGTAGGTTTCAGCGAAGGCGGTTGTCCATGGAAGATGACACATGTGCTAATAAAATTTTTTTAGAAAATCAGTATGCTGAAATGTGACTGCTGTAGCTATTTATTTCCATATTTCTTTGGAAGACGAGAAAGTAGAGGCACAGAGACAGAAAGAGCTACAGGAGGACAGAATCCCATCTCAGGCTCACTCCCCAAGTGTCTGTGATGCTGAGGCTGAGGCAGGACAAAGCTGAGAGAGAAACTTGGTCCAAGCCTGCTGTGTCAGGGATCTGACTACTGGGCCATCTGGGCCTGCCAGAGTACCCAGTAAGAGGAAGCTCAGGTCATCAGTTGACATTCCAAATGTCATTGTAATTGTTATGTGAAATTCCTACCATGACATGTGTAATGAAAAAAATTAAGCTGGCATAACCTTTAAATTATGTTCTGACTAAATTATGTTATTTAAACATGGGATGCCTAAGTCTTGTATTTATCATGAATGCATATGTTATAAAGTCCTTTGACGGGCTATGGTTTTTAGAAATGAAGGATAAAATGGGGCCCGGCGCAATGGTGCAGTGGTTAAGGTCCTCGCCTTGCACGCCCGGGATCCCATATGGGTGCCGGTTCTAATCCCGGCAGTCCCACTTCCCATCCAGCTCCCTGCCTGTGGCCTGGGAAAGCAGTCGAGGCTTTGGGCCCAAAGCTTTGGGCCCCTGCACCTGCGTGGGAGACCCGGAAGAGTCTCCTGGCTTCAGATTGGCTCAGCTCCAGCCATTGTGGCGGCCTGGGGAGTGAATCATCAGATGGAAGATCTTCCTCTCTGTCTCTCCTCTCTGTATATCTGCCTTTCCAATAAAAATAAAATAAATCTTAAAAAAAAGAAATGAAGGATAAAATGATTTTAAAGCAGATTTCAATACACATAGAATTTACTCATGAAAAAACTCATTTCAGTGATTTCCTGTTTAAAATGCAGCATGTCTGTGCTGTGGGTTGAGTTTCCATTTATCCTTAGACGGCTCCTAAACTGTTTCCTTTAGTTGTACCACAGGTGCCCAAAGATAGTAATAGTCAATAGATAATAGTAGTGATGAGAGTGATGCTTAGCCAGTCTGTGCACCTTCTATTGTCTGGCAACATTCTGTTTTATATCTATTATGAAAACATTTGCATGTAACCCTAAGAGATAAGTGCTTTAGGCCACTTCACTCCTGTGGAAAAATGAGGCACAGGTGGCCAAGCAACTTGAAAATAAAGCTGGCTGCGTTTACTCCCAGGCAACTTAGCTCCACTGTGCTTGCTCTATGGCCAACTTTGCCCCTCAGCTTGTTGTGGATTGATAGCAGTGTGTGTGTGTGTGTGTGTGTGTGTGTGTGTGTGTGTGTGTGTGTGTGTGTGTGTGTGAGCTTAGCTTACTGTTATCCTTGTCTCTGTCCTCCCACCCCAGCACCAACTAGACAAGGCATACAGCTCTTTGCTTGTACTGCTTTCCATACAGTTTCTGAAGCCAGCAACCTGGTCTGCAGTTTCGACTCTTTCCTCCTGCTTCCAGTGCTGCTAGCCAAGAAATTCTCAACACGAATTCCATTTTTCTATGTATAGTTGCGATCTAGTGCTCCCTTCCCATGGCCAGTGCCTTTGAAATGTCGCCCTTGAATCTTTCTAAAAGTCTTCTTGCCTCTGGACTTAGTCTCCTTTTACTTGTCAAGGTATTCTATCTCTTCTAAGTTTAATAAAATTAAATCCAATTATTTACTTAGCAAAACCAAAGTAACTTCCCTTCTTTGGTGGGAAAGTTAAACAAATGAAATTATTTGTTGTTATAAGCAACCTGTGTCCCAGAGTGCATATGCTGTGGGAAGACGGCCTGTGTGCCCCGAGCCCTTTCTGTTTCTGCACCTCTAAATGCCGTTCTGGTAGTCAGGATGCGCAGGCTCGTTCTTCATCCTTTGAGTCCCCAATGCATGAATCACCTTCTCTCTCTGCGCTCACTCTCTAATCCAGAGTTGGAGGAAAGAGTCTTCAGAGTTTTTGAGGAGCGGTGTCTTATTCCCTATCATGTTTTCCTCTGAGATTTCCATGGAGAATTTGCCTATATGTGTTTTTACTTTATATCTGGCTGTTAAAATCTGGTTTCCAAGAAAGATATTGACTCTGTCTTCAACATTACAGCTTGGATGATTTTTCTATATTCAAGCCAGCCATAGAACTGCCTGCTGTGTTTAAAGTTTCCAAAGACCCATAGAACATTGATCCAGAACTTCCCAATAGGAATGACATTTCTAACATGTCCATTACATAATCTCATTTTTTCTTAAAAAGTGCTCTAATTATACCTGCTTTGACTGCCTACATGTTCATTACAAACAGATTTTAAAATACTGTTTTTTGTGTGTCTTTTTTTTTTCCTTTTAAAAAGTTTATTTATTTGATAGACAGAAACAGAAAAAGAGGAGGAGAGGGAAAGGGGACAGAAAGGAAGACAGTGAGATCTCCCATATTATCCACTAGTTTATTCTTTGAATGCTCGCAGTAGGTAGGGCTGGGCCAGGCCAAAGCCAGGAGGCTGGAGCTCAACCTGAGCCTCCTGTGTGAATGTTAAGGACCCACGTATTTGTGCCATCACCTGCTGCTTCCCACACCGTAGCAGGAATCTGGCATGAACAAGGGAGGCGAGACTCAGACCCAGGCAATTTAATATGAAATACAGGCATTGCAAACGATGCCTTCTCCACTATGCTAAATGCCTGCCACTCTTTGTTTTATTTCCATCTTTTAAAGTGTTTCTATGTTGTGTGTGTCACACTTCATAAACTGTCCTTAATTCTGTTAGGATATAAGCACTTAATTAAAACTTACTAATTTTTGTCTTTGAATTCCCATCCCTATCATAATGCCTTATACATATAGATGTTTGATAAAAGTTTGTTGAATTGAAATAACTTTTTAATTTGGATATAAGGCAGTGACTTCTTTGTTAAACATTCAGTGAAGGAAAATGATTCATGCATTTTATCCAATAAATTCTTTCATGTTAGAATATTATTGAAATATAAGGGAAAAAAAATCATGACTTGTGTTCATAAAGCAACTGTTTCTTCCAGCCAGTGTTCAAATGGGACTGTAGAATGTGATGAAGCAGCAACGCCCTCTGCTGGTAAGTGCCAGATAAATCCTTTCCTTTAGAATGTGGCTCTAACACTGCTCCCAATTCCCGGTGGAGGCATCAGTTCCACAGCCTTCCTGCCGGTGTATGTGGATAAAGATTGGGAATATTTGTCAACAAGCTGACCCAATGCTTGCTAACTTGTCCCCCATTGAGAATTATGGTATTTGTAGGACTGTTTGGAGCCAACATGTAAGGGCAGCCCAGGTGCAGAGCTCAGGGGTGCTGCATACCCCCTGGACCTCCTCAGCTGCTACAAAGGGCCTCATCCAAATCCTGAATGTTAGTCATTTGTGAATCACAAACTGGGGGGACCTGTACTCTAGATCATTGCATTTACTGCTTTTAGAAATTATTTATTTGAAAGAGAGATAGAGCGAGGAGGAGAAATATCTTCCCTGGCCTGATTCACTCCTCAAATACCTGAACGAGCTGGGACTCTGCCAGCCTGATGCTAGGTTCTGGTACTCTGCTTCTCCTCGTGTGGGTGGCAGGGAACCAGCATCTTGAGCTGTCACCTGCAGACCCCCAGGATGCACACTAACAGGAAGCCGGAGCCAAAGTGGGGCCCATGGGCCTTCCAAACAGTGGCTTAACCACTGCGCCACAAAGCCCACCTGAGATCTGTTCTTTTTCATGCGTGTATGATACATGATCAGCTGGAGGTCTTGTTAAGATGCTGATTCTGATTTAGTGCATTATTTAATGCTGCAATTCAATGGAGCATTGCCTGAAATTCTACATTTCTGTCAACGGCTGAAATGAATCAGTGCTTCTGGTTCCTGGGCTAAATGAATCAATTAAAAATGCTGTATCGAAAGACATCTCCTGTCATCTCTTTAGGATGTAATTTTATGTGTAAATATTTTTTTTTCTGACAAATCTATCATTTAGGGAACCCTTTAATAGTATTTGTTTTCATCATGAAAAGGAACAGCCTCAAATTATTGGTGATTGTGGAGGAATTCTAGATAAATAATAAACAATGCTTGTTTGCATCCATTTTACTGGGCAGGAAGTTAGACTGATAAAAGTAGTAGGGCTGGTACAGGCTGATACCTCACCTGTTGATGCTGGCATCTGATAAGAGTGCCTGTTTGTGTCCTGGCTGTTCCACTTCTAATCCAGTCCTGTGCTTATGGCCTGGATAAGCAGTAGAGAATGGTACGGGTCTTTAGGACCTTGCACCCATGTGGTACAGGTACTTGGACCACGGAAGTCCTGGCCTTAGTGTAGCTCAGCTCTGGCCTTTGCAGTCATTTGGTAAATGAATTAGTGGATAGAAGACCTTCTATGTCTCTACTTTGCTTTCTCTGTAAAGTCTGCTTTTCAAATAAAAAAAAAAGTCCCCCCCCTTTTTTTTTTAAAGGAGTAAGCCATTGCTTGGTTATTTGAATTATCAGGGCTCTATTATTAAACCAAACTATGTCTTGGACTTACTTTTTTTAAAAAAGGGTTCATTACTCACTTTTATTGGAAAATCAGATATCCAAAGAGGAGGATCTTCCATCCACTGATTCACTCCCCAAGTGGATGCAATGGCAGAGACTGAGCCAATCTTAAGCCAGGAGCCAGGAGCCAGGAGCTTCTTCCTGGGTCTCCTGTGCAGATGCAGGGTCCCAAGGCTTTGGGCTGTCCTTGATTGCTTTCCCAGGCCACAAGCAGGGAGCTGGGTGGGGAGTGGGGTCGTTGGCACACGAACTGGTGCTTATATGGGATCCTGGCATATGCAAGGTGTGGACTTTAACCACTAGGCTACCACGCTCAGCTGGACTTACTTTTCAAGGCATTCTTTATAGCCTGCATTCTGAATCTCTGCTAGCCTGGAAGCTTTGTGGAGTAGTATGTAAGTCCCGCCTTGCCTGTAGTTAGATGAATTTCTGCACTTTTCGAGTTTAATGAGGACTGATGTAAGTAATGACAAATAGATGAAGCTAGGTCCAAAATTATCATGTGTTCCTGCAGGCTTTGTTAAGGTTTAAATACATATGGTATTTTTAATCCTACAAATTAATAAAACAAATAAAATACTAAAGCATCCCCATGCAATTATTTACTAGATATTTAGTTCCTGCATTATGAGAAGCAAGATTGGTTTTGGAAGCTTTGGAGCTCATCACTTAAAATTCACAGTAAGAATTCATAAAATATTCTGTGGTGCAGTTTCTTTAGGATAAACGTATGTCAATATGGTTATTTGTCTGTGGGTTAAATACGACTGTCAAAGCATCTCATTTGTGCTTTGTCTCTGAAGTTCACGTCTGCCCAGAGGGAAAACAGTACTTTGACTGCAGATTTCCTGACCCCGACTTACCAGCTGGTGGTGTGAATTGTGAGACAACATGTGCAAATCTGGCCATGAATTTCACTTGTGCCCCATCCTCACCTTGTATAAGTGGCTGTGTTTGTGCTCCAGGGTAAGAATCAAGAAAGCACAAAATATCCCCAAAAATATTATTTTTTAAAGTATCGAAAATTGTTGTCCCAGTGTGGTGGACTTCTATTTGATAGCTTAAAGAGTCTTGTAAATTATTTTGCTGCAGTTATAATATTATTGTGAGATACTATTAAAGTCATAAACTGAGTTGAGGAGAGCATTCATTCAGGACGAACTTGGAATTTCTTGCCTGCATCAACTGCAATTTTGGGAAAGTGACACTAGCCTGACATCATTTATAACATAGTATATATATATAATATACATATATATAGTATATATAATGTAGTATGCATAGGATATATGCATAGTGTGTGTGTATAACACTTAAACAAAGTGTGTAGCTTTGTATATTCTAATGTGCAATTTCTGTGGCTGATATTACATTGTAGTAGTGATACCAGTTTCTTTTTCTTATCCATGTTACTGAAACACACTTAGGGGGCAACATAAACAGTGAGTAAGAGTGTGAGCTCTGGCTTCAGAAACAGCTTAGACCCCAGTGCTGCCAGTTAACTGAATGATTTTTATACAAGTTGTTTTTAAGACTTGATTAGGTACTATTAGAAGTGGTTCAGGTATGTACTCAGTAAGTATGAATCTGCATTTGCATAAAGGTGTATACTTGTAGAAATGAGTGTACTCTTTGTGCATTTCCCTGACTTGCAGAAATGCCTTGCACCCTGAAAGGAAAGTGTTCAATCTCGTGGTTTTTAGCTGTCTTATAGGTGCACATGTGGTCTGGTTGCATGGGCTTTCTTATGGAGGCTAGCAGTGGCCAATGGGATGTGTTCTTTGACTGACTGACTCTTATAAATTATGAGAAAAGAAAAGAGGTGATGTGGTTTGCTTCCCAGGACACAGTTGCCTGATTGTTCCCATGGGATGAATTAGAAGAGCCAAGTAACCTGGGGCTGAAATTAATCTCTTTAAAAAAGGAAAGAATGCTGGGGTGGAAAAAAAAAGGCAGAACATAGGAAGCAAAGAAAAGAAGGTCACAAAAGAACAAGGGAACACGCAGGGGAAAATCAAGGGCGTGGAGAAGTGGAGCAAGGGAGATGTTTTAGTAAGACAGACAAGGGAGGTAAAATAAAGCCTTACTGTGGTGAAAGAGAGAAAACCCCCAACCTCGTTCAGTTTGATCATGACTATTAAGGAATCATGGCTGATTAAAGCCATACCTTGATTTTGTCCAAATGTTGTCTTTGATGTTTCATTTTTGCAAAAATATCTACATTAACTTTTAACATTTATTTCAATAATGGTTTATTTACCAGCTACTCAGTCTTATAAAAGCATAAATGTTTATGCCACCTTCCCTGATGTTATTGGAATATATGTACAGAAACAGATTTTAACAGTTTCTTTTGTAAAGTTGTTTATAGCAATGTGCCTTTGCCATTTCCTCCATGTGGCATGACCTCATTCGCATATAGGATGACTGAGTGCTGTCACCTGTTTTCATGGGACTCCCCATAGTGCTGTCACTTCATTGACTGTAAAAGGATCGCACAGCTTTAATTTGGAAAAAAATGTGAATTGAATAAATGGAAAGTAGTATAGTGGAAAGAGACAAAAATGAATTCAAGTATTGATTGTCCTCATTAACTACATGGCCTCATTTGGAGCCTCCAGCTCCCCGCCCCAACCCCCTTTTTAAAAATAGGCATCGTGGTGTTTGCTTCATGAATGGTGGAGTGCTTACAACATGCCAGTTACATGGGTGATGCTCAGTGAGAGTCAGTTATCTAATTTTACACCTGCCAGATGCAGATCCTACTCTGACTAATGGCTCCCTTCCTTTTTTTTTTTTTTCCTGAGTTACAAAATCTCATCTGTTGTCATCAACATCACCACTTAACTGTGATTAATTTAGGTGAGATAGCCATCACTTGTACAATTAGGAGGCCAAATTTGGGAGGCTGAATTTACCTAACTTGGGAGGGCATTGTGTTAAACTAGAAGAATGGGGGTTGGTGCAAAAGTTCTAAAATATCTGAGGACACTTCAAAAATATAATGGAAATGAAAGGAGAAGTTAAGTTGATCTTGATGCAAAAAAAGTTTTAAGTTCTTGACTGTTTTTTTTTTTTTTTGTAATGTGTATTTTCTAGAGACCCTTTCTATAAGCCAATGACAGAACCTGCCTTAAGGAATGTCATTAGAATAAAATGAATTTGTGACATAATTGAATTAGAGTAGTGTTTGGGCCATAGTAACTAGTAAAAATATTAATTTTTATTATCACTATAAGGCATTTAACGAACCACTTACTAGTTTATTATGATGAATCTTCTGACCAAGTTTTTATAAGTTGATGAGCTGTGATGAGCAGCCAAAATATTAATTTTTATGATTACCTTACGACATTTGAAACAGAACTTAATAGGTCGATGTATAAGGGTGGTGTGAAGAAGTTGCAGACACAACATTGTAGTGCAAAGACTGCAATAAAGTGATTTGCAAAAAATGAGGATAAATCTTCCAGATAGAAACTGGGGTGAGATAATTTTTTTAAGCAAAAGGTGGAAAGTTTAGGATGAGTAGTTACAGTCTGGGAGGGTTGAAATGACAGACTGTGCTCTAGGCCATTATTGGCCTAAGGAGAGGAATCAACACACAGTCATAATAAGTACCTTGTATATATTAGCATTAGGATACAGTCATTAACATACTATGCTAATGTTATCTCCAGTTGAAGTCTAAAATCTAGGGCATAGCATGTAAATTGACTGTGCAAGGTGGAAAGCAGAGCACATAGAAACATTTGTAATTATCTGTATTTTGAAGAAGAGGCAAGAATAGATTCCCAATTTCTATGCTAACTTTCTTAACATTGAATTACTATGTTTTAAAGCAGACTCAGAAAATATTGTGTTTTTAGTAGTTATTTGCATTATTTGATAACTATTACCATTTAAAACAATAAAAGATTAACTCAAAAGAAATCATTTAATAACAGCAAGTTGTTTTGAAACAACAATTATTTTATTGTATGTTATTTTGTTATTGTATCTATATGCTTCGTATGAAGTTTCAAACTGTAATTATTATTATTTCATTATATATTTTAACTCCTACACTAATATTAGTATATATTACTATATTGTTTTATACTGTTTATTAATTTCCATGACTTTGCATTATTATTTTAAAAGCTATTTTGGAAAAAAAATTTTAAAACTATGGACATATATATATATACACTAAATGTACTTAATTGTACTAAAGACACTGAAATATGCATTATGTTTATTTAATATTCATAAAATATTTTGATGTTATAAGTATTAGTTCCCTGACATTGTAGTTTAATTTTCACATTAAAATTTAGTTTATATTTTACTTTAAGCCGAAGAGATTTTTAAATGCTTTCTCATTAGATAATGTTTTAAGATGGAAATACAAGTCAAAGGAAGGTACCATTCAAAATGTAATATGTTAAGAATAAAGTTAACATACTTGTTATAATGATTCTTTAATTCAAAACACTCCTAAGCTGAACTCTATTTTTACCTGTAAGCAATCAGAAAGAAGCTTTGGTTGCTTTCTATAGCCTGTAACAGTGTTAGCCATTAATATTTTACGTGTCCATTACTATTTTAAGAAAATACTGTTGGATTCCTGTCTAATAAGTGATAAATATTGAAGAAAATTACTTTTTTATTTTTTAAATGCTTTTCAGAATAATTCACTTCAATGAATTTGAACTGTTGTGTATTTTATTATAATGTTATGCAAGAGGTTATAATATCACAATGTAATGGTTCGTCTGATATTTATTTAATACTGTGAAATGCGTTGAACCATGGGGGAAAATCAAGGAAAAAGACAAGATGAAAGCCTTTTGTAGTTAGGCCAGATAGAATATGCCTTAGTTTACTGTAAACATAGAAAATAGTGTTCAAAGCAAAAATACTCTGTTGTTGTTGTTGTTGTTAACTGAGTATTCTAAGAGTTTTTTACTTCTTCAATTGGAAGGATGGCAGAGCACAAAGGAAAATGTTATGTTCCTGAAAGTTGCCCGTGTATCTGGAAAGACTGGGAATATCTCTCTGGGGAAGTGATTACTACACCATGTTACACCTGGTAAGGAAAACCACTTATTTCATAACACAGTTTACAATGAACTGCATTGATTTCCGCTAATTTGTTGTATTTTAATGTGTAGCAGAAATATACAAAAGAAGGCTGAATAAATAAAACTCCAGAAGTGTGTTACTGTATTTATTATAGCTTTACAAAAATTCTACAGTTTGGGTAATGTATAAAGAAAAGAAACATGTTGGTTGGAAGTCCAAGATAAAAGAGTCAGTCCTGGTGAGTGGCTTTTGAATCACAACAAGGTGGAAGAGGAGAGAAAAAGCAGGAACAACAGCTCATTTTGATAACAATCACACTCCCTTGATAAATAATCCACTCCCATAAGTGTAATAACCCACTATGAGGGTGGAGCACTCATTGGGTAATTAACTCTTAAACGCTTGAGGTTAATCTCTGTAACCTGAACTGTCACGGTGGCAATTCAGTTTTAGTTTGAATGGGGGGGGGGGGGGCATTCAATTACAGCAAAAGGCATTTGGGGCTGAGTGGAAAGGTGTCTACAGGGAGGCCATACTATTACTTTTATGCCTATGTGTTTACCCCAGGAAAAAAAAAATGTCAAATGTAAGAATTTGAAAATTTAATAACTTGTTTGCCCACTGGCAGATCTAGGTTCAATTTTCCTCTTAATATGATTCTAAAAATCTTAGCCAGAGTCATTGGGAAAGAAAGAGAAGTCAAAGGGATCTAAATTCGGAATGAGAAAATCAAATTATCCCTGTTTGCAGATGACACAAAAAAGAGATTATTGGAACTCAGAGTTTGGTGACATTTCACAACATAAAACAGCATACACATTGCTTTGTGAACACAAGCAATGCCGTGACTGAAAAAGTACTTGTAAGAATTGTTCCATTTGCAATAGCTGCCAACAATTTAAACACCTTGGGATCAACCTGATGCTATGAAATTACTAGAGAAAAACATCAGAGAGACTCTACAGGATGTTGTCATAGGCAAATGCTTCTTGGAAAACACTCCAGGAGCACAGGCAATGAAAACAAAATTAGACAAATGGGTTCCATGAAGCTAAGAAGCTTCTGCACTTCAAAGGCAACACTCAACAAAGTGAAGAGGCAACCAACACACTGGGAGAAAAAAATTTGCTGTCTACATAAATGATGAAGAATTGATTTCCAGGCTCAATATATAGTTCAAGAAACTCAACAGCAATTAAACAATTCAATTTAAAAATGAACTAAAGAACATGAGCATGCCTTTTTCAAAGGAAGAAATACAGGAAAAAAAACCATGAAAAGATGCTGAGGATCATCAGCTATCAGGAAAATGCAAATACACACCACAGTGAGGCTTTACCTCACTCCATTTGCAATCAGTATCAGACACAAATCTGAAGAAAGTACTGGAGGGAATTTGGGGAAAGTGTATTCTGATCTGCTTTAATGAGCATGTAATCTAGTACAACCATTATGGAAGACTGTTTGGAGATTCTAGCCATCTCATGCCTGAGAATTTACTGAATGAAGTGACATCAGCATGTGAAAGAATTATCTGCATCCCAATGTAGATCAATTCATAATAGCTAAAATATGGAATCAACACAGCTGTCCACCAACTGATAACTAGATAACAAAAATGCAATATATTTATTCTCTGTACAATACTACCCAGCCATAAAAAGAATGAAATTCTACCTTTAGAACAAAATAGCTACAAATGGAAGGCATTGTGTTAATGAAATAAGGCAGGCCCAAAAAGGCAAAAATCATATTTTTCTCTGACATGAGGAAATTAATGTAAAATACAAAAGAATACAGGAATGAAACAAACATCTTGTAATATTATTATAATTTTTAGCTTGTTTATACTCCTGTTGAATTGTTATACTTTTTATGGTTGGTGGTGAATTAAGCCTATGACTACGGAGTGTATTGAAATTATGTCTTTGCAAAGATTAAAGTAAAAAAGGGAGGAGGCCGTGAGATTGAGGAGGGAGGGACGGGAGGTAAGTATGATTACTTTCTTAGAATTGCACTCATAAAATATTTTTCTTTATAGTAATAATTTTTTTAAAAGTTCCACTTAGTCATCCATTTTATGTATGATCCCAGGACATTTGTTTAGGGTTGTTTTGTTGACTGATAAATTATTTAAGCCACACTGGCACAGATATGTCTAGGTAGTCCATATGATAGATGCTATCAGAATGAACTAGCAGTGTTTGTCAGAGTTATTGGCTCAGGGAGTGCTCTCTGGTACCAACTTTCCAGTGTTTACAGCACTTGAAAAACATTAATTAGAGCCATGTTTCATCATATGATAACTGATTTTACTTCCTGTTAGTGTTTGTCGACGAGGAATGTTCAATTGCACATATTATCCATGTCCAGCAGTGTGCACAGTGTATGGGGACCGGCATTATCATTCTTTTGATGGACTGGAATATGACTATATCAGTGATTGCCAGGTGTTTTTAATCAAGGTAGGTTATAGCTAATCATTTTTATTTGTACAAGGCTGCTGATCTGTGACAGATCAACCACATGTATTATTAAGTAAAAAGCTATAACATTTACAGTCATTTAAAATAATTTTCTCAATTCATTTTCAATTTCTGTTATTTGTGAAAGGTAGAGAAGTTTTTTAATTTTCTAAGTTTTTTTTCCTCATCTGTAAACAAGGTTAGCAATTGTGCCAAGCCCTGAATTTTAGTCTGAGGATTAAAGGAGATGTAAAATGCCTAGATAGTGTTTTCTGTATAGTAAATATCCAATAAATGTCTACCATATTTGTACTATTGACATGGTTTGCCAAATATAACACACGAAATCATATGTTGATATATCTCTGTGGTTATAATTGTCATGACATTATTCTCAATTTTTAAAAATATGATTTTGACGATATTCTTTGATAATGTCAAATTTTGTATATCTGACGGAACTCCTGGCTTTTCCATTGTGTTTAATGCATTTGGATTACCTCTTTATATTTTATTTAAATGTCTTTAGTATTAAACTTAAATTTCTAAATGAAAAATGTAAGCTTTTAGGAAGAAGTCACACAAAGATAAACAAAATACTATCTTTTCCTCTAGCAAGCTAACCTTTGCTTAATACATGGTTTTTCTCCCTTGTATGTCATTTGTGTTATTACATATTTGCAGGTGATCTTGCTTTTTAAGTCTATATCAAGGAAGTAGACTGCTATTCTCATTGTGTCTTAATGCTAGTAAATCAAAGTGTGCAGTGCAATCTATAGTCCTTTGAACGTCAATAAAACTCCTCCCTGAGCTTCCCTGTTGTTTTTCTTCTTAGCTTCATTCATGAATGCTTTTAAGTTTCTTAAAGAAGTACTTGCAAGTGGTGGATTTGTTTGTCATCCAATTATACAGTATGGCAAATTGAGACTTTTGTTTGTGTTATTTTGATTATTTCCGGAGCATGAGGAAGACACAGTAATGAATATACAGTATTTTCTGTGATTCTGTGTCCTCCGAACAAATCTTATTTTAGCAAATCACTCTAGAATATTTTCATCCTCTGAAGTTTACATTGCAAATTTAGGAACTTGAAAAAACTGTTCAACAGCTTAAGGATTTGACCATATAAACCAGTAAACTTCATTCTCAAAATGTATCACATGAATTTTGGAGCAAACCCTTTCTCCTGGATATTTAGGTGCTCCACAAATGCCTTTGTTAGCTCCCTGCTTTTAACCTTATCGAATATGCACATATGCTCTTTGAGTCTTTTAACATCTCTTCTGATTTTGTCTTTGCCTCTGTTGCCTCCTCTGGCTTAAGCCCTTGAGCGTAGGTGGTTAAGTTGATTCTTTCAGGGCAGAGCCAAGACTTAGTCATCATTTCACAAAGGAGGAGCAAAGCTGAGAGCATAATTGTGGTTCTTGATTGTTAACTGAACTGGATATCTGTTCCTTGTTTTCTATTTCTTTTTCTCCTATTACTTGATGTATTCATTCACTCTTACAACTCCTGATTTCCAATTCATTATACAGCTGTGCTCCTCAACCTGCATCTCGGTGGCCCAAGTCAGTCTCTGCATTTATGTGATTTTTTTCAATCCATTAATTTTTCTGAGGGTCATACTGTCATGTCATTGCTTAAGAACTACAGTGATGGGGAGGATGTTTAATTAGCAATGAACGTGTCAGTTAAGATGCTCACGTCCCATCACAGTATCTTGGTTTAATACCCAACTCTGGCGGCTGATTCCAGCTTCCTACTAATGTAGACTAGAGAACAATAACGACGGCTCAAATGTTTGCGTTCTCCTGTCCCGGGGAGCCAGGCAAGTGTTCAGATCTCACTTTTGGTCTGGTTCTGTTGCAGACATTTGCAGAGCAAACCACTAGAGGGGAGCCCGCTTTCTCCCTTTACCCCTCTGATATTTAAAAATCTGACAAATAATGATTGATTTTTATAAAGAACTCCAGTTCTTTATTAAACAGCTTTCAGTGATCAGCCTTATAAAGTCAAAGCTCTGTTGCAAGTCTTCCAGAAGTTTCTGTTATCTCCATTACTCCACTGTGTCTTTGGTCAGGATATTCTCCATGTCTGATATCTTCTCTCTCAAAGTGCTGTTTCTAGATCATACTGTGCTGTCCTGTTTTATATGCTATTGTGTTTATAGTTACCTCATCAAAATCACATAATTATCTTACTTCAATTACTTTACATATCCAATTAGATTGTATATCGTTTTATGTATTAGGAAGCCTTTACTTCTTTTGGGTTCCTTACACAGACAAGCACAATCACAGCTAAATTATAAAGATAAAACATTCATAAAAGTTTTCACCCATCTTTGCTAGAGTGTAGACACTACAAGCCTAAGTTTTTGCTAGTTATAACCTAACGCTGGAGACAATTGGATGTGTGTGCCTTCTGCACAAAGTGTACAGACCAGTGTTCCATACACTTTAATGTGTGAGCACAACAACTGAGGATGCTGGTATAGTGCAATTCTGTTTCCAAGGACTGCAGGATGGTTTTGGATTCCCCTTTTTACAGGTGGTGTAGCTGAGTCTATGGTCTGTATTTTGAGCAGCAAGAATACAGAGAACTTTCCTTTTTTAAAACTTTTAAAAATTGCTTTTTACATTATTTTTATTCTAATTAGTCTACACTAAGTCAAACTCAGAAGAAAAATGAAGTTTATTTAGCAATGTCATATTAAGCGTGATATGTTACCATTCAATAGTAAGGTCACAATTCTACCAAAGTCGATTTTTCTTTTGCATATGGAAAAAAATATTTACAAGTGTCTATCAACAGAATTTAAAATGTTTTCCCATATTTTATCACATCTATAATTTTTGCCAAAGTGTGTCAATGATCCTTGTTAATTAATTGCTATTTAATTAATTTCATAAATGATTTTTTGGGTTTACTAAGTCTGTGCAGAAAAAGACATGTCTACTACATGGACACTTGTTATTGTAACCAATTTATCCAGGAAAGCTCTGAAATTTTGATAGCAGGAATCATGCCTCACATTTCTTTTTTTTAAAAGAATAATTTATTTGCACTTTATAAGACAGATATGTACAATCATGTGTTTGTATGAGTGCAGTCCCCGAATCCTTACAACAGCCAGGAACTGTGAAGTCAGGAGCTAGGAACTCAGTGTGGGTCATCCATGAATGACAGAGTAGCAGAAAGCTGGATGGGAAGCAATGCTGCCCGGATTAGAACTAGTGCGTATATGGGATCCCAGCGTGTGCAAGGCAAGGACCTCAGCTGCTAGGCTACTGAACAGGGCCCTGCAGAAAAAAAATTTTTAAGTACAGCTGTTTATTTTAAGTCTTGTGTTGCTGAATCATTGTAGCGGTCCTCTTTTATTGGGACTACCGTGTAACAGTGCCAGTCCATTTCACAAGCAAGGCTTGGCATTTAGATTTGGTAACCTGATTTCACAAAGCCACCTTTATTTGACACTGTTTATCATTCTATTGGAACGAATACATCATATTCAGTTTCAATTTTTAATAAGATTGCATTCTTGCATGTAAGAAAATGCATCGCAGGTAATATTCTGCTCTTTCAGTAGCAGTGAAGATTGCTAATTCAATATTGAATTTAATATCACTGATTGTATAAGAAAAGACATGAAGAATATTAAATGTCTAATTTTCAAGTTCTGAAATTGTATGTGACATGTTTCTGACAAAAGCAGAAAGTTATTTTATTTGATTTATTTGTAATGTTCTTCTCTAAAGAAGTTTTGTTTACAAAAAATACAGATCTGAAGTAATGCTTTACTGAATTTGGTTCCTTGAAGAAAATAAAGTTTACTGTTACTTATTAAAATTATATTGGTACTATTTTTATATTGTGGTGATCAATTTTGCTAAAATTCAAGAAACCAGAATCAGGCCCCCCCAAAATCTTTCAGAATAAATTGACCAAAACATCCATGATAAGGCAAAAAAAAAATACCTTTTGTTTACTTGTGAAACATAATCGGTGCATACCAAAGGTAAATTAGTGAGTCAACATTGTTACTGAACTAAGGGTCTTTAAATGTGTTCATACCAGATGAAACTCTGCAATGCTTGCATTCTTTCCTGCTTCGGTTTTTGTTTAGTAGTGTTTTGTTACTGCTACTTCCAGCTGCCAAGATTCGAAGTCTCGGAGTTTTCCTTTGTCTGAAAGAATCAGTGTTTCCTTTGAGGAGTCAGGATGTGTGCTAGCATTATACATTGACCTGCCGTGTTTTCAGTGTTAGGAATCACATCTAATCAGATCTAATTTTTCCTTCCCTGTCAATCTGCTTTCTTTCATTCTTGTGTTGATTAAACATTTTTTTTCTCATGTGTACATTGTGGGTTTTGAAATGTAACAGAATCGTAGGTACAGAATGCAACTATATTCTTGTGGATTAAATATGTAACTTAAAAATTAAAAAAAAAAACATTAAAGCTAATGATGTATAGGTAGCATAGTTAGCAGCTGGCTGGTGTAGTGGTATAGTGAATAGAGTCATCATCCACAATGCCTGCATCCCACAGTTAGCAACAATCTGAGTCCTGGATGCTCCACTTGTCATTAGCCCTCTGCTAATGGTCTGGGAGAAACAGGGAAGGATGGTCCATGTACTGTCACCCATGTGGAAGACCTGGATGACGCTCCTGGCTCCTGGTTTTGCCTGACTCAGCTCTAGCCTCTGTAGCCATAAAGGGATGGAACCAGTGGAGGGAGGATTCCTTGTCTCTTTCTTTCTCTCTCTCCTTTCCTGCCACCCCTTCTCAACTTCTCTCTGTAAATGTGACTTTCAAATAAAGAAATATTTTTTAAAAAGATCAATTAAACAATTTTAATTAATTTTTTTTCATTATGTATTTCCGTAGGCTCAGGGATTTCTCCGTCCACCCTCAACATATACCCTCCCTCTACTGTTTTCCCTTGTATTATTACAATAGGGTAATCCTTCAGCAACAATCACAAATCCACGACTGTACTGTTTCAGTGTACCATGACATAGTAGGTTTAGACAATGGTAGAGAGTCCAGCATCCTGTTGTCAAAGTATATCTAACAGTTTCATTGGGAGTCTATCTTATCCAAAAGTAAAGATGAATACTATAGTATATCTTCCCTCCTTGGTTGACAGTCACCCTTATGCAGTTCTTCTAGATGATTACATGTTTATACATGTTTGTTTATATATTTAAATTATTTTGTTTATCTTCTTCCTTTCATGAAGTTTTGACTTTGTTATATTTGGTTTTATTCCTTAGTTTGTTAACATAATGTATCACATTTATTGATTTACTTTTGTAGGACCATCCTCACATTCATGGAATAAATCACACTTGGTCCAGTTGTATCATTTCTAATGTGTTGTTATATTTGATTATTTAGTATTTTGCTAAAGACTTTTGCATCAACAGTGATATTCAACAGTGATGTTGGGCTGTAATTCTCCTTGTTATGTCTTTTTCTGGTTTTGGAATTAAGGTGATCCTGTTCTCATAAAAGGATCTTAGGAAGATTTCCTCCCTATTTGTTGCTTTGCATAGTCTAGGAAGAACTGAAATCATTTTTTTAATAATTTCGGAAGAATTCAGCAGTGGAGCCATCTGTTACTGGGCTTTTCTTTTTGAAGAAAAAAAAATGTGTTCTCATATTATTTGGTTTCTTAAGTTTTTAATTTGCAACTTCTCCACTGAGATTAGAAAATATATATTGTGTAACTTAATTTTCTTAATTGTTGAGACTTGTTTAATGTCTGTCATATGGCCCATTTTGGAGGAAGTCCCATGAATTGATGCAAACAATGTGTACTATGCAGCTCTGGATGAAATGTTCTGTAGATAAGAATTAGATACATTCATCCAAAGTATAGATTAGTCCTGCTGTTTCTTGTTGGTTTTTTTTTTTTTTTTGTCTAGTTCATCTGTCATTGGTCAAAGTGGACTGTGTTCTGCATTAATAAATTGTGTGGGATGCCACGGGCATGTCTCCATTGAGATCCATTAACATTTGCTTTACATAGCCAGGTGACCAAGCAAGTGAGCATACATTTGTTATAGTCGCATCTTCTTGTTGAATTGATCCCTTAATCATTACATAATGTCCTTCCTTGTTTCTTTTAACAGTTTTGTGTGTGTGTTAAAGTTTATTTTGTTCTCCTATTAGAATAACTATTCTTGGTCACTTTTACATTTCTCTTAGTGAGTATGGGATATCTTTTCCTATCCTTTCACTTTCATGACTGATTTTGACTAAAGGGACAATCCAGATCACAGAAGAGGTGACTTTGTTGCTGGGCTCCTTAGGACAGGGTCTTTCACCCTGTGTGTTTTAACTCACCTGTCCTTTACTATCAGTGTCTCTTCAAATCATCATCCTAGATAATGAAGCAGGTTCTCTTTCCCATGACATTCTATTTTAGCATTTTCCATTTCAAATAACAAACAGTAGGTGCAGGGCAGGGGAAACTGTTATGATTGCCTGTGCAGTCCTAAGACAGAAATATTTCTCAAGGAACTCCTCCAACAAATGCTTTGCAGAGGTGTCGAAGACTCGAAGACTCGTGGGTGTCCTGATGTTGTTGGTGCTGCTGAGACAGTCTCTCTGTGGTTGCTGTGTTCTCTGTTGACTTGGGCTTGATTGTCTGACTCACCTCCTTCTCCTATTTTTTTTTCTTTTACTTCAGCTAAGTCATTATTTTTTTTAAGTTATTGTAATTATTTTAATGACATGATTTTGTAGATATAGGGATTCCCCCCTTGTCCTATCCTTTCTCACTCCCCATTTTCCCCTGCTGCCGTCATTATTTCTACTACCTGTTATGTTCAGCTCCATCTAGTCTATTTAGCCCTTTCTCCACATTATTTCCTTTATATGTCTCTTCAACCCTCAGTTTTGCTATGAAACTTTTTGTTTTAGCCAAGATTTTTGTTTTGTTTGAATTGAGGGAAGGATTTAATTGACTGGAGTTGTTTTGTTTTTTGTCAGCATTAAAATCTTACCCCATCAGTGATTATATTTGGGTCCCGTCATCCATGGGACATGAAACCCAGTTGCCTGAAGCTAGTAGACTTGTATGGTATATTTACTCTTAAAAAGAGTGAAAGTATTAATGTGTTCCAAGACTGACATGTTGATGACAATAATATAGTAGTTTAAGGATAGTGAAATCTTAGGATGTTTCAAAAGTATTTGAATTATATTCCATATCAAATCTTTCAAAGTAAAAAGAAGAAATTAGTTTTGAGGAACCCATGTGGCACGTTTATGCTGACCTTTTTTCTTTAGCTTTGTAATCATTACTAACTCTGCTGCTAAGCAACTTTGTAGCATTGTTTTCAACCCAGATTAACTTCAAGTACATTGGAAGTGAGGCTTGTAGAATCTGCTCTTAGACATTGCTATTGTTTCAGATTACTGTTAGCATAAGGTATTATAAAACAGACTAGATAAAATGCAGTGTCTCTTCATATTTATGATTTTAAGAGTAAAGTCAACAGAGAGAAACTTTAATTAACAATAATAGAAATATAATGGAAATAAAAAGTCAGCCTTTGGCTCCCAGAATCTAAGTAACTCTGCAAGAGGAATAACAAAACAAAACCCTGAATCACATATTTTTTCTTTCTTTGAAAATCATTCACAGAAGTATAAAACTGTGGCTTTATTTTTTTTGAATAGTACAATACCATAATCATCTTAATGACCCTTATTATTCTTCTTTTCAAAATGTAGGCAATGCTTTGCAAAAGGGTTGTTTAAGAAAAAAGGAGTAAAGCTCTCAAGACCTATCAAGGCAAAATAGGTCACAGAAAGACACATTAATTATGCCATCAATACCATTCATTAAAATCTGTCTTCTGCGCACTTACACTGCAGCAAGTACTAACAAAACGGGAAGAATTTTTCTAAAGATACGTATTTCTTTAGTATTCATGTGGCTAGAGATGTGAAAAACTCTGTGTGGAAAATTCATATGAAGAGCCACATTATTTTCAACCCACTAATGTTCCCTTACTATGAAAGTTAAACACTCTAAGTCTAAAAATGAAAAAGATTTAGCACATATATATGCGCCTTTGAGCACTGGACTTTGCAACAAAGAAAAATGTCACATTGCTTTCTCTTCTTTGGATGAGATTCTCAGCTTGAAACCCTTTTAAGTCAATGGCTTCTTAAGTTTGGGCAGCTAACACCTTTGAAAATTGGGCAAAATCTATGGACCTTGTTTCTAGAAAATTGTAGGCTTATGAAGTGGCAGATATGTCAATTGTCTTGATTAATCTTTGTACATTATATGCATAAGTTATATATTTATATTTTACCCTATCAATATATATAATAATTTATTAGTTATACATTTAAAATAGATACAAACAACATTTTTAAAGTTTTATTTATTAATTAATTTGAAAGAGAAAATGAGAGAGGAACAGAAACAGCAGAGAGGGATCTTTGATCTATTGGGCTATCCAAAATGCCCATAATGGCTGAGGCTGAACCAAACTGAAGGGAGAAGCCAGGAACTTCATCTGAGTCTCCCAGGAGGGTCTTCTGCTGCCTTCCATTACACATTAGCTATAAGCCGAATGGGACGTGGAGGAGCTGGGGCTTGAATTGGAGCTCTCATAATGGTGTGCATATTCTAATGGCAATTCAGTGTGTTGTGCCACAAAATCTGGCTTCACAAAAAATGTTTTATAATGAATTCCTGGAGTCTTCAAAACTGAAGAAACTTGTCCATGAGACTGGGATACCACCTTAGATACCATGATTCTAGAAGTGTGTTCTTGATGGATGCAGTAGGGAACAGCTAAAGGTAAAGGCTCTAGAAGCTAGATTTAGAGTGTCTGAGAATAACCAATGTTCTTTTCAAAGAGCAGTTTTCATCCATCCAAAGTAGGATTCACTCATTTACTATTACTAGTCTCCCCCAAATTTATCTGTAATTTTTTTTTGTATTTTCGTAAAGATAAAACAAGAGAAAACATTTTGGAATTCTGAACTTTGTTTCTAAACTAACTTAGCTAAGTGGACTTGACTAATCAATGAATCCCTCTTGATGCCAATGTATTGATCTGTAAAACAGAGAGACTACTGAATTAAAAAGGTTATCAAGAGACCTAAATGGGACACCAATGTAAAGTTCAAGACAAGTCTTCAAATAATATGCATCATTTCCCTTATTAGCCCATAATAAATCTTCGTATCTACTTGACTTATGGACAGGTAGAATATTGTAGGCAAGTAGTTATTGATTCCAAAATTCCTTTAAATGGAAAATATGTTGTCCAAATTAAAAATATTTATTTGAGAATTCTCATGGAGTGGTGTCTTGTTAGTTATCTATTGATAAAGAAAATTATAATGATTGATAAGTTGAAGCATAGAAATAAAGCTTTACTTGAATTAATTTTGACAGCAATAATAAAAGTATTTAATGGCTCAGCCATCTTGCTATATGTTGTAAAGTTTTCCAACTACTTACACAAAATTTTAGATAATTCTAGAAGTTATTTTGTAGTTGGAATGCAGTCTATTGTAAATCTTGTTCTTCCTCAAGATTTGCTCATGAAGATGACTATGATGTGCAGTGTACACTTGTATTGACACAATGTTTTTGATATTTCAGAGTACGGATGAGTCAGATATATCTATCATTTCGCAGAATAAGAAGTGCTTTGACAATGATATTGTCTGTTCTAAAAGTGTTTTGATTTCAATTGGTGACACTGAAATTTACCTGAATGATGCTTCTTACAAACAGGTTAGTGAATTATTTCTTCTAGCATAATTTGCATGTATTCTGACGTAGCGAAAATAATGTAAAAATGATTGGGTACTTCCCTCTGTAAATTATTGTAAGATTTAGATTTTTTTTCCCTTGATAAATTGATGTGGATTGAGTTAATGATACTAGATTTGTTTCTTCTGTTTCTACTTCATGTTCTCATTTCCTAATTCTTCCCTCTTGTTTTCTTTCCCATAGCCACCATTTTGTCTGTAGAAACTGAAAGCTGTTACATGATTAGCCTCCAAATTACTCCCTTCCCTACCTCTAATCCACTTCAAAACATAGTGGTCAGAGTGTGATTCTGAAACGGAAATCTCATTTCCCACCACTCTGCTATTTCAAATAGCTTTCAGATGAGCACATTGTCCTTACAAGGCTTTGCAAGTCTGGCTGGTTTTATGTTTCTTGAGTCACATCCTGGCTCTTTCTGCTTCAAGACTGTTTTAAAAGTTGAAACTTGGATCAGCATAGTGGTATGGTAGGGTGAGTTACCTCCTGCGATGCCAGCATCCCATTTGGGCACCAGTTCCTGCTGTTCCACTTCTGTTTCTACTGCCTGCTAATGTACCCGGGTAAGCTGTGGAAGATGGCCCAGGTGCTTGGGCCCCTGTGCACTTATGGGAGACTATGCTAAAGCTTCTGGCTCCTGATTTGGACCTGGACCAATGTGTTTAGCCATTTAGGAATAGGAAGTCATGCAACAGATGGAAGCATGACTCTCACTCTCTCTCTCTGTCTCTGTCTCTCTCTCTCTCTCTGTCTCTGTGTGTGTGTGTGTGTGTTGCATGCTGTGTAACTTTGACTTTGAAATAAATTAAACTTTAAAAATAAAAGCAAGAGAAGTTGAAGCTTTATTTAGTTCTTCATACCCTCTCCGATCTTTTACTTCTAGTCCTTCATGAATGTCAATACCCTTTCCGGGATCCATATTTCTGTTTACCTATTCTTGTGCAATCTGTTTTATCTCCTCCTAAGAACTCCTCGTGTCCCCATTACATGCCAGTGAAACTTTGCATGAGGCTGTTTTCCCAGGAATGTCTAAAAGATGCGAGAAATGGGATCGTTCTCTCCCTTGTTTATTCTCCTATCCTTGGATCTGCCCCATTGAGACACAATAAATGCTTCCTTCATTCATTTACTCATTCATTCAATTTTCCCAATGTATGTCAAAATGTATATTAAATGTTGGGGCTACAATACTGAAAACACATATATTTGATGAGCGTTATCTAGAAGTAAATAAGGATGTGCAGCATGTTATGGCCGGAGTTGATCCAGGATGACATGGAAACTCCTAAGAAGAGCTGCAGCAATCTTATACTTTTTAAAAGTATATAGACTTTAGAGAGTCAGCGTTTACATAAGGCCTCTGTTCGGTCACTGGTGGTTGTATCACCTTAGGGAAGTTTACCCAATCTCCCCAGTTTACATCTCTCCGAACTGTACATTTAGAAATCTTACGGAGGCTACCTCCTATGTTCACATAAGGATTGAAATGAAAACAGGAATTAATGAATTTCAAGAAAGAGTTCTCCTTTCCTTCATCCTTATTTTTGGAGACTCAGAAGATGTGCCCTGGGTGAAATGATTTCAATTGAATCTAAAAAGACGAGGAGACATTAACCAGGTCACCAGAAGGCAAAGAATGACTGTCCATGAAAATGAAAGAGTATATCAAAGGAGTAGCTTTGAAAGATAAGATGGTGTGTTTGGAAAACTTTACTTGCAGATCATTTGGTTTGGTTGGAACACCGTACATAGGATAGAGGAGGGGGTGGCCAAAACAGCCAACTGTCAACTGTAACACAAGAATACCATACAAGAGCAGTAGACAAGAGGAATGGATGTAGACTATACAGATCTCGAACGGCACAAGACATTTACAAATAAATGATGTGACAAATCATCTTTCAAAAGCTGCCCCTTCCTGGAATCTAAGCGTTTATCTAATTTTTGTCTGCAAATTTTTGTTAGACTCTTCTGGAATATTTGAATTAAGTGCTGATTTTGGAGAGTCTCCTTAGTGATTGGAATGGTTAAGGTTGAAAATAATTATGATGTTTTTAATAGTACTTAGATTCTTCACAATGAAGTTTGAGAAGCATTGCCTAAAAGATATCCTGTGTTTGTCTCAGAAACACTGAGACCAACCAGCCATCACTTTAAGCAAAACGGAGGATCAACACTCAGGTGCATGTCTTTTTGAAGGAGTTACAGCAGTTACAGCAGTTTGGACTGGTGATCAGCTGAGTATACACTTTATGTGAAGATTTTTATCCAAAAGCCAGGATAAAACAAAAAAGAAAATAGAAAATGCTCTTAGAAAGAATTTGACACATTTTAAATGTAATTAGAGTTCTATAACTTTTCCCTTCTAATTTTCACCTGTACACACATGTTGATCAGTCTCTTTTATTTATATTGTAACTTAAGAAGATGTAGAGAAGATATATAAACAGTTTGGCCCTGCCAAATTTTCTGGTGATATTATTCTATCAAACATCAAAAGTGAAAATAGCTACCACTCACTTTTATAGCAAATGGACTGCTCATGCAGGAAAAGGATGGAGGGAGAAGTCCTCTGTCATTTTTTGTATATATGCACACAGGTAATGTTGCCAATTATGTAAATAGATTGAATTAGCTTATTCAGCTCTACTTTCAATACTTTAATTCTTCACAATTCTAACTTATTTTGTAGTATCACTGGAGTTTTCAGTGCACACATTCTCATCTGAATCAGAGGTCTGTCTTTGGGGTATGCATGGAACCTCACTTTTCCAATGACCATGACGGAGGAGTCTGAAAAGTAATGAGTACGGCAAATCCTTTTGATCAAAAAGGATTGTTTTCTGTAGTAAAGTGGACTGCTTAATGAAAATAATGTAATAAACTGCTTTTTCTACCTCTATAGCCAAGTAGATGTCTTTGCACCAGAATAATGGATTAAACACCACTGCCAGGGGAAGACAAGCTTTAATCAAAGACAAATCGGGTAATAGAACAGTCCTACAAAGCACAGGTGAACAATAAGAATAGACCCTGTCAGAGAGTGGCAGGCTACACAATTCATAAAGTTAAGAGCAAGCTGAAAATTTGTATAGCCTTATTCAAAACAGGGGAAAAAAAGATTCATCGTTGTTTCATTATTTTTCTTCACCTGTCTTGAGTTTTTTATTTTTTAAATTACTATAAAATTATTTACTCTCATACTCATGTGGGCACAGGTGTACTCCCAGGGTGTGTGCAGGCCTCCGCAGCATTAAAGGTCTTGCCCTATAACTGAGCTCTGCATTGTTGGTGGGGTTACTAGTTGTCCATGGTTGGACCAGGTGGCTGAGAATGAGCAATGGACAGATGGAGTCACAGCAGAAGACAGATAGTCCACGCATCAGTGCTTACTCTCCCACTGGATTTTGCTTAGAAAATACATGCTCAAAAAGTGAAATTATTGGGATAAGTTAAAAATGGCAACTGTGAAGCATTAAACCCAAAGTGTGAGGCTTGGAGCTCTGTGTTGCATTGCCCAACTGTGCACCAATTCATCTCATTTGGTTAACAAAGTGTTCTGCTAGGGTATTCAAGGAAGGAGGGACACTAGGGGTTGACGGGATTGAAGTAGCTGTGCCAAGTTCTGGGTGAAAACAGCTCTTTGCAAGAGACATATCAAGTATCCATGAATGGAGATGAGTTCAAGCTTGTATAAATTGTAAGAAAAAAATGTAGCTGGCTCCTAGTCAATGAGGGTGGAGAACTGAAAGGTGGAAGGATATATGAAGTTTGGTAGGGCTAATAAATAATAGGTGTGAATATACACAGTAGATTCAATTCCATGCAGTATACTGCACACATGTTATAAATATAAACTTGATTTAGGAGGCTGAAAACTTTATGACTAGGCTTATTTAATGTATCCCTTGAAAAATGCCTATTAAAAGACCACTGTAATATAGTAGTTTCAAACAATGTCCTTGTTATTACTGGGAAATGAATAATAACCAAAGGATTTTATATATCCTTCCTGATTCTTATTGTTTCTTGCAATCTATTTTAAAATTTTTTTGATATAATCATTTTTATGCTATTGTGTGAGATAATGGCGAAATAATTCAGGTTGTAAGTACTTTAAGATGCCCCGAAGCATTTCATCTATAATTTCAATTGTATCCTGTATTTCTTTTCTTTTAAAGTAAGTCATGGTCTGTCACTGTATTTGAAAGCCTTTAATTAACATTCTTTGCACATGTAGCAGTTACTCTGCACAGAAAACTTGCTTGTGGAGAGTCTCCCTTGCATTATACTTCATCATGTGATAATATTTTCCAGTCCGTTGCTAGTCTGAACAGATCTAGGATGTTCCTGTCCCTAAGCCTTTAGTCAAGCCATTCCTATTGTTTGAAATTATCCCCTTTACATTCTCATTCCCAGCCCTCTTCTTTTCCGTATATGGCATTTTGCAGGTCATTTCACATCCTGATTCTTCAAGAATTTTTTTCTCTGATATGTGTGCCCATCTGTGCGTGAGATACATATTTTTTTGTTATACACATTTTCACAGGTTTGTTGAGAACCTCTAGTATGCGTGGGTCTCAAAGAATTTTTGCTCTAAAACAAATTTTATTTTAGTTCAATTTCCATTAACTTTTACAAGTGTCTTTGTGTGTATATGTACGTGTCCATGTGTATGTACGTGTGTATGTGTGTGTCCATGTGTATGTGTATATGTGTGTGTCCATGTGTATGTGTATATGTGTATGTATGTGTGTATGTGTGTGTCCATGTGTATGTGTGTATGTGTGTGTCCATGTGTATGTGTATATGTGTATGTACGTGTGTATGTGTGTATGTGTATGTACGTGTGTATGTGTGTATGTGTGTGTCCATGTGTATGTGTATATGTGTGTGTCCATGTGTATGTGTATATGTGTATGTATGTGTGTATGTGTGTATGTGTGTGTCCATGTGTATGTGTGTATGTGTGTGTCCATGTGTATGTGTATATGTGTGTGTCCATGTGTATGTGTATATGTGTATGTATGTGTGTCCATGTGTATGTGTATATGTGTGTGTCCATGTATATGTGTATGTATGTGTGTCCATGTGTATGTATATGTGTCCATGTGTATGTGTATATGTGTATGTATATGTGTATGTATGTGTGTCCATGTGTATGTGTGTATGTGTGTGTCCGTGTGTATGTGTATATGTGTGTGTCCATGTGTATGTGTATATGTGTGTGTCCATGTGTATGTGTATATGTGTATGTATGTGTGTATGTGTGTGTCCATGTGTATGTGTATATGTGTATGTATGTGTGTATGTGTGTGTCCATGTGTATGTGTGTATGTGTGTGTCCATGTGTATGTACGTGTGTATGTGTATATGTGTATGTATGTGTGTATGTGTGTATGTGTATATGTGTATGTATGTGTGTGTCCATGTGTATGTATGTGTGTGTGTGTCCATGTGTATGTGTGTATGTGTGTGTCCATGTGTATGTGTATATGTGTGTGTCCATGTGTATGTGTATATGTGTATGTACATGTGTATGTGTGTATGTGTGTGTCCATGTGTATGTACGTGTGTATGTGTATATGTGTGTGTACGTGTGTATGTCCATGTGTATGTGTATATGTGTATGTACGTGTGTATGTGTATATGTGTGTATATGTCCATGTGTATGTGTATATGTGTATGTACGTGTGTATGTGTATATGTGTGTGTACGTGTGTATGTCCATGTGTATGTGTATATGTGTGTACGTGTGTATGTCCATGTGTATGTGTATATGTGTATGTACGTGTGTATGTGTATATGTGTGTATGTCCATGTGTATGTGTATATGTGTATGTACGTGTGTATGTGTGTATGTGTGTGTCCATGTGTATGTGTGTATGTGTCCATGTGTATGTGTATATGTGCATGTACGTGTGTGTATATATGTGTATGTACATGTGTATGTGTGTGCAATGCTATTTGTTTTTCAGTGACCACATCATGCTTTAGAAATTTTACTGAGCCGTGAAGGCAATGTCTTTTACCAAACTCAGGAATTCTGGTTTTCATAGAATATTATTTGAAGTTAATGACTACTCTTGTGCTTGTAATTTTTCATCTTTAACCATATTTATTCATCATTCATGCAGCAGTTTTAGTTTGCGAGGGTGCCTTTTAGTGTCCTCCATGACGTTTCCTTTCTTTGTACTCATCCTCATGACTGAAATATCTTTTCCTCTTTGACCATTTGTGTTGCACAAGTCTGTTAGTTTACTTCTTGTTACCAATTTTATGTATTTCCTATTTCCTTACCTTTTTTTTTAAACTGGAAAATCAGATCTACAGAGAGGAGGAGAGATGGACAGGAATATTTTGCGTAAATTGATTCACTCCCCAACAGGCTACAATGGCCGGAGTTAAGCTGATCCAAAGCCAGGAGCCAGGAGCCTCTTCCAGGTCTCCCATGCAGGTGCAGGGGCCCAAGGGTTTGTGCCATCCTTGGCTGCTTTCCCAGGCCACAGACAGGGAGCTGCATGGGAAGCAGGGGCACCAGGATTAGAAAAAGTGCCCATATTGGATCCCAGCATGTTGCAAGGCGAGAACTTTAGCCACTAGGCTCATGTGTCTGGGCCTTAATTTATCATATCTTAAAGAATTTAGAAAGAAACTTGCCTAAACAAAAATGCTAATATATAGATGGCAGCTGGCAGATGTTTGTTTTATGTATCTCAGTTAGAAAGAATGACATTCACTGTTTTTTTTTTAAATTTTTTTTTTTTTTTAAAGAAGCGATCAGGTTTTTTTCTGGAAAGCAATCCCACATACCAGCTTTGGAGGGCTGGGCACTACACAGTCGTGTACTTTCCAGAAGAAGATATCACTATTCTTTGGGATAGGAAAACAACTATTCATATCAAAGTTGGACCGCAGTGGAAGGTAAGTTAATCTAAGCTCCAAATGAAATACAAGAAATAAAATTATAATTTACCCTTGGATATTTGCTGAAAACAAAATGAGTTGTGCTTTGCTTTAAGTAATAGGTTACATTTTCGGAGTTACTAATGCATATTCCTGTGAAAAAGAACTTTATTAACCCTAGTTCACTGTTCATGTACATTTTCTCCCACAAGGCGTGGTGTCCAGTATCCCAAAGTCACTGAGATCAGCTCCTTTCATCCCTCTCCCTTCAGCTTGGCTGTCTGTAAGACAGATTCCATTTATATGATCTGTATGCTCTATTTTGCTCCTTCCTCCGTTGAACACTTTTGTAATTTTATATTAAGTAAAATTGTGGCAAAGTATTTTAAAGATTATGCTTATGATAAAAGTTTCACCTATTTTGACAAGGGAGTGACTTATTACATCTACCACTATGGTTGAATGTAGAAAATACCTCAGTGGATCTGAAAATTTCTCTCATGTAGTTTTACTTTGTGTTGTCAACACCCACCTCTTTCCCCGGTGACCTGACCATGACTGATATATTTTGATTGTTGAAGTTGTGTACTTCCCAAACATTAATACAAAAGCAGTGTCTGAAAAATGCATTCTATGTGAATTAAGAGTTTGCTTTTTTATCCTGGGAGTTATCATTGAGTACAATGAGTACAATTTTTGGTGATTTACATTTATATATTTTTATGTTAAATGTTTTATTAAATATTGTTAGCATTTTATCATTTAAGGTTTAAAATTTGATGAAACATTTAAAATTTCTATCAGTGTGTTTTTGAAATTTAAATGCATAAGAAAAATTTGCTTCATCTGAAATTAAATTCAAACTTGATATTATGATCTGTATCAAGTTAGAGAAAAACTGGGCAACCAGGTGTATTTTCTCACAGAAGTATAAGACAGACACATTAAATTATGTAATATGTTATAAATTGGAAACATGCTTGATTATAGAAGGCATAATCTTTAATTGTTTACAGGGATAAAGGCCAAAGATACTTTTCTGGTTTTACTTGCATCTTGCATTTCTTTCATGAATTTCATGATTTATTCAACTATGTTTTTCCGTTCTTCATTTTATATTGTCCTATAGTAATTTTTAGCAACAACTCAACACTTTGGTTTTTAATATCCCCTGCCTGCTACCTCAGCGTTTGAATGACCACTGCTGGTAATGGCCACTGACTTGGGAAAGAAAAGGCTCGGAGATAGAGGCTCCCTAGTAACCAGTGACCACTTCAGCTGTAATCATCGGGTTATCATTTGCTTTGCTGAGAACACAGGCTGCCCACTGCACCATTAATGAAGGCCCACACTCTGTTTTTCAATGCTAAAGAGAGAGTTCAGCAAGTTAGTTCTATTGTTTTCAAAAGGTTTTCCAGTTCCTAGTCTCCCTTCTTCCTGCAAGAGCAAAGTTTATCACAGTGTTTTAGAAAACCCTGTAGGTAGTGTTGATACATAGAGTACATCTGGCCATAGTCACAGCTATTTCATAACTCATGCTAATATAAACTATCTTTACCATTTAAACATTTTTGTGTTAGAAATTTTAAACTTATCAGCAAGTGGACTTTTCATCATTAAAAATTTTATATATGTGCATGAATTATATATACCTTTAGGCATGTGTGTATGTGGGTATTTGAATAATGTATTTCCAAGTACCTTATATTGTTAGTGGTACCCAGGCTGTGATGTTGATAAAAGTAGATATGGTTTGGAGCTGGTTAAATATTTCTTGAGCATTAAAAATAATCACTAAATATAATGAGATGCATAAAAGTTAAATTTCTTCCAATGCATATTTTCTAAATGACTGATATAGAAATGCCTAAACTTATGTTTATTGAATCAGCTTTTAATTAGTATGAGTTTGTTAAAATTAAATAAATGTAAAATATGAATATGCAATTTTCTTTAACCTTAGAACAAGCTATCAGGATTATGTGGAAATTTTGACAAATGTACTTCAAATGATATGACCACATCTAATAATCTGGAAGTAAGAAATGCTCAGGTGTTTGGAGACAGCTGGGCACTAGGACAGGTAAGTAAAATATACGTATTTTAAAACCAAGCAAAAAAGTCTAGAATATTTTTTTGTCACAAGAGCATTTTCTCTTTAGAGGGAACTTTATTTTAGCAATAATATTTTGCATGATGTTTTCATATTACTTCACAGTTAATGAACTACATTTCTATGTATCATCCCATGTAATTGTTGAGACAACTCATTGTGTCATGAGCCGTTTTTTCCCCCTCCATTTTATAAATGAAATTTTGAGAGTCAGGGAGTTTATATCTCTCGGATAAGAGATTTAAGAGATCTCTTGGTAGAGCCAGAAAGTGGCAGAAGCTGCAAGCAAACTCCTGCGTTCTTTTCTGGGCTTTCTGCACTATGGCATGATGTCTGATCTCGGTGTATTCGTTTCTAAATAAGATGTGACTTTTAACATTTCAATGCTATTAAAGATGAAATCAGAATATCTTGACAATTGTGGCTGATTCATTAGTATTAGATGAAAATTAGGTGTGTGTTTACATATACATGCTTGTGTAGGGGATGGATTGGTATTCTGTTTCTTTTGAGAGCAGTAGGATAAATTAAGTTAGACTTATTTTTCTTTAAAGATTTCTCAGATTTAAAAGTCTATGCAGATGGGATGTGTTTGATGGATTTTTTACAGATTTACTGATGTAGAACCCATGTTTTAATTTATCAGATATCAAGTAGTGTCCTGTAGAACTCTGAAAAATGCTGAAGTAACTCAGAAAACAGAAAAATTGAACAGGAAGGAATTCTCCTTTCTTGTATTTTTTATTCTATGCTTTTAGATTGATAGGAGTATTTAAAGCCACAATTTCCTGATGAGTTACTATCTGGCTAGTTATGTTGCTTTGTGGCCTTTTAAAAAAATCCTTCTTTAATTGTATCTATCTTATGTCTTGTCAATCTTTACAATTTTTTGATAAAAATGACTTTTGTCCTATTTGAAAAAATTGGGTTAAGAATTTCTGATAATACTAAATATTGGGAGTCATCAAATAATTTTAAACCACTTTAAACAAAGAATATTGGGAGTCATCAAATAATTTTAAACCACTTTAAACAAAGCTAGCAGTAAATCACTACTTCATTCAATGGATTCTTGTTAATGCTTCACATTCTCTATTGTGTGGAGACACATAATATGAATAAAACAGTCTCTACCTTTAAGTGATTTAGAGTGTAGGTCAATAGGTAAGGTTGAAAAAATTATAAGAGTATGTGGGAAAGGTACTTCATTCAACATGCACACAAAATAGGGGTCGTTATGGGCCAAAAAAGTTTCCTGGAAAAAATACCGAGAGATGAATCTTGTATACGGCACAGGAGATTTGAAAGTGAAGTCAATGAGACAGAATATATCAGGGAGGGGCCATGGCATTCATCCAGAGTGTATTGGAATCTGGAGAGAGTGTGGTATATAAAGTGATTTTTAAGAACTTAAATGTGGATATGGTGCCAGTTTTGAAACAAGAAATGGCTCAAATGTGAGATATAGGTATGTAGAATATGAGGGCTGGGATACTCTTGCATTCCAGATAGAAACAGTAAGTCAGTGGAGAGTTGAAAGACATCATAAATTTCAGATTATATTAAGGATATTAATCACCAGCATCTTTTGAAGTAAGGTGGTAGGATGGATGAACATCATGACTCATGCTTCAACTTTCCTGGCTTATTTGGTGCATGCTAATTGTTGCACCTTGAGGCAAAGCAAAAATAATGGGCTATGGATGATGGGAGAAAGAATGCCATACAAATGACTGTAGTTTGGGATGTGCTGGGGAAAAATGATGGGAGATATTTACATGGAGATATCCAGTTTTAAAATTCAAGAAAGAATTGGGATGGAAGTAAAGATTGGGAAGTTACTGGTATATTCAAGTTGAATATATTGTCTGTTGAAGACAGACAAGGGAAAGTGAATGGATTGAGAAAAACAGAGCAGAGTGGGAGAAGACCTGGAAATAGCTGCCTCGGTTGAAGGAGGAAGTCCAGCAGAAAATTGCACCATCAGTTGTGAGGAGAGAGGTGAAGGAAGGGCAAAGGACTAAACAGAAGCAAAGGTAGCAAAAGATCAAATGAGATGAAAACTGAAAAGTTGTCATTATATTTCATAATGCAAAGGTCCTTCATGATCTTATTCTGAGCATTTCAGAGAAATGGACTAGGGTAGGCAGAGGCCCACAAAGTTGCTGAATGTACAGGCTGGCAGTCTGTGGAGACCTTAGGGCACTGAATGCCCCAGAACATGATTTGTGATCAAATGGAAGAGGTGGCAACTGAAAAAGAGGCCCAAAGTCATGCAAATGCTGCATTTAAGATAATTTAAATGGTCACTGTACTTCCAATATTGCCATGGTTTTAATATTCTGCTCATTTGCTTTCAAGAACAATGTATGTCTGTGGACACTGAGTTGAATGGGAGCAGGTGTTTCAGGGAAAGTCTGTCTGAAGAATGAGTATTTAATAGACAGAAGGGCCGGAGCTAGTGCTTTGTTTCTGCTGGAGAAATCTCTTGTTTTAAAAATGTTTTTTTCTCCCTTAATTTTTTCCATCAGTGTGAAAGTCCAGATGAAGCCATGAAACCTTGCGAGGCACATCAAAACAAATTTCCTTATGCCAAGAGAGAATGCTCCATTTTGTACAGTGATGTTTTTGCTCCTTGTCGCAATGTGGTAAATTAATACTTTGCCAAAATTTAAAATTTAAAGAGATACCGCTATATAGATGAGATTGCTAATAGAGATGATATTGACTGATAATTTAACAATCCAATAATCTTAACAAGTGTGTTGCTTAACTGGTCAGCAGAAGCTTTTGAGACTTCGCAGCATTTCTGAGAAGCATATCCTTGGGGGGAAAAACAGACAGCAGTTTATCTGGAGTCTGAATCCATAAGCTTACTTGGTTCTTTTTAGCTGCCACTTGAAAAACAAAACCCTAGAAATGACCTACATGATAACACAAATAAGGGACCCCTTTCTGTTTTTTATTTTTATAAAAGATCAAATTTATGCCAAACACCAGGGAGGGGGAGAGAAAGAGGGAGAGAGAAAGAGAGATTCTCTATTTTCTAGTTCATTCCTCAAATGCTCTCAGGATTTGGAGCTGGGCCCAACCCTCGTCAGGAGCCAGGGATCCAGCTGCTTGGACCATCACCTGCCACCTCCCAGGATGCGCATTAGGAAGAAGTTGGAATCACAAGTGGTGCCAGAACTGGAACTCGGGCACTCTGAAGTGGGATGTACAAGTCTCGAGCAGCATCTTAATCACTGCACCAATACCAACAGTTGTCAACAACATGCCAAACTTCATCAGCTTTTTAAATACACAACAAAGTGCAGATGAGATAAATATGAGAAATTAGAAAAAACTATCAGCACTCAGTCGCTAGGATGTTGTACAGGAGACTACAAAATTAAAGTCTAAGTGGAAGCAGAGCATACTTTAATACCATGTGACTATGCCAATAATGAAAATTGCATTTCCAAAAAATGAATCAGTGACATTGTAGATGTTGAAGTTACATTTATTCATTAATCTTATTCATGTTCTGCTGGTTCTCTGACATGACATTTGCCTAAGAAATCCCTCCCTCCGTGGGCATTGTAATGTTTTGAGACCATGAGAACTCTAGATGGCAGTGTTAACAGTATCACATTAGGAAAAATAGTTTTCTTTTAGAGAACGAGTTTTCATCTGTTAAAGAAAATCATAATGACTTAAAAATTTAAACACACTTCATTCCCTTTTCAGATTGATGTTACATCTTTTGCCAAAAACTGTCATGAAGATACATGTCAGTGTAACCTTGGTGGGGACTGTGAATGTTTGTGCACTAGTATTGCAGCCTATGCATACAAGTGCTGTCAGGAAGGAGTGTCGATCCACTGGCGATCATCCACTGTTTGCTGTGAGTACTCTGCTTAGAGCATCGTTAGGAGGGGACGTTTTAAAAAGAGCCATTGAATTGTTGTCATATGAAACAAAGGTCATGACTCTCATGGAGACAGGATTAATTTATCGCTACTGTTTTGAATTAATTTGGCACTACTATTCCTTTAACAACCATAACTTGCAACATATCAAAAGGATTTATAAAAAGGAAAACTTGATGCAAGTTTTCTATGGTGCTTGGGCACTGTCATCGCAACATTTGATATGTAAGTTACATACTATTCTAGAACTCCAACTCTTTTATACCTGTGAGAATTTTCAGTTCTGATAATCAAAAAACATATTTTAAGAAAGCAACTTGAATTTGGTTTCCTGTTTGGCACTTTAAATATCTCATTTATTTGTGTAGGTGGCAAAGCATCCAATTGCTTATCTTTAAAACAATCATGATGTTAAATCACAACAAATCACCTTCAAGAATCCACTTTGCTTGGAGGAAGTTCATAAACAATCGTGACACTCTGTGTCCTTCCAAGCAGCTATGAATAAACGTGTTCAGATCTTGCACATACATGAAAAATTTCTTGGCTTCTAATACACTGTGATACTATTCTTTTTTTCTTTCAGCGCTTGACTGTGAATATTACAATGAAGGTAGGTCATCTTTTAAGTAATTTTTAACATGTATTTCCCTGAAAGGCAGGGAAAGACAGAGACCTTCTGTTTTACTCCCCATGTATCTGCAAGTGCGGGGTTGGGCCAGGCCAAAACCAGAATCCAACAACTCAGTGTAAGTTTCCCAAATGGTTGACCTAGGCCCAGCTACCTGATCTGTTACCCCCTGCTTCTAAGGTTGCATGTTAACCCGAGGATGGCATTAAAAATGAAGCTGGCATCTGACTTTCATGGCTTAGCCCTCTGTCCCACAACACTGGCTGGCTCTTTAATTTTGATTGAGAATACTGTATATATTAATGAGAAACAATGCAGTATTTCATACAAGTAAACGTTGTAACATATTAAAATTATACTAATTAGCATATCTGTTGCCTCAAATATTTATAGTTTCCTTGTGATGAGAATATTTAAAACCTTCTCTTAGGTATTCAGCCTTGAAAATAAAGAGGAAATTGTGTCATTTCTGACAACATGGATAAGCATGGAAGACATTATACTAAGTAAAATTAGGCAGGCAGACAAACACCAGATGATCTGCTTATACGTGTAATATGAAATACTCCAGCTAATGAAAGTAGAAAAAGGTGGTTTCCTGGGACTGCACTGGGGAGTGAATGTGGACGAAGAATGCTGCAGTGTTCATCACCAAATATTTTGTTACATAGACAAGACTTTCTGTGATCTCTCAACAGCACAGTGACTATACTAAACCTGTAAAAATGCTGTAGAAAGCAAAGAAACAAAGAACAGAGGGGATGTCAACATAAGGAATTTATTTTATCATGACTACAAGCAAAAGAAGGAATTTACATATTGCTAGAATCAGAATTTATTGATAGTGTAAATCATATTACAGTCACACAGCTGGATGTGTAATGAAAGTTCTGGAAGAGGTGCTGCCCAGAACTAAGGCACAGTTACAGAAAGAGAGAGAGAAGGCCATGCACATCCTCAGTGAAGATGCCAGCAGGTAACAGCAGTGGCCTCTGCTTTATGTCAAACCACTTCATGAGGGAGGCATAACACGAAAACCTAGTTTAGACACGTAGAATGATTGGGGAGGTGTCCGTTTTGTCTGTGACTGCACAAACTCTGGATTCAAGATGGATCAGTTAGCTAGAGTACTTGTTACTTGAAGTCTGAGCCCTTTGGGTAGCTCCTTGAGTGAGAAGGAAATTGGCTAGCAATCAACATATGAAGACTAGATAATTTTAGAGAATTAGAGATATGAAAACTGGATAGATAAGACAATTCAAGATTAGGAAAAAAAACCCTTTTTTTGACAGTTTAAAAAAATATAACCAAAAATATTTCCTGTGCAAGAATTTAAATACACATGCACAAACACACTCAGGTAGGGCAGGATGGGAAGGCAGGAGGAGGAAGAGAATGAAACAATATCAATCCTTCGATTCTATGACTAAAATACAATAGATTGCCCAATGACAACATTGATCACAATAGTTCTTACTTAATTGTCTTCCTTATATCGTGTAATTTAAAATTTAAAATATTTTATTGTTTTATCAAAAGTTTATTGTTCTTGACACCTTAAAGATGAGGAAATTGCAGCACATAGAGTTTAATTAACTTTGCCGAAGTGATTGGAATTGATGTGATGAACTAGCTCCGGTGTGCCTGACCTCAATGCTGTATGGCTAAGTAAATGGTTAACTAATCTTAGTGTAGAAATGATCAGTGCAAATTAGTGTCACATTTTATCAAATGCACACAGACATCAAATTGGAAACTTTTCCCATGATTTCCCCTCTTGATGTTCCTTATCTCACACGTTTCTACCATGAAAACTCCCATCTGTACCTTTGCACTTTCTGTCTGTGGACCCTTGGACCCAAAAGTGGGACTTTCTTGCTTTCTGAACTTCTGCTTGACAGCAGTAATTATTTCTCTCAACAAATCTGATAAATTTCTACTGATCGACACAGCAACACTCTTCAGTTCTGGTTTCATTTGTAAAATATTGTAATAATGGGTATTAGAGAGTGAAGCGGGGGATTTGGCATCCAGGAGACATTGATAAGTTCAGAAAAGTGTCTGGGGAATCTATTTTGTATGATCAGTGTAATAGGAAAGAGCATTGATGTGCTCTATTGGGGGTAAGAATTTGTAAAGGTTGTGCAATAGAGGGAGAGATGTGAGCGAGGGGTATTGAACCATGCAGGTTCTTGACAGTATTAATGAAGTAAAATGATTTTGTTCTTCATTTCATCTCAAAGAATTTCATAACTATCATAAATACAGTTTTCTTTAGATACCTAAAGCTGAAATATTTCCCTTTTTTATCATTGCCAGTTTATTTTTCAGATAACTATATCATTTAAAACAAATATAGAAATAAATTATTGTGATTCTGTGGGGAAAAAAATCTAGATAGTAAAAATCAGAGACTATGGATGAATTTTTGGATAATTCCTAATATCTTCATGTTAACTTCTTTTGGCATTTATTAGAAATCTATGGGTTTCAGTTGGTCCTACTATAAATGAGCCAGGAGATATTATCCTGCTACAAATGGTTATGTATGTGCTACATTCATTGTGATTTTATTACATAAGTTATTGTTATCACCGTGTTTAGGGAATCACTGTAGGAAATGGTAACTTTCCGTTGATGGTAAGACTATACTTCTCTTTGCAGAAAATAAATGACAAGGTCAGTTTTTTTCCTCTGTCAGTTGTTGATGAGAATGCGTAGAACTAGCCCAGAAGCAACATTTCAGTTAACTGTGGGTCATTTCAGAAGCATTGGTTCTTACACAAATTGATTTTCCAAATGACACTTGTGCTTTAGGTTGTTGTAGTTAGGGGCATCTGTGGTAGAGGGAAGAAGGTTTTGTCTGACTATCCATCTTGCTTCTGATTATTTGGAAGGGATGCTTCCTGCCCCTATGTTGCAGTTATGTTTTTGTCTTTTTCATTTTGAATGGTGTTTCATTATAAATTATGTAGCTAACTACTTTTCTCTATTATTCACAGAGTTGGATTATCATGTCGCTTTACTGTTGCCTTTTCTAGAAAATGAATCAATATGTGATGGATACAGTTGATACAGTCTTTTCTGTTTCTTGTGTGTTTTAATTCAGGGAAAAACACTGTGCATAGTAGACATAAGAATCATAGTGCCTGGGGCTTGGCACCATGGCATAGTGGGTTAAGGCTCAGCCTCCAATGCCAGCATCCTATATGGGTGCCAGTTAAAATCCTGAATGTTCCACAACCAGTCAGGCTCCCTGCTATTGTGCCATATAGTGAGCAAAAGATACCCAAGTTTTTGGCCCCCTGCATACATGTGGGAGACCCAAAAGAAGCTCAAGGCTCCTTGCTTCAGCCTGGACCACCTCTGGTCATTGCAACCACTTGGAGAGTGAACAGGTGCATGGAAGATGGATCTGCTAGTTCCTGTCTTTGTCCTAACCCAAAGATATTCTCTCTCTCTCTGTGTGGCTCTTACTTTCAAATGAAAAAAATAAATCTTTCAGAAAAATTTATGTCAGGGAGTGGGTATTTAACCTAGCAATTAAAATGCTTAGATTGCATTCTTGATTCCAGTTCTTGACTCTGGCTTTCTATGAATGTAGACCCCGAGAGGCAGCAGTGATCTCTGGCACCAGTGCTGCAGACATGGATTGCATTCCTGGACACCAACATCAGCTGTGAACCAGCAGATAGGAGTACTCTGCCTGTCTCTCTTGATCTGTCTCATCGCCTCTGAAAAAACAAATTAGCTGCTTAATTGAAGAGACAAATTGAAAATTTAAAAGCCTATGCCAGTTTTTAATTCTCTTGTTTATGTTTAACCAGGACTTGGTGAAGGACCATACATGCTTGCAAGTTACGGGGAGACTGGTCTTATTATGGGGGCCAATATGACGAGTAGGAGCATTTTCTCTTTGCCAAGAAGTAGTGTTCATGGAAATTTGGTTTTTAATTTTATGATCACTCCAGGTCTTTTCAAAGAAAAGGCATCATGTAAGTATAATTGAAAATAAAAATGATTTCCCATTTACTTATTTACATTTATTCATTCAATAAGCATTTATTGGGGATCAGGTGTGTTTATGGCATTTTCTAACTGTTCCAAAGGATGTACAGTAAAATAGTACATGGGAGCATACACCTATCCATTTTGTTGATGAAATTTCTTTGTTTATGTATTGAAATGTTCTAGAATTGTGATTGTTTGAATTTTCATGGCTTAATAGAATAGCTCAAATTTTCTGATGCCAACCACAAAACTTAATTTAAAATTCTCAGAAAATAATCCACTGATTCCTAATGTTTTAAGCAATTTAATGCCAGGTTAAAGTAAAAGAAAAATGTGATTTGATATCAGATAACTTAAATATTACTTGCACAGTTGGGAATGTTCCCAGGTATGAAGACAATCTCTAGGCTTTAGTGAATCTCGATTGTCCTGATTCAATGAGACGTTCTGGAAACTCATGCAGGTTTGTATCAGGAGACCTGTACAGGTTGTGTCTACCTGGTCATTACTGTGACTGTTGGAAGTGTCCTCATTCTGTTCTTGTGAGGTTTGGCTACATCGTGGCCTACCTGGTAACATGCACAGTGCTTTGTATAAACTTGGGAAAATTTCATTGGCCAAATGGAACCGAACTAAATTTCGCATCTTCTGAGAAATCTCCTAATTCTCGCATTTGAAGAAACCATTTAGTTCCTGTACAGAGGTCTTGCTTAGTTCTAAACACACCGGTAGCAGTCTAAAGTTCTAATTTATGTTGATAACATCTTTGTCTCATGTAGAAACTTCTTTTATTCTTTGCATCTTCTATCACTCAACAGAGTAACATGAAAGTTTCTGGGACACAATGAGTGTTTTTGGATTAATATTGAGTTAGATGCAATTTATGATTTATAAAACCCAATGTATTAATAGATATTCAATTAGTGCTTATTTCAGAAAATTAGCTGAAATATCTACATAAAAACTGTATCGTGAGATTTGCAAATATAAGTGAAAATTTTAAAGCGTAAAACAAAAAATAACAATAATTCTTTTCAAATATTTTGCTAATTGAATTACATATCAGGTACTTGATAACTTTCTTGGGGAAATAATATTACAGAACAAGTAATCTTTTCCTGACACTACAATATCTCTTGCGAGAGCATTTGCTAATTAAGAACCCAGTAATATAAAACCGTTACTTCAAGCCAGAATGGATCTAGTTCTTTGTTCTCTATTTTCTATTGTGAATAAATTTAATTGTTCCTAGCATTTGTGAATCAGAAAATGCCAAAGGTTGCAAATGCAAATATAAGTCTCATTAGCCAAGCAATTACTTGTGTGAGATATATATATATATATATGTATATATATATATATATATATGTATGTTTTCATTTATATCTCTCCTTATTCTAAGGACATTATTTTAAAATGTGGAACTAATTGGGAACTGAGTTTAGCAGGCAAACACTTGCCATTCACTGCATTTAATATACTGCTTCTCCTTTTGAAGATCTCATAATAGATCTTTATGTTGTCATTAATTATGGTTGGCACTTTGGCAGTATTACACTTTCAGCTTTATAAATACCTTGGATGATGTCAGTGTTGCTGAGGTAGTTTCCCCCCGAACGCAGGGAGATGTCAAAAGCAGTACTCTGTGTCTTCCAGCACTGGCACTCGTTTCCTTGGAATCTGCTGAAAGGCCGAACTACTTTCTCTATGTCCATGATGATGATTCTCTTAGTTTGGAGCTGTGGAAGGCAAGCCCAGCCTTTCAGCACAGAGCGACGTTCTTCCACCATCAGGGGCTCTGGGTTCCTGGCTATAGTGCATTTGAATTATACAGCAAGAAAGGCTTTTTTCTCATCTTCACCCATTTTGGTATCAAAGCATCAAAATATGATGATTCTGAAGAATTTAAACATTCAAGTAGCTTCAGCATAGAAGGTATGTTTCTGAAATATTCAGGTTTTTTTTTTTTTTGGTGACTGTTGTGAGTGCGATTTTTTTTTTCCTGATATTTCTTTCCACAAGTTAGTCATAATCATGCTAAAGAGCTGCTGGATTTTGTGCGTTTATTCTGTTTGTGTTTCTTGCCTCTTGAATTTTATTAATGTGATTTTTCTGTTTATTATCATTATTTTACAATGTGGTTTCATATGCTCTAGGATTTCCCCTCACCTCTACCCCAATCCCTTCCCCTTACTGACATTCCAGATATTATTGCAGTAGTATAGTCCATCATTCTGTTATCTAAGTGTAACCTTACAATGTGGGCTTGGGAAGCAACAGAGTCCAGGATCCTATTGTCAAGGCATATGTAACAGTTTCTTTGGGACAGGGGATTTGTGTGATGGGGAACTAAAATCCCAGATCCTATACCTATACCTGTGATCTCACAAATTAAAAATATAATGGAGTCCAGGGTATCAGGAAGCAAAGAAAATTGTCAGAGAGACAAACTAAGGTGCAGTAAAGTGAGGTTTATTAAAGTGTGTTCTGAAGGTGGCACAGGCTGTCCTCTTTCATTCTCATTTGGGGCCTTGATTGATGGTGTGGCTGCGATGCTCATGGCTGGCGTCTGTGGTGGATCCTGTGAGTGACACGCCTCTGAGGTCTCTGTGTATGTGACTGGCTATAAACTAGACTTTTCTAGTTTTGCTAAATTCTCATTCAGATCCCTTTCCCACAGGCTAAACTGCCCAGTAAACAGTCTTGTGTAAATCCTGGTGACAACCAGGGTTCTTAGTCCATCCACGATTCCTGTGGACACTGGTATTTATGTATAACTCCCTGAGTGACACTATACTTCACATGTTTTTTTCATTTTTAGATTGGAACTAATAATTATTTAGCAAGGTTGTTCCAAGGATATATAAAATGATAGCAAAAAAAAAAAACCTCTGCAAAAGATATAATTTCAAACTATTGGCATTATGGTATATGAAGATCAATGAGATCCACTAACTACAGAGAAAGGGAGGACATTTTACATGTTTTTCAGCCTCACCTCTAAACCTTTGCTTATTGTATTTAACAATAGTGTGAAATGCTTTCATTGACAAGGAAGTACAGTGGTTTTCCCCTCTTAGGTTTGTACCTTACACCGCATTATGGCTAAAAGATGTCAATTTCTACAAGGTCATTTGTTTCCAAGGTGTGTGTTAAAAATACACATAAGCTAATATATATAATCTAAACTTTATTATTTTTCAAGAAATCCAGGCAGCAGTCCCTTACAGGAGGATGTGCGAATGGAGATATGAACCTTGTGCCACGCCGTGTTTTAAAACGTGTAGTGACCCCGAAGCTCTAGCATGTAAATTTCTTCCACCGTAAGTAAGGTTTAGTAATAATGAACAAAGTTCTAGTGTTTGTGGTGGATTCTGGTTTTTTTTTTTTGTAAACTTTTCAGACACGAATTACTCTCAAGAAAAGTACATGTTACATGCTCACTCATGAGTATTGTTTTAATCAGGAAATAGTTATATACAAGAATGTCTCAGAAATTATTGCTGCTGAAAATATAGGATTGAACAAAATAGATACCTACTAAAAATTAAAAATAGATTAGGATAGATGTCTATTAAAGTTTTGTGTGTTCCACAACAGGCATCTTGTAACTTGGCTTTCCACAAACTTTTACAAGAATTAATATTTTTGACCAGGGGAGAAGACATTGAAAAAGTAACAATGCTGTGTCCCTAGAAAGTGGGGAGACTCAGTAGTGACCTGGAGTGTGACAATCCCATGTGTTCATCTTCCGATTCCTGCAGAATCACCACTCCTGTTCTAGATTATTGCAGTTTTTGGCACAGAGCAGGAGGTCAGGATGAAAATGCCTAATGAAAACGAGAGCTCCTGTAAGAGTAGACCCAAAGTAGAGTACCACAGAGCACTCTGTAAATGATGCTATTCATATTACATGGCACACCTATCATAAGAATTGTTCTACATCTGAGACATTATAAGTTAGAAGTTGAATAGATCACCAGTTGTGTGGAAAATTAGAAAGTAATTTGCTGTATGTAGCTATTAAGGCATTTTAAAGAACTAAATTAATGAACTTGGGAAAGTACTTTAGAATATGCATGTGATCTTGGTTTGTGCAAAATAATTAATTTGCATGAAAGGTGATGTTAATGGTGATAACCAATATATTCTAGTCTTTTACCAATGACTTTACATTTTCTTTTGCTTTCTTCCAGTTAACAACGTTTAAAGTATAAGCCTTGTAATAAACTGTGATATTGTTTTTCTACTCAAGTTTATATTATATAATAAATATTATATAAACATAAGATAAACTTTTACATGTTAGAGTATCCGAGAATGAAATGTTCAAAATAGCGTAGTTGTGTCTTTTAAACCTCTTTAAGTTCAGAGAGAAATTAGTTTCTCTTTTTGGTGTTGCCTAAATTTGCCTGCATGAACAAATGCCCTCTGGTGGCATCACTTGGTAATTCATTCCCATCTGAAATGGAATGAAGCTTTGAAGAACTTTTTATCCAAATTCTTTACAGCCGAGGCAATTGGAAATGTATCTAAAATTTTAAAAAATATATTACTACTACATGTTTGCCTATTGGGGAGGAAATAAGAAAGCTTATTTGCATTAATTCTCTGTAGTATTTATGTTTCCAATAATTAGATTTAGTTGCACATAAGCTATTACACTTGTTTTCTTTTGAGTAGGAATAAATTGGACTCCGAACCCCATTTGAGAAAGGAGAAAACTGAATCTTAGTAATTATTTTGTCCTTTTCTTTTAGAATAAATGAGGCTGAGTTGTCCTCCCTTCTCTTCGGCCCACAGAGCTCCACATAACCTCTTGACACTCTAGTCTCTCACTTGGTTTCTCGGCTGTACACCAGATCTGGGATTCATATCAAGGCCAAATGTCCTGTGGCTTAAAATCAAAACCCCGTAGGTTTATCTACAACCATCGCCCTGGGTACTGTCATGAATTAGGTCCAGTCTTCTGTAGTTACAAGAATTGCAGCTTCTGCCCTTTTCTTCCCTGTGACCAAAGAACACTTCACTTCCATCCAGAGATTTCTTTTTCTTTTTTTTTTTTTTAAAGATTTATCTATTTTTACTGCAAAGTCAGATATACACAGAGGAGGAGAGAATCAGAGGGAGATCTTCCATCCAATGATTCACTCCCCAAGTGACTGCAATGGCCTGAGCTGAGCCAATCTGAAGCCAGGAGCCAAGAGACTCTTCCAGGTCTCCCACATTGGTGCAGGGTCCCAAGGCTTTGGGCTGTCCTCGGCTGCTTTCCCAGGCCACAAGCAGGGAGCTGGATGGGACGTGAGGCTGCCGGGATTGGAAATGGTGCCATATCGGATCCTGGAGAATATAAGGCGAGGACTTTAGCTGCTAGGCTAGCGTGCTGGATAAAGATGTTTCTTTATCATTTCAATGAATTTAGGGTCTAATAGACAAGGGAAACCAACAAAGGTGCTGCTTTTGTTCTATAGACATCCTTAAGGCAAAGGTAGGCAGTGACCATGGCAGTGAGGTTGAAATCAAGGTCACAGCAAACATTAACCCAAGTGTCAATGAATCATTCATTTATATATGCATTAGTCCTATAAAATATGGACTTAGTGTGTACAAAGTTCAAGTTTATGTCTGGAATCTCTGTGTTCAAATTTGCTCTTAATCAGTGTTATCCCCTTATTATCTGATGGATTTTGATTTCGTAAAACAGCGACCAAATCAATTCTGCTTTTAAAAGTTTATTTATTTAGAATTTTATTTATTTGTCCTGGAGAGAGAGAGAGAGAGAGAGAGAGAGAGAGAGAGAGAGAGAGAAAACGTCCATCAAGGGATTCACTCCCCAAATGGCAGAAACAGCTGGAACTGAGCTGAGCTCAGCCCATAAAGCGAAGCAAAGAGCCAGGAACCAGAAGCCAGGAGCCAGGAGCTTCTTCCAGGTCTCCACATGGGTGCAGCATACCGAGGGCTTGTGGCATTCTCAGCTGCGTCCCAGGCTATAAACAGAGCAGGTGGAACTAGAATCAATATGTAATGTCAGTCAGTGCTTGAATGTGGAGGCTTAGCTTCTTGAGCCACAGCCTCAGTATCCAGACTGAAGACTTCTTACAAATAGATAGCAGAGTTTTAGGAGATATCTTATGTGTTAAACATCTTATGTGTTTAAAAGAAGTTCATGTTTTGTGTATTTTAAACTTTTATTACTTTTTTCTCATGCAAAGGGTTGAAGGATGCTTACCTTACTGCCCCAAAAATATGATTCTTGATGAAGTCACCCTGAAATGTGTTTATCCAGGAGACTGTAAGTGTGAATTTTGCTTATTTTACTATGAAAAGTGAAATGCTTAAATATTTTTCATGAGGCAAGTGGTTTTAATTAGAAGTTTTGGGTTGACTGGAAGCTCAAAATTCTTCGTTACCCCTTAGGTAGTTTTTAAACACTAATTATGTTATAACAGATGTAAATCTTTCCCCTAACATCTACTTGGATTTTCTTTTCTAAAAGTTTTTTCATTGTTGTTAAAGAGAACTATGAGTATTATCTGGAACTTACTTTACAGTCCCACAGATTAAGGAAGATATCTTTTTTCTTTGTAGGCATATCTCTGACTGCCACAGAACCAGCATTACTGCCACCAGATAAGCTGACTGTTCCTATGTTGACAGGTATTGCTGTAATTCCGCACACTATAATTAGTATTACGTGATTGACATCTAGACACCTTGCTGCTGTCCGGCTGACTAGAAGCTGTTCAGTGGCTCATTGTGTCACAGTTTCTGTGTGACTTCTGCAATAGGTTCATCTTTTTCTTTATTTCAAGTAGTGTGGAGTACAAGGACTTCTCTCACTTCTTGGCTCATAATCTAGTTGTGTTGGAACTTCCCTTAAGTTTTAGAGGCTAACCATGCTCCGGTGGTCCAGATGAAAAGCACAGTCTGCTTCAGTGCCTCCATTCCCATGTTTGTGTCCTATCTCGGGCTCTGCTCCAGTCCTGGCTTCCCTCCCGTGCTGTGAAACTAGCCTGAGGAAGAGTTAACAAGTCCACTCACAGTGGGCCTTGCCGCACTAATGTAGGCATTATAGTTTAGGAAAGTTCAAGTTCAGACATGCATTATTTCAGTTTGTTTGGTAAGCTTTTATGCACATCAGCTTTGCCGGACACCGTTCTGAGACTCACTAGTTATTCAGGGAGGATGTAGGATAAACAGCTTACAGCCCAGTGGTTGTAATGTGAGTAGTTGAATAGTTCTTAGGCTATTGCACGACTGTCAACCCTCAAGGTGCATGGATGCCACATTCACAGATTCAGTCTCCTATGATGGAAAATATTGGGAGAAAATTGTATCTACACTAATCATGGACAGACTTTTTTCCTTGCCATTACTCCCTGAGTGGTAAAGTGTAGCAACTATTTACATAATGTTTACCGTGTGTTAGGTATCATCAGTGGTCTGAGTATAACTTAATTTTGCAAGAAGGTTGCATAGGTTTTATTAAGGGACTTGAGCATCTGTAGATTTTGGTATGGTTGGCAGTGGTATCCTGCAATCAAGCCCCAAAAGATCCTGAGGGGAAACTGTATTACAATATGGATTATACATTATGTTTATTTTGGAGATATGCTCTTAGAAGAATAACAGAAAATAAGAACTAGGTAGCTTAGGAGAACGAAGAACTTCATTCTGACTAGAAAGAGCAGCATTTGCAGTAGTGTGTGTGAGAGAGCATTTTCCCTAGAGGACTTGTGATTTGAATATGTGCAACGTGTGGAATTGTGCCAAATCATGGAAGATGTTATCAGGCACCGGATCACAAGTGTCCATTTCAAAAATGATGACTCTTTTTGTAAAGTCAGTGATGAATAATTCAAGAGTTTTAAGAAATCTACAATATCTTCAAAATAATAGGATAGCTACAATCAACACAAACGCTTCTGTTCTTGTTGGCTATCATTTGTGGAGTACTTCTCTTGTGCCAGACATCAGATTATGCACTTGGCTTCAAATAATCCATATCTTTAGTTGAAACTTTGCTTAGATGGCCTACATATCTGAATACCAGCTACCTTTTCCTTTTTCATGGCTCACCCCTTCACCACAACCATGCTCTGGAATCACAGTGTGGTCATCCGCTCTGTCTTCAAGGAACGCATTCTAGAGTTTAACCCAGGAAAAGCAATCTGCTTCACTGCTTATTTTAAAACTACAGTAACATTTGTAACTTCTGAGGAGCACTTAGTGATATGATTGATATTTTTACCAGATAGTTGTCTTGACACTACCAAGCTAGTGAAGGAACATACGGCATTATGGTTCAAATCCATAGCTTTGGAATCAGAATTTCTGAGTTCACACTCTTCCCTGTGCCACTTAGAAGATTTATTTCTCAACAACTTAGTTTTCACGCCCATGAAGTGACAATAATGTTATGTATGCCATGAGACTCTTGTGAGGAATAAGTCAAGTTAAGTAAAATTTCCCATTATAGTTGTATAATACATGCATTCCACATTCGATGGCTGTTGTCCACTAATGGGGAGTCCATCTCTGTTTCTTATTTGTCCAGAAATGATAACTCCATCAGATATCACTGTGTTCGACATGCTAACTCCAACACCAGGGTTGGAATGTGAGGTATGACTGAGTAATTTCTTCCAGCTCTAAGTATTTTTATAGCCTTGTAGCAAGTGCTCAAGTTTCTGTGTCAATATGTAAATCTATTAAGCTTCTCTTGATGTGCTGTCTAGACTGTCTTTGCCAAAAGACAAAAAAAATAGTATATTTAATATTTCAGATTGCTTTTTTCTTAACTGATACAGACATTTCTTAATAAGTAGCTCCTGATTACACTAAGAAACACAAATAAAACATAAATATGTTTTTGTATGTGATTCCTCAGTTAAGGGTTAACTGTTGTGGGCTTCTTGTGAACCAGAGACTCACAGAAAGTTTATTAAGTAATTGCTGTGTTAGGCACTGTGCAGGTTGTTAAGGACACATGGGAAAGGAAAAAAAAGTTTGGCTTGTTGGCTGAGATTTGAACAAGTGTTTTCTTCAAATATGCCATTTGTTACTCATGGTCTAATTATTGATTCAATGAATATTTATTTCATACTATTTCTGGCCAGACATCACTGACATTCCATGGAAAAAAGAAAGTGTATGCATTTATGGAGTTTTATATTCTATTAAAGTTCTGAAATAGCCAACAAGAAAAACAAATTAGTAAGTCATAGAAAATGTTACAAGATGCCACTCAGAAGGAAAATAATTTTCAGTAACATGGTCAGAAAATTTTTACTGATCGTGTGACTTCAAAGCAGAAGAGCTGAAGAAATTGCGAGAGTGACCAAAGCAGGGTACGTAGGTGGCAGATCTGCATGTGGGAGGACCAGGAGAGGGTAACGCTGACGCAGACCTTGTACACAGAGAGGAGAAGACAAAAGCGTACAAGATGTTAACTGTGGAATAGGAAAAAAATATAGGAGATGGCTGATGGACCTGGAAGCTGAAGTAAGCAAGAGCGTAAAGAAGAAGTAATAAGTCATACCAAACATGTTAACAGGTCAATAAGATGAAGTTTGAGAATCGGCCATCGTGCTTAGTAATGTAGAGTTCCTTGGTGAATTATCTACCAAAATACAGGACTCTAGGCAAGTTACTTTAATCTCTTTTCTGACATCTTTATGTGTAAAATAGGAAAACAATAGTACAGATCTCATAGGGTTGCGGTGGAGGACAAAACAGGTTAATTAGCACAATATCTGGCTAATTATTACTATGATTTGAATCAAATGTGATAAACTTTGAAAAATGAGTCTTATTTTATTTGTGTATCTAAAAATTTTGAACTACATATAGATATAAAACTAATTTATAAGAAAATATTCAATCTCTGTCCAACTGGTATCATACCTAAATTTTTAATATTTTACTTAAAAATAAGTTCAAGCCAACAATAAGAGAAATTAATTTTATACAATAGCTTTATACAACATAGTATAAAACATTGCTAGAAATATGTAAATCTGTTTACAGAACACCAATCTAGAAATTTGAAGCCTTCATTTTGTACAGTTGTTTGAACATATGGAAAATTCTTTTGTCAAATTAAGATAAAGCTTAAATATATATTGAATGCTATCTAAAGGATACATCAAAAAGTGGCAGTGAAATTTTTATCCTTTATCTTTTAAAGATGCTTGTATTTAGAAAACTGACAAGAACATAATGTTAAAAGATCTCTTGGAAAAGTAATGGGGAAAAACTCACTAATTTTCTTCTTTTTTTTTTTCATTAACAGCCTTTGCAATTTGATCCTGCTTATAATTGCAGCCAATATATATGCCTTCATATGGAGTGGACATTTTACAACTGGTCTCTCAATTGCCCGAAGGCCTTGGAAATGCCTGACTGTGGTTTCCGGGGAAGGCCTGTTCAAGTGAACAGGGATATCTGCTGTCCTGAGTGGGAATGTCCTTGTACGTCCTCACGTGTGTTGTGGTGATGAATTTTTTGAGATTCTTATTTTGTGGAACTTAATGCTTTAACAACTTAGTTATTATTTCTGCACATTTTTTTGTGTGTGTAATTACTATTTTGTTCCGTAGTATGTAATTTTCAGAATTGTTTCTTGTCAATGGTAAGCCTCACTTGTGAAAGCTTGGATATCTAGTTAACTGTGTCATTTCATCTTAGGTAGATGTTCCATGTTGTCAGAACTGAGCATCGTTACCTTTGATGGGAATAACGCAGCATTATACAGTATGGCTTCTTACATCTTAGTAAGAATTCCTGGGGAAATTATAGTTGCTCATATTGAAAAATGTTCCACAAATCAGGTGGGTCAGAATCTACTTTGAGAGCCATTTCTTCCTTAGCCTTTAGTTGAGTATTATGAGTATCTTGAGTATCTGTAGCCTTTAGTTGAGTATTTAGTTGCAGCATTATGGGTTCTCAGAAAAACAGGGGACCTCAGGAGCTCATCAGAGTTGATTTGCTATCTGATATATCCCAAAAATATTTCATGTGGGCACATTTCTCCTGCTATGATGTACTAAGAAGAAACCAACATCACTGCTGTGATTTCCTCCCAAAATTATGGAACCTCAGTCTAATCGCGAAGAAACATCAAACACAGATAGGAACAATCAGTGAGTGTAAAATTGAAAGATTTCTTGGAAATCTTGATCTGTATCCTCTAAAAAATTCCGTGTCACAATACAAGGATAAAGATTAAGAAACCATTTCAGATTAAAAGAGAGCAAGAAGATAACACAACTGAATTTTTAAAAATAAGTGTTAATGATATAATTAGCAGCATCTGAATAATAGTGTCAGTATTAACTCCTTGATTGTGTTAGCTGTATCTAGTAAAGCAAGAAAATGTCTTTATTTTTAGTAAAGCAAAGAGGCATCATGCCTGGATATACTTCTAAGAAATTGAGGAAAAAAATAAGACTGTATATTAATAAAGATAAAGAAAATGTGTGTGATGAAACATTAGCATTTGGAGATCTTGAGTGAAGGGTATATGGAGATACTTCACAGGATTTAGTATTAAGTCTGAGTTTAGGTAAAAATAAAGAGAGAAAAAAGAAAGAATGAAAAAAAAGAGCATGCTAATCCCAGAAGTCAACTCATGAATTTGTTTTAAAAGCTTCTCTTTATACTTTTTTTTTTTCAGAATGGAAATTCATTTAAAAAGCTAGTGAGTATTTGCCAAATATTGAATAAGTTCATTCTATTTAACACTAAAATTATGCTTAGCTCCATAAAGTTTTCTTTTTTTAAATTAAGGCTTCCTCTGGAAGAATCTCTGGACTTTGCTTTAAAAAGTTAAATGTGACAACATCAATACATAAAATACTTGTCAACCGAATAGCAAGAAGGGTAAGAATGTTAAATTAATAATCATTATCCAATTGGATGAAAGTAAGAAATTATAAAAACAATGTCTTTCAAAGGGGGACATTTTAAAACATCAGTATTTTTCTGTTTCTATGCCTTATCATTCTTTCCATGAGTAGTCTAGAATTTTTTTTTTTAATTGTTTGAGTGAAAACAGAGGCGGGGGCAGAGAGAGATAGGGAGAGCGAAACTCCCCTTCATTGGTTTAAAGTGCAGCAGTCAGGGCTGGGTCAGACAAAGCAGGGACAGCATTCAGTCCAGTAGCGAAGTACACGAGGCATCACCATTTGTCTCCTGGGTGCATGTTAGCAGAAAACTGGAATCGTGAATAGAGCCAGGGCTAAAACCCAGGCATCCCAGTGTGGGATGCAGCTGTCCTGACTAGTGCTTAACTGTGTTACGACAAGTGTCTTTCCATGATTCTTTTTTTTTTTTAAGATTTATTTATTTATTTATTTTATTGGAAAGGCGGATGCACAGAGAGGAGAGACAGAGAGGAAGATCTTCCATCCGATGATTCACTCCCCAAGTGAGCGCAACGGCCGATGCTATGCCAATCCGAAGCCAGGAGACTCTTCCGGGCCTCCTGTGCGGGTGCAGGTTCCCAAAGCTTTGGGCTGTCCTCGACTGCTTTCCCAGGCCACAGGCAGGGAGCTGGATGGGAAGCAGGGCTGCCAGGATTAGAACCGGCACCCATATGGGATCCCGGACATGCAAGGCGAGGACTTAACCACTGCGCCATCGCACCGGGCCGCATGATTCTTAATATTGTATTTCTTCCCTCACGATGTGCCAGATATTGTGAACATTTCTTCCTATGAGGCTCATTTTCAAGGCCGTGTTAAACAAGATATTGAGTGATGGCTTTGTTGGCCAAGATTTGTCTCATTAGGATTAATACTCATATTTTAATCAAATTTAGTGGAAATGATGCAAACGTATCGTATCATTGAGAAGAGTAATAGCCAAGAATGCCAGAAGAGACCAGCAAGAGGAGAAAAGGGGAGTCGGTTAAAAGTGTTGACTAAAACAAGAAAAAAAGTGAAGAATATTTAACTTTATTTAGAGAAGCGAAAGAATACCTATCCATTGCAAAGAAGGAAACCATATCCCTAAGGAACATATACTTACCAAATAGAGTTACATTTTGAGCTGCATGCCTTATTTGGATTCAAAGGGTCTTTAAAATCTTTTAAAATCTTTTAAAATCTTTTAAAATCTAAGTGTAACAATTTTGTTTAAAACAGCTGCTATGCTATGAAATTGCCTTAAGTAATTGCACCTGCTAGTCAGTCCATATTCTAGACTGGAAACAGTAATAATGAAAGAAGTCTATAACATAGTAAGGTATTAAACATTTTAATTATGTAGGACTTTATAAAAGTGAATGGAATATTTTGTTGCTGACAGCATTTGTCCGCACCTTTGATTTGATGAGGTGAGTGGGATGCAAACCCAAACCTGCTCAATGAAGTTACTTTGAATACTGGGTCGTAAGAATTTCTTTTGGCCTCAGATCAACTTGCTGGTGGCCATTCTCCAATCATATACTCAGCTAGCAATGAATTATCTTAAAAATAGGGGTAAGTATCCCGTATCAGATTGTCTGAGTCGCAGTCCTGGTTGTACTCCCCATTCTAGCTTTCTGCAGATGTGCACCCTGGAGCAGGAAGAGCCTGCTGGCTGGATGGTCCATGCTGGGTCTGCTGCCTCTGTGCGACACTGCACCAGAGGCCTCTGGAACACAACCAGTGGACGAGATCGCCCTACTTTACTGTCCCCCTCTATTGTTCCTTATTCCCTTCTTTCATCTCTTTCTCTCTCTCTGCATCTCTGTCTCACCCTCTTTCAGTCTGCCTTTTGAATAAATTGATAATTTAAAGAATACTCATATTGAATCAGTATGAAATAGAATAAGCTGCGTTCTCATTTTAATGTGTTGCATTTAAATATTTTTTCTGATTTCTATGTTTCTGTTATTGTAGGTAGAAGTAGATTCTATCTCTGTACCTTTGCCCTTTTCACATCAAGATCTGTCTATAGAGGATTCTGGTACAATGTACGTTCTCACTACTCCGGCTGGACTAGTCATAAAGTGGGCCCATCTTACAGGAATCATAGACATTCATTTTAGTTCCCGATTTAACTTGTCATCCTACACAGAAGGACTTTGTGGTGAGCATCGCTATTCAAATCTTTATTTTTTATCACTATTTTTCCTGTTCACATTGTATTATTTTGGACTCTGTTACCCTACTTTTGGGATTGAGTTTTGTTACTAATTTTAGTTTCTCAGGTAAATAATTAAGAAAATAATAGTTTGTTACAAATGGGCTTATAAGCCAAAAAAAGTTAAATTTGGATATTTTATGGAAATGTAAGCTTGCTGTTATTACTATTACATGATTTATATTTAGATAAGCTTGCCTTTATTAAACATTTAATCAAGTGTCAGACACTATTTTATATATTTCAACTCACTTCTAAGAAATCTTAATAAATATATGCTAGTGTTATATCAGTTTATAGATAATATGGAAGGGGAATAGATAAGAGAAAGTCTTAAAGTTTCTTGTTTCTTTCATATTATTTTAAAAGATAAAAATCAAGGAAAACTAACTTACGCCTTTTAGGAAGAACCCAATGTTCTGAATATTAATCAAAGTTTTATTATGGTGTGTACAGTTGAGCTACCCAGTTTTTTCATATACTATGTCGATACTATACTATGTCGAATGGTACAGGACAAAGGAAACAGATAGGGAAATTTATGAACACATAATCATGTTTAAAAGAATACAGGAGCCAATGTGTCCTGGGCAACATGAATGCCAGCTGTCCTCACAGCTTTTTGACATTGAGAGAACAAGTTTCCTCATCTTTGAGAAGGGGTAGTAATCTTTACATTCAAAACCATTGGAATTGAATACAGGCAATGAAGCAAATATTTCATTGCAGCCCATACATATGCACAATTATTATATATCAATAAAAATGTTGAAAGAGATTCTTTTCAACATTGAATGCCACAGTTAATGTAGGCTGGTTATTACATGATCACAGTGAACAAATTCACTCTAGTGCAATGTATCTCATGTAATCACAGCAAATATTGTGAAAAAGGTTTATGGATCCCTTACAGGTGTCTTATACTGCTTTTATGTTGATGAGTCAAAAGTAACTAAGCACTTGTCTTTAATAAATTACTGAAAAACTCAAATTTCCTCCTTAAAATGGCTAATGTCCTCGCCTTGCATACACTGGGATCCTATGTGGGTACCAGTTTGTGTTCCAGCAGCCCTGCTTCCCACCCAGCTCCCTGCTTGTGGCCTGAGAAAGCAGCCGAGAACAGCCCAAAGCCTTGGGTCTCTGCACCCATGTGGGAGACCCAGAAGAGGCTCTGGCTCCTGGCTTCAGATCGGCTCAGCTCCAGCCATTGTGGTCACTTGGGGAGTGAATCATCAGATGGAAGATCTTCCTCTCTGTCTTTCTTCCTCTGTATATCCAGCTTTCCAATAAAAATAAATAAATCTTTTAAAAATACAAGCATTCTATATAAAACTTTGCTTAAATGATTTACATATTTCCTTGCCAATTTATAGTATGCTAAACATAATGACAAAAATTTCTAGGGCAACATAAGATCACCATTGTGGAATTAGTTATGTGTATTATGGAATATATATATAGTCAGTAGTTATTGATAATAGATCATGCACTTTGGGAATGTACACTTTCCTGTATGGCTTATAAATGGTAAGACTCTTACCTGATTTTGTTACTTTTCATTTCTTCCTCTTCTCCTATCAGCTCTTGACTTTGTGTGGATATAGACAGACACTCTACTAACTGATGTGTAACTGAGCACTGTGAAGAAACTGCTTTTCACTAGGCCAGGATCACTCCCTGGGCCCAAGACCTCCACAGTGGATGAAGGGTGGTTGGGGAAAAGGAAACCTGGCACTATTGGAACCACTAGGATGACAGCTGGCTTGGGAGTGTGACCCTGACTGACCTCAGACACTAGAATAGAAGGCATATATTGGAATTTCATATAGCACTATGGAGTCTGAAGTGTTAGCAGCTGGATGTGCAGTGAAAGCATATCTGTAATAGCAATCATTTTCCTTTACTCAAATACTTGGAAGCTCTTTTAGCTCTTTTAGAAATAAAGTTTTTTATGATATTAAAAACTTAGTGTTCAGTACACACACACACACATACACATATATATGTATATGCAGGGTGAAATATGAGTAGCAACTTTTATAAATTTTCTGATATGTTTGCATAATCATATTTTACGCTTTAAGAAAATGGGGATTGAGTAAAACGTAATCTTAAGTTAGGGTGAGTTTGGGTCAGTGAAAGGGTTCTAGATGCATTTCTCTGTGTTTCTGGCTCTGCACTTCACTGAATGAAGACTAAGCTCAACGTTAGTCTAGAGGAAGTTGGAGGTTGTAGCAAGTCAGCGCATCACTGCCACTCACGCACTGCCATTTCAAGGAAGAGAGATTGTGTCAGAATTTTCAGCTGAAGTCCTGATCTTGCAATGACTGTCCTGATGTCGGATGAATCCATATGTCTATGTGACTGCTGTGTGAATATCTGATTCATGCCTGCATGAAGTGTAACAGTTGCTAATTGCAAGAGACTAAGGATTATCTTTATATAAATAACAAGTCTTACCTGTAGCAGTGCTCAGCGCTAAGTGAAGGGACGGGATAATGATGGGGGCAGAGTAAATTCTTCAGGAAAGGAGGCATTTAATCCTTTCAAGTAGAGTTTTTATCTGTGAGAATGAATGCCTGGGAACCATCACCAAATATTGGCTGTGCAAGCATTTACCTTACCAGGTTGCAGAGCTGGGGCTCAGTCAAGAATGGAAAGCATGCAGGAACAGAATTCATCACTTTGTTTTTGATATTTTATGCCTGCTTCATGATATGTATTTCTAAGTTCATGATTTCTTTCTTATCTGGGTAAGATAAATCTTTATGATTTTATCAGAGAATAAGATGTATAATTTAAACAATTCTTTTGACAGTTAGGGAAGATATGCAATTTATATTTTATTCACTAAATAATTCATTATGTTTTCTTTAATGGTTAAACTGATCTAGTTGTGCTGCCTAAGTATGGTTTAAGTGAGAAATTTTTGCTTCTCAATGTCATATATTCTTTCAAGGGATTTGCAATGAAGACCCAGATGATGATTTAAGGATGCAAAATGGCACCATCATTATGAACATGGAAGACATGGCATTGTTTATTGAGAGCTGGGAAATTGAGAAATCGTTTGAAATGACAACAAGAAGACCTGTGAGGGATTGTAGTGAGCATGACTGCAGTGACTGCATTGAGTTATTAAACAGAAGAGCTTTCATTCCATGCCATGATAAAGTAAGTTAAAAGCATTCATAAATAAGAACTGTCCTGTTAGTCGTGTTGGGAATAAAAGCCGATACATTCCTGTTCTCCTACTGAGAACAGTTAATCTCCAAGCCTTCTGCCAGTGGGCATTGCAGTTCAGAATCACTGTTTATAGACTTTCAATGATGGGAAAGATAATTATCTTTTCCCTGCTGTGCTTTGTTAGAACTACATCTAAGGCTTTCAGAAATATGAAATTATGTTCTGTGATTAAATGCCTCTGGAAGAAAGAGATCAATGTTGCTGGATAACCAAGACAGGCAATGTATTAGATACTGTGACGCAGAACTAAGACCATGCTGCTTCATCTGCAAGGATTCTGGAAGGAAGGGAAGCCTTTGCACAGATTTGATGAAGTTTAAAATATTGAAGTGCTTGGAATTCTAGGCTTGAAGAAGAATTCATGGAGATTTAGACTTGGAAGCGTTTAGAGGAATGGATTTGCTGGAAACAGAAAGAGAAGAGGGATCTATACAGATAACAATGGCATATGCAAGACAGCAACTGGCATTAAAGGCCTTGCAAGGAAAATACTAAATCAACTTGGTGCAAGATTGACGGAGGGGAGAAGTCAAAGAAGGAAGATGAGGGGGCAGTCCAGTCAGGGAGCGGTGCATGGGGGCTGGCCTGGGCTAGACAGGGAAGTGTAGACTTGCCCTTGGTTCCCTGGGGGCAAGGGAAAGGTTTGAAGTCATGAGATCCCAGAGACAAGAGCCACATCTGTCATGAGTTCCACTTTACATCATGATCTATATGAAAATAAGTCTTAGGAGTTTAAAAAATTTTAAATATATATATATATACATAAAAGAAAAATAGTGAATGATTTTCAATGCATTTAGATAGTACTTTAATATACACCATGGTTTTGTTTAAGGATTTATTTTATTTTTATTGGAAAGGCAGATATACAGAGAGGAAGAGAGACAAAGAAGATCTTCTGTCCATTCATTCATTCCCCAAGTGATCACAATGGCTGGAGCTGAGCCAATCTGAAGCCAGGAACCCGGAGCCTCTTTCAGGTCTCCCACATGGGTGTAGGTTCCCACGATTTTGGGCTGTCCTCAACTGCTTTCCCAGGGCACAGGCAGGGAGCTGGATGAGAAATGGGGCCACCAGGATTTGAACCAGGACCTACATGGGATCCTGGTGCATGCAAGGCGAGGGCTTTAGCCACTAGGCTACTGAGCTGGGCCCTACATCATGTTTTCTAAAAATTACATTTTCAACAGGAGCATATAAATTAACACAGAACTGAAATTGCTGAACAGAACATATATGAGAAATTAGACTCAAACACAATGGTTAAACAGTTTGGTGTCTAAAAATCTAATAGACTAATAATTATGTAGTCAAAATTTGATAAACAGAAAGTCAATTAACTTCTTATTCTGCCACATAAGTATAAACCAGTTTAATTCTGGAAGATACTTGCTATAATGAATTTATAGTAAGGGCTGAAAATATAATTTTCCCTCATGGAAAAAGATGATAATAATCAAATTCAATGCAGTATAAATGGATTATTTTAATTGTCATAAAAGGACAGCTTAACAAAACAATGATTCATCAGATTTTTAAGAATCAAGACTGAATATTAAAAGCACTACAGTGAAAATACATTTTAAGAACAAGATAAGAATAAATTTAGAACTATTGGCCGTGTGGACTTCTAAGTACTCAGGACCTTTAGATCAGCATTTCTTTAAAACAATAAAGTAAACCCTTCTTAAGACTTGTGAAGGTTCTTCTCACAAACGCTTAAAGCTGTCTTGAAATACTCATGTTTTACTTTAATTTTTAGTTCACAAATAATTTATCTGTATGGATGCACTGTAAAGCTTATTCACATATTTTTGTGTGGAATGATCAAAGCAGGCAAAGAACATATCCATCACCATAAATATTTATTATTTCATTTTATGGTGTGTGCATTTAAAAATCCCATTCAATAGAGTGTTGTTAAGTGTAGTCACCCTGCCGTGCCAAATGAGGATGCTCCAAGATGTTTTTAAAAATGGAATGAAAATATAAAGTGAAATATACAGGAGCTGGTGTAATAGCATAGTAAGCGAATCTAACACCTGTGGCACTGTCATCTCATATGGGTTCTAGTTCAAGTCCTGTCTGTTCCACTTTTGATTCAGATTTCTGCTAACGCTCTGAGAAACCGGTGAAGGAGGATCTAATTCCTTGAACCTCCAATTTCTTGATCCCTGTGTGGGGGACTGGAAGAAGCAGCTGAAGTTCTCACCTTGCACGCATGAGGGTCCCATATGGGCGCTGGTTTTAATCCCAGCAGCCCTGCTTTCCATCCAGCTCCCTGCCTGTGGCCTGGGAATGCAGTTGAACATGGCCCATGTGAGAGATCTGAAAGAGGCTCCTGACTCCTGGCTTTGGATCGGCTCAGCTCCAGCTGTTGTGGTCACTTGGGGAGTGAATCATTGGGCAGAAGATTTTCCTTGTCTCTCTTCCTCTCTGTATGTCTGGCTTCTCAATGGAAAAAAAAAAAACTTTTAAAAAACAAACATCCAAAGTTTATTTCCCAGCATAAGATCTGTAAATTCAAGGCATTTTTGTAATCAATAATGTCAGCCATGTATCTGATATTGTGGGTAGCGGGTTAAATCGCAACTTGAGACACTAATATTCAACAGATGCTTGTTTGAGTCCTGGCTGCTTCTCTTCCAATCCAGCTCCCTGCGAATATACCAGGAAGGCAGCTGGAGTTGGCCCAGGTGCTTGAGACCCTGCCACTCACAGGAGAGACCTGGATGAAGTTCTGAGATCTTGGCATTGGCCTGCTCTGTCCTGGATTATTGTGGCCATTTGGAGAGTAGAAACAGTAGATGGAAGATCCCTTTCTCTCTGTCTCTCCCTCTTTCTATCAGTCTTCCTGTCATATACATAAATCACTCTTTAAAAAACAATCCATCTATCTGAAAGTCAAACTTGTAACATACCAAGGGACTATACTGTTGTGATAACATGGAGACAAAATGGGGAGAGGAAATAGGAGAAGGGAGAAAGAGGATTCGGCAGGAGGAACCCCTTTAGTTACAAAGCTATATCATGGAGAAAAATAAATTTAAAAAAATGTAAAGGCATCTGCACATCCCAGAAGAATCAGGGTCTTGGGAATTAAACATGTTAGTGCAGCAATTTTTATGTTATTAATTATACAAAATTGAGTGACCATTAAAGTGTGTGTGTGTGTGTAAAATTTGGAAACAAAAAGAAGCCAGAACAGAGTTATGTGCTAGATGTTCATTCTTCTGCCTATGAATGTGAGATCGTCCCTGCATTGTTCACTGGAGCCTCTGTGTGCTCCACCATATGCTCTTGGTAATTTTTTAAGAGTCAATTGGCAGGGCAGGTATTTGCAGGTTAAATGCTGCTTGGAATGTCAATATCCCAATTCAGAGTGCCAATTCAATTTCTGTTTTTTTTTTTAAGATTTATTTATTTTCATTGGAAAGCAGATATACAGAGAGGAGGAGAGAAAGAGAGGAAGATCTTCCATCCAATGGTTCACTCCCCAAGTGACCGCAATGGCTGGAGCTGAACCAATCCGAAGCCAGGAGCCAGGAGCTTTTCTGGGTCTCCTAACATGGGTGCAGGGTCCCAAGGCTTTGGGCTGTCCTCAACTGCTCTCCAAGGCCACAAGCAGGGAGTTGGATGAGAAGTGGAGCTTCTGGTATTAGAAACAGTGACCATCTGGGAATCCTGCACATGCAAGGCAAAGACTTTAACCACTACGCTATCATGCCGGGTCTCCAGCTAGTCTGTTTTAATCTAACTCTTTGCTAATGCTCCTGGAGGCAGCAATTGATGGGTTAAGCACTTTAGTTCCTGCCACCAATGTGGGAGACCTAGATAGAGTTTCTGATCCCTGACTTCAACCTGGCCAAGAACTGACCATTTGGGGAGTGAGCCATTAGATGGAATATCTCTTTCTTATTCACTCTATGTTTCAAGTAAATAGATATTTAAGGAAAAGATCAATTGGTCTACGTGTTTAGACTGTCTCTTGAGCAGTATTCTGATCATAATGATTCAGTAATAATCCTGGCAAAGTGCTTACAGTAATGGAAAAGATGTTTTCTTTTTATGTACATACTGATAGACATGCAAGTTCTTGCAGATTGCAGGACCAGCACAGAGAAAACAGCACTGCTCTCATAACTAACTTGGGATCTGATACACTATCTCAATTCACCCAAAAAATTTTAAGTGGATACTTAGAGACTGACTTCAAAGGCCAGTTGTTCATTAGTCAATGAGAAAGGTAGGGCACATTTATTCTGTTAATTTCTCATAAAGTAAAGCATTCTCTTTACTAAAGAGAATGGCTATTAAAAAGAAAAAGGCTATTATTTAAAATGGAAATGCAAGTTGTAACTTCCCAAAATACTTCAAATGAGAAATATTGAGCTTATCATGATTTCATTAGAATTAAAGCTAACAGCTCTAGAGATAAATATTCTTCTACCTTGCGCTTCTTCTGAGATCAGATGTGATCGGGTGCCTTCAGGGTGGTATGGTCATGGACCTACCTTGCACTTCTAAGAGTTAACTTTGGTGAAAGTCTCTTATGAGATGCTGGTAACATAGACAATGGCCCAACCCGCTATGCCACCATGATGGCCCCTCTTCGGACCTTCTGAATTATTGATATATCCCATCCTATTAACAAGTCATGTTGAGTTTGCTGAAGACAATTGCTTATTGGTCACACATTTCTTCCAGTCATCAGTGCTATCTCCTTCATCCAAGTAACTGTCATCTTTGTCTTGGTCTGAAGATAAGAACTCATAATATGGCTTTCTCACTTGCAAATCTTCATACTGTATGCAGGATGATCTTTTAAAAATATCAAAATTATATCATTTCTCTACATAAAACTCTTCAATGCCCTTCCCTTGCATGTAGGGAATAGTCCAAACTTTCTCACCACTGTTTACAAGGTTCTCTAAGAGCTGGCCCCACCCGCTCTTCCACCTACCAGTGACATTCCATTTTTTCCTTGTTTGGCAAACTCAGATCATTCTAGCTTCCTCTCAGCCATCGGAATATTGCAAGATTTGTCCCTCTGCCAATGAGCTTTCTCTAGTTGATATCCCTGCTTCCTCCCATTACTTTTTGCTTAACAACTGTTTTTGATCATACAAAAAGGCTTTGAAAAAAAATTAGGAGACCTACAGTCAGAAAATAGGTGTGTTAAGTTTACCTTTATATCCCTTATTTATAGTACACTACCTTACACATAGGTTGCTCCCCAACTAACAAAGTGTGCATACATGTGTGGATAAGAAAAGGATTCAGTTTCTGTGAGTTAAGTGGAGATGGTGTAAATTTTCATTTTGGATAGACTGTCATGTGGGACATCAAAATAAAAATATCCAGAAGAAACTCAAAAGTATAATGTGGGAGCTCATAAGAGGAAGATCAAGTAAGTGTAAGTAATTTATGATGTGTGAACACGTTTTCCTTATAGTAGTGTATTTCAAAACCATGACAGTTGTAGGTAGTAATACTTTTTTTTTAATTTTAAGATTTGCTTACTTATTTGAAAGGGTTATACGAAGAGAGAGGAAGGTACACAGAGATCTTCCATGTGCTGGTTCATTCCCCAAATGGCCAGACCAGTAGGGCTGAGAAGTCTGACTCAGTAGGGCTGAGTGTCTGAATCTCCCACATGGGTACAGAGACTGAAACGCTTGGTCCATCCTCTACTGCCTTCCCAGGCATGTTAGCAGGAAGCTGGTTCAGAAGCACAGTGGCCAGGACTTGAACTGGTACCTGTATGGGCTGCTGGCATCATAAGCAGAGGTGTTGCCCACTGAGTCACAAAGCAGGCCCCATAGAAATTGGTTTTATTATTTCTATGTCACACATAACAAAAGCAAGTCAAGGCAATTAGAGAAAACCAGGGGAGTGGGTGAGCCTTGATGAGGGTTTGCTGTGAGAAGAGATGGACATTAAGGGCAGGGTTTAGGAAAGCAGAATAAGAGGCAGGAAGAGAACACCATGACAAGGAGATGAAAAGCCAACACAGGGCAGTGCCTTTGATGTCAAAGGAGAACATCCAGAGACACACGGAGTGCTCTTGGCAGCGTAAGCCACTCAACAGGAGAGGAGAGCTTAGGATGTCAGACTGTTCATTACATTTGACAAACAAGAGGCTATTAATGGCTGCAGCAAATGCTCTGTGCAACATGGCTGGAAACAGGAGATTCAACAAGAGAAATTAAGAAACAAGTAAACTCTTACTTTTTATTAGAATAAAATATGATGGGTTACAAAATTAAATAATATTTTATGCAATAGTTTGACCTGTATCAGAACTTAGCATCTGAAAGTAGACACCTAGAATGTGTTGGCTGGATGAACGAGAAGAGAGAGAAACGAGAATAAATGTTGAATTACTAATTAAATTATGCAAGTTTATGGCATCTCCAAACACAGTGCATTCTGTACAAAAAGTCTCTAATTAGTTAAAACAAGCCATATTATTCAAAGCATGTGACCAACAGACTATATTAATACATTCAGATTTCTTTTTCATTGTTATAAAGATAATTCATGTGTTAACGAAGATGGCATGTGTCATGTTTAAAATGTATGCTTAAAAATATCAATCCAGAGTTGACACGTAGTGTTATACATTTTTTGTAAATGTACAATCTGTTATTGATTATCATATCTTGGTACTTAATTTATCAGATAGTTTTAGTCAAACTTAGGGTCTTCAGAAAAAAAAAACACAAAGCAAAAGTAACATAACCTATCCCAAGACAAAATTATCTCTAGGTTTCACCAAAGGACTTTTGTGAGAAGATGTGGATCAATTATACGTATTTTTGGAACTACGAGTGTGATGCACTTTCTGCATATGTGGCTTTGTGCAATAAGTTTGACATCTGTATCGAGTGGAGAACACGCGATTACTGTTGTAAGTATTAACTGAATGGCACTTTCCATTAAACTGTAACATTTTTTCCCAGCTCACTCATTTCTTTTTCTTTTCATTTTTAAATCACAAAGTAGTTTAGTTGGACTATTGTGTGTGGGAAAAAATATCATATACAACAAACACTAGAGACATTACTCAACTTGAAAATTGAAATACCCTTAAAACTTCTGTGACTCTTCTCCTATCCCTTAACTCTTTCTCCTTTCTCTGAAGTAGTAATGACCAAGAAGAGCATGGCTGATTCATGAGGAGTGTGTGTCATCTCTAACCTCGTCAGGCACTCTCGTGTTGTTCTCCACCGAGATTGTACTAACGTACACCCCACAGCCTGAGCATTTTGTCAACTGGATGCCTTTTTTTTTTTTTTTAAAGAACGGTGTAAATTACCAAGAATCTTCTGTAATGTCATTTAGAAAGTGACCATTTATAACAGTTTCTTTTTATAGTGATGGATTAAAGCTAGTTGTGCAGAATTCTCCCTCTCTTTAATCCCTTGGGGTTGTTACATTTTTAAAATGTATTCTTGCATTTATTCTGAGTAAGCTGTAGTATTTCCTCTCACTGAAAAATTCAACAACTTTACAGCAGTTGACTTTACAAGAACCAGACTTGGCCTACTTGTTGACTGTATTTGTTTGATATAATTCAGAGGAATATTTCCTACCAGAAAAAAATTAACAATAACTGGAAGATGTTTAGACTGTCCACTGATGGCTTAACTCTGATTTATTGTCACAGAGTAATTGAAAAATGGAATCAAAAGGTACTAAATAGAGAAAAAATAATCTTTCTATTCAGAAGAAAAAAAAAAATCTTTTCTTTGATTAGATGGCAGATAGAGGACTTTGATCATTAGCAAATTGTGCCCCCTGTTGGTCACAGCTCTGAATTGCCCGGAGGGGAAAGAATATCAGCCCTGTGTGCAACCTTGTGATGCAAGAACGTGTCTGAACAAGTGGTTCTATGAACACTCGTCGTGTTTGCATCTAAGAGAAGACTGTGTGTGCAAAAACGGAACAATTCTTCACAGACCGGATTCAACTCAGTGCATTCCAGAGAAAGAATGTGGTAAGAAGCAGATTATAACATGATACTTTAGGAATCCAACAAAAGGTGTAAGCTGAGGAAGCTTGATTAAAGGTAACCTAGCTGTTGGAAAGAGAATGAGCTTATTTGCAGTTTGGTTTTAATGTGGTATCTGTTGAAGCTAACAAAATGGTAATCATTGGTGCTTACGTGTTTTGTTATATATATTATCACACACACACACACACACATACTTCAAAGCAAAAGATTGTAGAGAAATAGAAACAACAGGTATAAATTATAACTGAATGGAAAAATGACAGATTTGCCAATTCCTATAGTAACAGGGAAAGAGCATGAGAAAAAGAAAATTAAGTGTGTGGGTGTTGACTGAATAGAAATTCAATTACTTCATATATTAGTGGTTTACATTTACCGTTAAGAGGTTGATGTATGCCTCTGGAAAGGGGGGAAATAATGGTCATAGCCCATGAAATTATTACATAAAATAATATTCATTTTGTGTTCAACACGGTTTCTTGAGAATGTAGACAAATATGCAAGAATGACAGATAATATTGCTATCTGGAACAGAATATTTAATATTTCTACTTTCACTTATAAAAATATTTCTGCTTTCAATTTGAAGTCATTTTATTAGAATGCATTGCTTCCATGATAATGGCAAATGCAAAAAGTATAGCATTGTACAACTTGCACCAATTTTGACAGACATAGGTCTTTTCATTGTTGTGAGACGGAAAGGAAATTGGCTAACAATCCAAGGGAAAGCTAAGTGCAAGTGAAACGGACATCTACAATTGGAAATCATCTTGTGTTTACCAATGAGTAAAGTATGAATAAGAGACAGAGAATGCACAGGCATTCATAAATTTGATGTTTGCAAATCTATGAGTTTGGTTTGTTAATAGACAGGAAATCTTAAGAGAAGTTCACTGGAAGCTGTGAACATTGTTGGCAAATACATCCATCTTTGTTGTTCTTTAAAAGAGAACATGAGAGAATCATATATATCATAAAATACAACTTTTATACAAAACTAACAGAGCCAATAAACATTATTTTGCCTGATTGTGTACTTTCCAGCTTTTACTTTCTAAAGCAGAAGCATTTAAAATGTTAATATGACATAAATGTTAATAGAAAACATTTAAAATTTTAATGACTAAATGTTAATGCTAATGTTAGAAAAAGGAGTGCTTTATTTTTTAGTATCACCCATTCTTAACAGTTAATATTTTAAAGCTAAATTAAGTTTATATGACAGATTTGTTCAAGTTAAATAAATTAGATTATTAAAACTTGCACAAAATCAATTATCTTACTGATAGACGAGTACACACAAATTTGCAGAGTTGTAGAAGAGAAAAATACTTAATGTGGGCCACAAAACCTTCCTCAGCCAAGGCGTGAGCTAGAAGCTGAGGGAAGGAAAGGGGAGTCTGAGAAAGCAGAGTTTGCTGAAGCGTCATCGTTCAGCCAGGCCTTGTTATGGTTGGAAATCAGAGCGTCATAGCTTGCTTTTCTTCATGTCCAGATTATGAGTGCTTTAATTCTGCTCATGTTTTGCAGCATGCACTGATAGGGAGGGCCAACCGCGCACCGCTGGGGAGATTTGGAATGGGGGTGTTGACGAATGTGCCCTGTACAAATGTCTGGAAAATGGAAGCATAATCCCCGTAGAGCCCGACTGTGATGACGAGCCCTCGCCAGTGTGTCAACGGGAAGCTGAAGTCGTCATGGGCATCACAGATAGACTGACTTGCTGCTCAAAGGAAATTTGTGGTGTGTATGCAGAGAAGCCTACAAACAGTTAAATCCACAAAATGTGTTGATATTCTTATGACCACAAAAAAGGCAGCATGTATGATGCTTGGCAAAATAACAACAACAACAGCAACAAGAAAACATCAAGAGTTGAAGTAGTAATGAAGTATTGCTACAAATGTTTTTTCAAAGCAAGCTTTGCCTCACTGTGGTCATGTTGAGTTGCATATACATGTTTATGTATATGTATGCATATATATTTGCATATATTTATGCAAAGATCTGTCTATTATCAATTAGTGTTTTCTACCAAATACATCAAAAGGATGGACCTGGAAATTTTTTTTTATTATACTCAAAAAATCATTATTTTATTTATTTGAAGAGTAGAGAAGGAGAGAGAGAAAAGGGAGAGAGATTAAAGGAGATGTTTCATCCACTGGCTCACTCTCTAAATGGTGGCCAGGGCTGGGGCTAGACCAGGCCTCAGCCAGGAGCCTGGAACAGCATCTGGTCTGAATGTCTCCCACATGGGTGTCTGGGGACCAAGAACTTCTGCTGCTTTGCTGGGTACATCACCAGGAAGCTCGATTTAAAGTGGAATTGCTTGGCACTCATACTAGCACGATATGAGGTATTGGCAGTACAGGCTCTAGGGTAACCCACTGTACTTCAACATCCTGGATCTGGAAATCATTGACAAAATGCAATAAGGCAAACCTGTGAGCTTGAGGCTGGTTACATCTACATCACTTTTTTGAGCATTGCACTCACATTAGTGAGAGTTGATTCCTTGTCTTCAGTAAGCAGCCCAAGATTTTAGTTATGGTCCCTGATGACTCAATGCTGTTTTTTATTTCTAGGGTGTGACATGACTTTGTGTGGTACTGCCATCCCAACATGTACAGACAGACAGAAGCTGATTGTTGGCTATAGTGTTCTTTCTTGTTGTCCACAGTACAAATGTGGTGAGTTAATCATTTAGGAGAAATAAGTGAAGTTCGTTGTTTATTTAAAACAGTGGATTAGATTCTTGTTTGTGCTTCCAAAGAATATAACTTATTATAAAAGTTGCTATTTCTTATATATATGTTCACCAATGTTGTGATCTGGTAAGTTCTTGATATTACATTGAAATAGAATTGAACAGCATTATGTCATTAAGTTTATCATGTCACTCTTAAAAGTCATTATACATCTTTATTTACTTATCTTTTTATTATTTGCAGAATGTGACACATTGAAATGCCCCAATATTTCAACACCAGAATGCAGAGAAGACCAATTTATGATTCAAGTTCAAAGGGAAGAACCTTGTTGCTTTTACCCTTCCTGTAGTGAGTATTACGGAGATAATTTCTTGAAAAAGCAGTCTCAGAAAAAAATCTCATAATGTTTCATGTGAATTTCATGGTGTTGCTTGTTACTGAAATGCTAATGGTATTGCCATGTGTATTCAACCAAATAAGGATTGTAAATAAAGAAAGAACATTTAAGTGACTCTTAACAGTTATTACAGAACACATCTTTTTGTTTCAGTTCTTTGGCTGCACGAGGCAGGACAGAAGCAAAACCAAAAAGCAAAGCAAAACAAAAACCTGACTAATTTTGGATAGCTTACACTGGGAAGGAAAGAAACCCTGCTCTAGGCAGAGACAACTGCCTCTTTTTATGATTCCAATTCCATGGAAACAAAGTGTGATTAGTCTAAAGAGAGTCATTCTCTTAGCAGTGTCATGTTGAGGGCGACACTTTTCATCACCAGTCAGTGAAAGACCGTAAGATCAGGGCGTTTCCTCAAGATCATTGAGATAGTTGGTGTTACGTTTGCTATCCCTGAGCAGTTCAAGAATAACCAAGGGAAGTAGATTAAGAAAACTTTATTTATTTAAATTTATTTATTTTATGATGCATTTCCATATGCTCTGGGATTTCCACTCACCTCCCCAACTTCCTTACTCCCACTGAATTCCCTTATATTATTACAATAATATAGTAATATATTAATATTACAATAATATAATACTCCTTAGATTAATAATATAATAATAGTCCTTAAGAAACAGTCATAAGTCTGTCATTCTGCTATTGAAGTATATCCTGACTTTGTAGGTATAGACAGTTGCAGACTCCAGCATCCCATTGTCAAGATATTTTTAAGTTTCATGCAGGATTCATCTGTAGATTAGGAAAATTTAAATAAGTCGATGGTATTTTGATCCATATAAATACATTTTATATGGATTCTGAATTCTGAAGACCTTACATTTCTGGTCAGGTGATATTCTATTTATCATTGTTCTTGGAAAACATCAAACTACATGGTTGGGCAGTGTTATTGTTTTGTGGCTATATAAGGAGATAAATATTTGATTCTATTTCTTTCCTATTTTATTAAACATACTGTATTATTTTATTTGCATATAATAATATGACCTAATCATTAATTTACATTTGGCTCAAGTGTGATTTTTGACTTTCTGTTTCACCTTTAGTCTGTGAAACTTGTACTGAACCCATTCCACAATGTACTGATGGGGAATTTCTCACAGTGAACCTTAACACCACATACTTCTGTTGTCCTCAGTATTACTGTGGTAAGTGTGTTTTATCTGAATTAAAATGTTTAGGTGTGCCTAGTGTGTAAGAAGCCTCTGTGTAGTAGTTGTATAGTTACATCAGATCTTTGTTAGGGCTCTTCACTTCATGAGCTGTGCTAACACCCCTCCTGTTTGATCTTCTCTAAGTCCTTTGTTACATCCTCAGCTACAGACGGATATTGGGTGGTTGCACAGGCAATATTTGGAGGATTAAACTTACACGTAGCATCAGTAATGGCATTCAGCTAACTGGCAGTAGGAAAAATGGCAATTACATGAAGTTAACATGTATTTCTTTTCAGTGTGTGAACCAAACCTTTGTCCTTTACCATCACTACACTGTGCAGAAGATATGAATCTTGTCAAAGAAAATATACCTGGTCAATGTTGTCCAACGTGGCATTGCGGTAATGAATGTCGTAGTTTAAAATTTTATTATCATAATTTAATGCACTGGGATTGATTAAATAGGATGATTTTTGCCTTTTAGAATGTAACTGTGAAAACCTCGTTGTACCAACTTGTGAAGTGGTAAGAACACATTTTAATCGACTTGTATAATTACTCAAATCTGCCTATTCTTCCTTTTTCTTCCTATTTCTGATTTCTCAGTGTTAATAGCACCGCCCCCCCCCACAAGCTTTTATGTTTTACTAGTAATAGGAAAGTATAGTATGTTTTTTTATAAAACAATGACTGATTCTACTAGTATTATTACTGAAGCTTACAGTTCTTTAAATAAAACATTTTAAGCAATTTTAATGCTGAAAGATTTTAATGGTTCTTATTTCAAAATTTGCATCAATATAAAGAATATATTTTATGGGTAAATTCTAAGAATATTTATCTAATGATTCTTTAAGAAAGTGCACTAGTAACACGTCTATTCTCGAGAAGAAGTGAATGTGAACTGCCTGTGCGTTTCAGAAAGTCAAAACTGAACATGGGGACCGTATGGGAATGCCAAAATTTAATTTCTAGAAATAACAACATCACTAGTGTCTCTTCCTTTTTATGATTTATCTTGTTATTTCAGAAGAGAGAGAAGAAGAGGGAGGGGTAGGGAGAGGGGAGGAAGGAGGGAGGGAAAGAGAGAGAGAGAGAATATGAGTCTGTCTGCTGGTTCATTCCGTAAATACCCGAAACAGCTGGTCCTGGGCAAGGCTGCAGCCAGGATCCCTGAACTCTTCTGTGCTCTCCCACGTAGGTGGCCAAGGGCTCATGTAGTCGGGCCTTCTTATGCTGTTTCTTTGCATATGAGCAGGAAGGTAGACTGGAAAGCAGCACTCTCGCCTGATGATGGTGTCCACGTGGTAGCCTAACTTGCCGCACTTCAACAGCAGTCTCACAGAGTCTCTTCTTTAACCATTAGATACATCTCATGGCACTTCCCAACCATTTGATTTTTAAAATATTTACCACAATAATATGCTTACTGGACTTGAAAAAAAATATATTAAAAATATATTCCTCGATCTATTTTTTTGTAGACATGCTTTCTTTCAGAAAGACCTTTTTATTTGATTTCCCTCTCAGACAATTTGTATTATTATATATTCCATTCTCATGTCACAGCTATTTTCTGGGGTATAACTACATATTTTTAAAGTAACAGAATAGATAATCTTGTTCTCTTATTTTTATTGATTAGTTAAAATTTATTTAGTTGAGAGAGAGGAACAGAAAATTGTCTTTGTTCCACTGGTTTAGTCACACAATTACCCCAAACGATCAGAAGTGGGCCAGGCTGAAGCCCAGAGCCAGGATTTAAAGTGGTCTCCTGCAATGATGGCAGGAACTCAAGTCCTTGACCTCGAACCTGCTGTATCCCAACATGCGTGTTAATGGAAAGCTGAACTTGAACATTGAGCTTGGGCTCAAATCTCAGCATTTTAGTGTGGAATACAAGTATCCCAGTCATAATCACAGTGCCAAATATCTGCCCCTCTGTTTTATTTATTTTTTTGTCTGTTGTTTTAAAGCATAAATTTAATATTTGCTGCAATGATGACACATTAACAGTCATTTACATCTTCAAGCTTTACAAATAACTGTCAAAATCTATCTCATTTGATTATTTTGTGTGTGCACCGTCTGACTAGTAGAAGCACAGGTTTATAATGCTTTATAATTCTCAAGTCCTCCATTTATATAACATGTTTATTTTTTTCATTGAGTCTTCAGAATGTAGACTTTTATAGCTCATTTTATGTTTGTTGGGATTATTTTTGTTCTCAGCTTATTTTGCTAGTACTAAAATTAATACCCAAGAAAGCTGACAATTAACTAAGGTCTGTAAGATTCAACTCAGTTTGTTTATGTTTGTGGATGTGTGTGTTCATTCATTTTTCTACTCGGCCTTAACACTTTCATTTACTTGCAAAACATAACTAACACACAGAATGAAGCAAGAATAAAAAGAAATAGGACATTGCCTCCCTCTGTTTCTGGCATTATCTTTCTGCGGGTGTTTCTCACTTTGCTCATCTATAGCACAAAATTTTTTTAAAAAAGCTAACTCTGGGAAATGGATAAGTTAACATAAATGACATACTTTCGTAATACATGGTACACAGAGAGGGCTCAGTAAGTATTCTGTACATTGTAGCAACACTTTGAAGTAAACACAGTAGCCATATTGTCTACCACAAGGTGAAAGCTCATCATGGAGAAGTTTTTACCAGTGATGACCATCAAGAAAAGTTTGGAGGCAAGTGGTGGACAGGCTAGGACTAATAGGTTAAAGTAGTTGAACTATTCCTTTAAGGAGTCAGGTAAATGTGGATGTGAGATAGGAGATATTTAGTGAAAGATAATGACCTCTGTCTTTCCCAGAAAAAGGGTTAATTCCAGGATGAGCAAGGTCACCCAAAGTGGCGTATTTGGGGAGGATTTAATGACAAGGATAAGGAATTCAGAAGTGATTTCTTTTGTTTACTCTTTCTGGTTACTTATTCAACCAATATTGGCTTTTTATGATTTATTTGTTTTTGTTTGAAGGGAAGATATACAGAGACAGAAGGGCAGGGGCAGAGAGAGATCTTCAGTCTATTGATTCATTCACCAAATGACCACCATGATCAGAGTTGCGCTGGACCAAAGCCAGGAGCTTGGGACTTCTGGGTCTTTCATGTGAGTGGGAGGAGGCCATCTTACACTGCTCTCCCAGGCCATTAGCAGGAAGCTAGACAAGAAGTTGAGCAGCCAGGACTTGAACTGATGACCGTATAGGATGCCGGTATGGCAGAGGGAGGCTTAACTCACTAGGCCATGGCACTGGCTCCTCAATCAGCATTTATTGAACACCATTTATGTGAGATCATTGTGCTAGATCCTTGCAGAAGTCCAACTCTATCCTGAGAATTTCAGTGCAGATTCAATAAAAGGGGAGATGAAAAGTGTTCTGCATATGATGGGACTTCATATCAAAATGGTGCTTGAGGGAGAAGACATGACTCGTCCTTTATAGCACAGTGTGGGCAGTAAAGCATTAGTAGTAGGCAGGAGGTCAGCAAAGAGACTGTAATAATTACTCAATGAGGACTTTGATATGTGGTGGTTTAGGTAATTGGAGAGGCTGGATTTCAGATGGAGGAGGGGGCGTTGCTCATAGATTATCCTTTGTAACCTATTAAAGCAATGAAGTGATGTGTGTGTGTGTGTGTGTGTGTGTGTGTGTGTGTGTGTGAAAGAGAGAGAGAAAGAGAAAGAGACAGAGAGACAGAGAGAGAGAAGAAAGAAATACTTAAAAACATCTGCCTGTCATAGCTTTACATACCACGAGTTCAAGATTATTGGCTAGGTCCTTGGGCAGACTGATTAACAGACAACAGATACCCTGGGACCCTGTATCCTTTATGGATACTGGTTTGAGTTCTGGCTGCCTCCCTTTTGATCTAGCTCCCTGATGATGTCAAGGGAAAGCAGCAGAAAACAGCCTAAGTTGTTGGCCTGTCCACCCACATGGGAGATCCACATTGAGGTTTCTGGCTTTGTCCTGGTCAAGCCCTGCTCATTGTAGCAATCTGGGGAGTGACTGCAAAGATTCTTTCTCTCCCACACTCCTTCTCTCTTTGTCTCTCTGTGTCTCTCTGCAATCCTACTTTTCAAATAAATAATTAAAAAAAAATGTAATGAAGAGGTATACACACAAACACCTGTGCCTAATTTCCCATAGCACTACTGTTCATGGTTGTCAGAAAGTGAAAGTTGCCCAAGGCGACTTCATTATTGATCTTAAAGCAGAGGATTGCTTATTTAGGAATAAAAGAATACTATTGCATTTGACATGTTATTAAGAATTGATTGAATCATTAAGGAGACAGTGCCTCCAGATGAAATTGGATATTTATCAGATTAATATGGTATCTAAATGTGTGGGAAAACATCAAAGGAAATAAAAACAATGTCGGGAAAACAGAAATGTTAAGTCTAGACTGGAGAGGAAAGGTGAACACTGTGGCTTTAACTGTTACAAAGTTGTTGGACAAACGACCTAAAAGTCTTGGCACCAACATGATACTCTTTCATCTTTGAAGAGACTTATGTTCTTGGAGATTTTGTTATTATTATTTCTAATTTCATCATTTGAACATTTGATTTCCAACACGGTTAGAGTTGTCTACTGACTAAAAGCCTGAATATCAAATGAAACTATAACTTGTACTATAAAAACATATTGACACCACAGTAAAAGTGTACGTTAGCATGAATTTATCTGAAGGATTTGTTGAGTAAATAATAAAATTAATTTTATTACTGCTACCAAAAGAAAACACACTCAGGACAGTTTCTTAAAGTTTGAGTCTTACAGCTGAGCAGTGTGTATGTGTCCAGCTCGTGTGCAGGTGTCTGGTTGGTCATTATTGCTGCCATCTTTCTCTTGACTGGTCAGATAAGATGCTTGTTCTTCTAAAAATATCATGATGGCATAGTGTGCTCCAACCCATTTCGTGTATATGGTGGGCTGATTTTTTGTTTGTTCACCTGGGGAATGAAGTTCCACTGCAGTGACTCGACTTAAAGCCTAGAATCAGCACATCAACTACAGATGTGATCATTGAATCTTGTAATCTAGTTTTGTAAGGTGAGAGTGACCTTTGTATTGATTCCTTGACTTTGAGTGTAAAGCTTTAGTACGTGTTTGGCTTGTAATGGTAAAAGTGAAGATGGAGCAACCACAAGTTAAGGGAAGGTGACTGGGGTCTGATGAAGTCTGCATTAAAGGCAATAGGGCTGTTTCTCTTACCCAACACTTTCACTGTGAGGCCTTATTTAAGCTCTTTTAATATTACTCATTTATTTCTTCTCAGCAATCTAAGGGAAAGGTGAGGTCATTAACCTCATGTTGCACGTGAGGCAAAGATTGTTTAAGAAATGTGCTTTAGATTACACAACTCATAAAAAGCAGCACCAGAACTGACACAAAGGCAACCCTATTCTAGAGGTTTTGACACTGACTGTTAAGCTAAATTCTGTTCTTGCACTGCTGGGGGCACTCTTGCTTGGGTGCAGACATCCGAGCCCAGGACCACTCTGTAGAGTGGATCCAGAACATATTCATCAAGCAAAGATTTCAGGGTCAACAAGAGTTTTCTTATCTCCAAGTACTCTTCAGAAGCTCAGGGTCCAGGCAAGATAATTTCAAAGTTAGGATGGCCAGAATAACCATCTTCTGCACCTCCTCTGCTTTGATTGTTAAAGAAATTGAAATTTAGAGAAACTGAATTTAGAGTAATACATAGTCAACATTATTCATTGTGTATGTTAATGGCAGACTATTAATTATGTGACAATGGGTTACTAATTACCTATTCACTAATAAATACTTAGTTAGCATGCGTTGTGTCTATGTATGTGGCAAGGCACTTAGGAGGTGCTAAATGTGTACTTTTGCAATTATCATAATAAACTGTGTTTTAAGTTGTATCATAATAATGTCTTTCTAATAGGGAGAATTCAGTACAGAGGACCCCAACTTTCAGAGTGACTGTGAATGTGTACAGTATGTCTGTGGTAATTATGACTTTTTCTTGTAATTTTAGACAATAAATAATAGTGGAGGTATATAGAGTCATACATGTTGTTCACTATTCATATGTTTAAATTGCTTTTTGAACTATGTATTGTATATATAAAGCCATTTTACAATGTTTGAGTAGACAAAAACACTATTATGTTTAGTTTGTTCTTTTGTGATATTTTCAGGTATTCTAAAATTTTTGCTAATTGGTAAAAAATGAATTTTTTCCATGAATTTTTACATATTTTTCTTAAAGCTCTTACTAAGACTGTTTTTAACTTTAAAAAGGGGACTATTTCTATAATAATGAACATAGTTTTCCTCATTGTTTTGTTATGGTTCATTTTAATTTATTTTACTGTAAAAATTAACCATCTTCATATTTTTAAGAAAAATTTATTTTATTTTTATTGGAAAGTCAGATATACAGAGAGGAAGAAAGATAGGAGGGAAGACAGAGAGGAGGATCTGTCCAATGAGTCACTCCCCAAGTGGCCACAATGGCTGGAGCTGCACTGATCTGAAGCCAGAAGCCCTGAGCATCTTCCAAGCTCTCATGTGGGTGCAGGGTCCCCAGGCTTTGAGCAGTCCTCGACTGCTTTCCCAGGCCACAGCAGGGAACTGGATGGGAAGTGGGGCTTCTGGGATTAGAACCTGTGTCCATATGGGATTCTAGCTTGTGAAGACGAGGATTTTAGCCACAAGGTTACTGTGCCAGGCTCCTCCATCTTCATCTTAAGTAATAGTAAGCTGTTGTTCATTGGGTTGAAATTTTAGCATTTTATAAGAAAGAAGGTGGTTTGAAAATATGTAGCTTTAAAGCCAGCTACTACGCTCATGAATAATGATTCACATGAAAGCTTATTTTGCAGAACTAGAAATTGGCATATTTTTAAAAAATAATAAAAACTGTGAAATGCTACATGATGCCTACATCAGCTTTCATGAAGAGGCTTACTGCTATTGAATTCAGTTTCACTTACATCCACCTCTAACAGTAGTCTTGTTTTTGATCTTGGAGAGTGAGAAGCAAGTATCTTGCCCTTGCTTGAGATCTCATTATCTGGAACCTGCTTTCAAATGTAACTTCTGGTGGAAGTGCAGATTGGCTTTGTATTGTATGTTATGTATTACATTCTTCATTAAGTAAACTCTTTGCTTTTTAATGGTATGTTAGGTACTGATCTTTATATTGACTTTGAAAGATGTCTGTGTCACAGTGAGCCATAATCCACTGAGCCAAAACTCAGTATAATAATTTTCTATTGACTTTCTATTTTAGAAAAGGATGATGTGTGTGTGTTTCAAGAAGTATTTGTCTTGAATCCTGGACAATCTATGATAAAGTATTTGGAAGGAAACTTCTGTTACACAGTAGATTGCCTAGAAGAAAAAGATAACCAGACAGGTTTTCATATTTTGAATTTTACAATGGTGAATTGCTCAAAAGAATGTGATGTGGTAAGTATACTTTATAAATAATTTGGGTGAGAATTAATGTAACCAAAAGTGATAGCTCCAGAAATTGAAGCCATGAATACCCCAATGAGTTAAAAGCCTATTTTCAGATAGTTCTTGGGCAGTCTGTTGCTTTATAATCTCTGCTATGCATACTTTCACATCTTTGTGCGTGACCTTGAGCTTTAAGCCATTATCGGCAGCATTGCCAACTTGCTCACCCTGCACTGTTAACATTAGCTTCATGAATCTTGGCTCTGAGATATAAAGGTTAATGTCTACCTCATTTCCAATATAGCTTTATAAAGTCAATTATTGTTTGAAGTTGCTCAAGTGCATCCTTAGAAATGCTTACAGCCATTCAGACAGAGTGTATGCCTGTGGGGGGCAGCACCTCCAGAGTGAATGGGTCCAGTGCATTGGTATTGTTCTATGCCTAATTCCATGTACTTTCTCTAAATGCAGCACCAGCTGTATACCCCAGCCACAAGTGATTATGATTGCTGTGGTAGCTGCAAAAATGTATCCTGCAAATTTCAGATGGAAAATGGAACATCAGTTGTATATGAGGTATTAGTTATGTTTTCTTCAAATTGTGTTCCTGGGAAATTGGCTCTGTGTGATGCTTTCTGAAAGATATTCTTGAGTCAGTTAAGTGTGGAAAATTTATCACACACACACACACACACACACACACACACACACACACACACACATCCTTCCTAAATAAAATAGACACTTACACACAGTACATTTTCAATGCATGAAAGTTATATTTATTACACTTTAAAATACCTTATAATTTATATTATAAAGAAGTATGGTTAGCTTGTTTTTAAATTTCTGTTTTTAAGTTCTTTTTTTGTGGTTATCATATCTTCACCTTTCCCTGAAATCTTCATTTATAATGAATAGTTTTGGGAAATGCTGATTTCTTGTCATTGCATGAAAAAAGAACAGCTATTTTTCTTTTACATATTAGATTTTGCCATATTATGTTTTCTGAATTTTAGTATTTTACATTCTTTTTCACGTAGATGTACAGAGCTTTTTGAAGTGAGGGTCATAGACTACTCAAAATTATTCATAAATTCTGATAACATCTAGGAAAAAATGATCTTGTACATGAAATTGAAATCTTTCACTTGTACAAAGACTCTTCAAACCACAATTTGACCAGTATATTAACATGTGGATTATATGATAAAAATATGTATCAACTATCAACACAGTCCAAAAATGAGATAATGATTATTTCAACTGCTTTTATTTTTTAAATGGGAATTTTGAAATCAGGAAAAAAAAAAACTAACCACTTCATGTATCTAAACATTAAAAAAATAAAAGGAATAGATTTTAAAATACCAACAAGATGCATAAAATTAGAACTGTAAGTCACTAAGACTACCATCCAAATATTTTTAAAAGCTGTTTTGGTAATAAGGGAGTGGAAGAAGAACAAACAATTCTCAAGAAAGGAAATAAGAGGACTTGCCATCAGGTGAATATTAGGAAATATAAAGTAGGACTTTTGACATATGACCAGATTACATGACGAATGTTCTTAGTGGAAGCAGACATCTTGTTTCCTCTCTTCTCTCTGTTGCTTTCTTTCATATTGGTATCTCAGTTCTAGCATGAAAACTTACATGTTGGAACACCTAATAATCTATAATATATAAAATATATTTACATATTTACATATTCTTATATAAATCCATAATTTTTACAAATATATATAATTTTTACAAATAAAGTTATATATTTATATATTATACATATGCATTTTATATTATACGTCAAGTTATTTTAGATACAGTTTAATTATTTCAGATAAATTTAGGGATGTTTTCAAGTGGAGCATTTTACATTACATTTCATGATTTTACTTTGTTTTCTTTTTAAAGATTTATTTATTTTTATAGGAAAGGCAGATTTACTGAGAGATGAAGAGACACATAAAAAATGATCTTCCATTCTGGTTTACTCCGCAAATAGCCTCAATGGCTGCAGCTGAGCCAGTCCATAGCCAGGAGCCAAGAACTTCTTTTGGGTCTCTTACACAGGTAATGGATCCCAAAGCTGGGGGCTACCCTCCACTGCTTTCTCAGGCCATAATCAGGGAACTGGGTTATAAGTGGGACATCCAGGACATAAACCGGAGCCCACATGGGATACAAGCACTAGCAGGTGGAGGATTAGACAGTTGAGTCACTGTACCAGCTGCTGACTTTTAATTTCTTAAGTAGGACAGGAAATAGTCCACGTACGAAATATAGTTGGGTCTGGCATGGTAGCCCAGTGGCTGAATTTTCGGCTTGCAACCACCAGGGTTCCATATGGGTCCTGGTGTGTGTCCCAGCTATTCCATCCCATCCAGCTCCCTGCAAGTGGCCTGGGTAAAGCAGTAGAAGATGGCAAAAAGCCTTGAGACCCTGCACCTGTGTGGGAGATCCAGAAGAAGCTCCTGGCTCCTGACTTCAGATTGGCTTAGTTCTAGCCATTGTGGCCCCCTGGCATGTGAACCAACAGACAGAAGATCTTTCCCTCTCTGCCTCTCCTTCTCTCTGTAAATCTACCTTTTCAGTAAAAATAAATAAATAAAAATACATACATATGTACATACATACATGTTTAAGAAAAAGAAATATAGCAAATTGTGATATGCAAATTAGTAACCTTTGTCTTTGCTTTAGGAAGGGAGTACCTGGCATTACAATTGCACCACATACGAATGTGTTAAGACTGATGAGGGGACATTGATTTTGAACTACAGCATGGTCTGTCCCCCCTTCAACGAGACTGAATGCAAAATGGTTTGTATTTGGTTGTAGCTAAGAAAAATCTACCTTAGACATAATTTAGAAAATGCACATAAATATGTTTTCCAAGTTCAAAGTTACCAGGTGGCTTGTTTACTACAGTGAATGTTTTCTTTGCACATATGATTAAACACTGTCATACTTCCTTGGCTTATACTCCAGATTGGGCTCTCACATCCAAGGATTGCTGGAGAATCATTGGGCCAACAGGTCTACCTTCCCCAGAAATCAATCAGATTTTAGACAGTTTTCTTTCTTAAATCAACAGTCAGGTTTATGATGGCATCTGCCTTTTGAGGCATGAAAGCCCAGGTAACATTTTCTATAACTTCTCTGCAAGAATTTATTAAGGAACTCAACAGAAGTCTGCAGCATTGCCAGCCAGCTGGTTCTGGCCAACCAATTTAACCAATTTCCTAATATCAGAACAGAATCTATTGAGAGAATAGATATTTTTAAGGTGATGTAATTCATATTTAAAAAAATCTTTATGGTTTTAATTATTTAGGATGTAATAATCTTTACTACAAGCCTGTTCAGTTATGAAGAGAAATAGCATATTTCATTGATTTTTTTTCAAGATGTATCCTTCCAATGGTGATGGCTGATAGCCAGCCACAATACTTGTACATATAGTTATGTATCAGCTATGGAAAGAAGCGTGGCCTCAACTTATTTCATAGATTCATTATTATAGAGTAAATCATTCCTTTACTTGAATTACAATTAGCAAGTCATTAGATTAGAGTCATCATTTATTTAGAGAATTTTTTGATTAATAAAATATTGAAGAAAAAGACATGGCATTTCAACACTAAATTATATTGAGACTCTCAAACTTTAGTGTAGGTTATTTTAAAGCATTAAAAAATATATAATGATCTCTGTTTAAAATAAAAATACTTTGTTCAGGTGAAAAATATTCCAAGGCATTTTGAAGATGTTCTTTTAAGTAATGTTTTTGTTCTTTTTTCATAATTTTAAGCAAAATATTTTAGTTTCAAAACAAATTTATATTAGAAATAAATTCCAGTCATCTCCTTACAGAGGCTTTGGAATATTTGATAAAAAAGTAAGAGGAAAGTTAGCTTTCAATTTCTAAGTCCAAGCAGAAATAGATCAATGTTGCATTTTTTAAACCATCCCTTTTCTCTCTCTCTAGAATGAAGGAATTATAACACTTTATAATGAAGGCTGTTGCAAAATCTGTAAGTGAAAACACGTCCCATGTACTATTAGACTAGACTTCCCTGCTGATGGTGATTCTAAAATTCAATAACTGTGATGCAGGAGAAAAAACATTTTATAGATACATTTTGAAGCATATGTTGTGTCATGTTTGATAACTTATTTTAGTTTCATCATCTGGAGTGTGAGTAAAGTACTTTCAGTTTAGTCCAATTTTTAATTTAAGTGTTGAAAATTTCCTTACTATGGCATGTCTGATAACATGTTGAATTGGATTTTAATGAGTTTTAAGTTTTAAAATGTCCTATGATCAAAGTTACTTAGAAATGTTAAGGTACACAAAGTTAATTAGTTCGAAAGCTACATTATGTAAAGGAAATGTAAAATACAGTACTTTTCCTTCTATTTGAACAAGTCTATGACTCCACACAATACATTTAGAAAATACCTCTTAGTGAATTACATATAAAAATAACATATGAAGGTTGCAATAGTTATTTTCATAATTAATGTTGTGTGATAACATACTTTCTATTAGCATAAATGACAAAGTCAATTTCATTTTGATTAAGAGTGATTTTAAGGACTGAAACAGAATACAGAGATACTCATACAACCATTTTTAAAGTATTTAGATCTTATATTAGTAAAAAATAGGAATTCTAGGGAAACTGTTATCAACAGTTTTTAATTTAAAATGTATTAGTGAAGCTCTAAGACAAAAATAAAAAACAGTTTAGATGTCAAGATGTAAAGTTTAATTCTTAGATACAAACTATATTTCTCAAATGAGATTTCAAAACTTCCTGGGCACTAGGGTCAGTCCAGTAAGTCTGTAAGAGTAGTCTTCTTTATGCAGAGCCCTAAGCCATATTGAACATAACATTACCATGTATTATGTATTGATACAACATGTTAACATACAATTGAATTTAATAAAAACTACTACATCAGAAAGTATTCTTAATTTTCCATGTATTATTTATTCCTCAAACAAGTTCGGTGAAGTAAGTTCTGAAAAAAATCCCAATTTTAACTATAAAGAAGTTAAGTAACCTGTCCAACTTCTATCACTTGTAAAGGGTGTTGTTGGAACCCAGCACCAAAATTTCAAAGCTTGCCTCTTACCGACTCACAATATTTGGGGGAAAAACATGAATAAATATTAGCAGAGAGCAGAGATGCACTCTGCTGATCAAAAGGCTGAGTTCCCATTCACCTAGTGTGTGAAACACCACGTGCAACGTTGACGTATTACAACAAGCTAAAAAAGCCCAACTTAAGGTGGTCCAACGGCTACATTGTCATTATTTTAGGGCTATTGTAATAACAGACTACCAAGTGAGTCCTTGAAACAACAGAAATTCACTGTGCTGCAGTTCACAGGCTAGAAATCTAAAAACAAGCTTTAGGGGAGAATTAGTTCTTTCTGAGGGCAGTCTTTAGCTTGTAGATGGCCCTCTTAAGGTTTACATGTTCTCTCTCCATGTATGTCTCTGTCTGTATGCTTCCCCAGTTTATGAGGACATCTGTCACATTGCATTATGGCCTTACCAGACATCTCATTGTTACTTGGTTTCCTCTGTACCAATGTTTTTGGCCAAATAATATTACATTCTAGGGTCTATAGGAAATTTGAAAGTCACCATTCAGCCCATAAAAATTTCATTGCTGACACTTTATGGATTATATAACACTTCATATACATTATTGATTTCTGGGACTCTTAGACCACAATAACTTAAAAAACTTAGGTCCATTGGAGATCAGTAAATTATCATTCAGTATCATGTGAATAAAGTGTATACCAAGTATTCATTGCATGAGAAACTCAAGAAACAGAATTTACCCTGGAATTTGAGAAAGTTTAGATTTTACAATCTCACTTTCCTTTTCTTCTGCTTCCTCAGAATCTAGGCTATCTCTTATATGTTAGCTGCAGACACAGAGACTTATAGCAACGTGAGGTCCCTGACTCTCATTACTCCACGTTGATTATCAGAGGTGTAAGTGTTTAGGTTGTCTCAGGGTAGATGGAGAAACCTATGTGTTTAATCATGTACCACTTACTGCCTGCCACACAATGATGTTCCCTATTATGAATACTGTAGATAGGACCACAGATAACCCTCAGTTCTGGGAGGTAAATGTGGTTTTCCCCACAGATGAGAAAATGAAGATTCAAGAAAGTTGATTTCACTAGTCAGGAATGAATGTCAGACCATAAATCTGGACCTTGGGACTCTTAGCTCTACCATGCTCTTTCACCTGTAAGAATTACAGCAAGCCACTTTGGTTTTACTTAGCTCATGTGTAAGGACTTGGGAGCAGCTCCTGCTAATTCTATCAATAGGACTCTTGTCTGTAGGCAAGAGTAATTACCCTTTTGAGTAATCAGACTGTTACAGAGATTGTGAGCACTGTGTTGTGCTAAACCAAATGTGTTATAGCAAAGTCTCAGCAATGGAAAGGAAATGCCTTTGGGTACAAATTCAACTAACAATGAATTATTACTGTCCTAATTTTGTTCATTGTGTCCATGAAGTTATCACACAGGTTTTCACTGGGTGAATACATGTGGCAGACACCCCTTAAGGCACTGGGATTATAAGAGTGAATAAAGTAATATCTGCATGGGCCAGTTCTTATTATCCAGAGGAGGAAGAAACAACAAACAACACCTGCATGCTAACATGACAGAAAGTGATCAGCGCTGTGGAGAAGAGCAGTCCTGAATCAAATGGATGGGGAAGAATGGAGAGCTGGCTTTTAATTTACCTGGATACTTAGTGAACATGTCCACGATGAGGTGTCACTTTAGAAGAGAATGTGAAGGGTGTCAAAAATCAGACAGAGCAACGTGCAGCAATAGCAGTAGGGAAGGGAAGAAGGTGCATGAGGTACAGGCGATGGCAAAGCCTTCTTTCCTTCTTAAACTTACGTGGGAGAAGACAAGCTAATTGGTTGCAGCACCAGAAAAAGGCACAAAATAGCCGAAACCTCACCGATTTGAGCTAGGCTACACTTGAGTGGAAAATAAAGAGAATGAACCAAAGTGGGAAGAGAGGAGATAAAATATAAATTAAGACGGACAGAGTAATGAACTGGACCAAGGGCTGCTAATATGCCCTGGGAGAAGAACTTGGGTGACATTTGAGTTCAGCAATTTGGAGATTATAGGCAAACTGGACAGTTTAATTTTAAGCATACTAAGCCTACCTTCAGCCAGAATAGCTTAATTTTAGCTATCTTATACGTTAAAATTTTGGATAAACATTCATATTAACCAAGGATTTTGTGGCTGAACACACTTAAAAAGTTGGTGATATAATATACCTATTTGCAAGCATGAAAACATGAGCAGGATGATTTCATGATTTTCCTAGAATGACACAGTAAGTTTTAGTAGCCAAACGAGATTAGACACTCAGCCTTTGGCACCGTGCTGCAGGAGTTATGACCACTACCGCAGAACAGAAAATGTGCTCAGCATATTCTGGAGTGCAGTTATTAAGTGAAGGTCTGCCACACACAAACACATAATATATCATTGCTGAACACAAAGTGTTTTTATTTGTAATTTTTCTAAAAGATCAATTCAGAGGTACAAACCCAAGTGTGCGTCATCCATACATTTGAACATGATTGGTGAGAAATTCAATTATATCTTTGGACTAATCTACATCAATATCCATTAAGATAATATAGTTTTTACATCTCTAGTTTCATTTAGTATTGATGTATACACATACTTACATGCTTACTATATATATGTTTATTTATACCTATTGAACTTCACTCCAAAAATTATTTTAAACATACATGGAAACCATACTTAGAATGATACAGCATTACAGGTGTGAAATTTTTATGTGATTATGATACATATTGAAAGATAATAAGATCAAGGGCAAGTATAAATATAATGCTAGAAATTATTATTTACAAAATAAAAGTACATTATACATAATATAGGTAAGAGTGAAATTTGAAAAACCATTTGATACTAAAATGTGCTTTAATATGTCAATTTAAAAATGTAATTGTATTCATATGTTTGAGTTAATTAACTATTTAAATTAGGTCTTTTGGTGAATCAATAATCTGTGTTTTGTTAGGCAAACGTGAAGAAAGAATGTGCCAGAAAGTGATCATTAAATCTGTAATAAGGATACAGGATTGTGTGAGCCGAAGCTCCGTAAGTAGAAACATTATATTGTCACATGCATCTTTCCAGAAGTATTTGTGTTTCAATACTGACATTTTTATAAGCCAACAAAATGTCAACATTTACAGTATTTAACTTTGAAGTTCTTTCTACATTCCAATAAAGTATTTTATTTGTCAGTCTTAAAATGTTCTAAGCATGAACAACTAACAGTCCTGAATGATAATCGTAATCTCTGGGGGAGGGGGAAATTGGATCTAGATATATTTGAATACATAGTTTTAACTATACAATTTTGTTGAGCAAAAAGTAGCTCTAATGATAAGTTCTCCCTTTTAATATGAAGTGTTCAAGTCCATCGTCTACTTGAGCCATGGCATAACACAAGTGACCATGACCTCTGTAAATAGTGATTAATTTATTCCATCTACCTGTGAAATGACAGAGGTGACAACTTCTTTAGATATCAACTTATTCCATCTCTCTATGTCTGCACATTTTAGCTTCAAGTTTATAGCAGCATTACTATGGCTCGCATTGCCATGAAGTATCTGACTCAGTTTTGGAAGTAAGTTTGAGGGTTAGTGTGATGAGGAAGAAGACTTCTTAGTGATAACAAACCATAAATAGTGTTTTTAAAAATTAAAGCAGGGCCTCACATGATGGCTCAATGACTAAAATCCTTGTCTTGTACTTGCTGGGATCCCACATGGAGCCAATCATGTCCTGCTTGCTCCACTTTCCATTCAGCTCCCTGCTTGTGGCCTGAGAAAACAGCATAGGATGATCCAAAGACCTGTGTGGGAGACTTGGAAGAAGCTCCTGGTTTCAGATGGGCTCAGCTCTGGCCTTGCAGCCAGTAGGGAAATAAACCAACAGAAGATTTTTCTCTCTGTATCTTCTCTCTGTATATCCGCCCTTCCAATAAAAAATATCTTAAGTAATAAATACAAGTTAAAGCATTTATTTTTTCATTGTCTCCCCTTACAGATAAGTGTTGCATCTTGTGATGGAAAATGTCCATCAGCTACCATATATAACATCAATATGGAAAGTCACCTAAGATTCTGCAAGTGTTGTCGGGAGCACGGAGTGCGAAACTTGACCGTGCCTCTATATTGCTCAGGAAATGGCACTGAAATTATGTACACTCTCCAAGAACCCACAGACTGCACATGCCAATGGAATTAAACTCATTGTTTCCAAGAAAATTGACAGCAGAGTAATGTCAAATGCAATGAGTTTATCACTTTTTAGGGACTTAGCAGATTGATACTGCTAAACAACAATGTATTTAGGGGGATTTTAGGTTATGGCTATTTAATAGTTGGTACAAAATACATACAACTTCAGTGACAGAATTTGTGTTATTGTTTTACTGTACTGTAGAAAAGCAAATGGGCTGAAATTTTTCAGCAGAAATGCTTTTATTCATTTAATTACAACATGATGCAGATGTGGAATATTTTCACTTAGATTAATTTGTAGAATTCTTTTAGTTTCATCCAATAGTTATTTCATTTGCAGTGTCTGCTGTAGCTTTCCAAGTTAGGATATGCTTAATGTTCTATTACTTAATACGGTGAGTATGATAAGTTAAAAGGAGAAAAAAGCCACAAAGGATGCTTAGAGTCAGATTGTAGAACTAAGAGATTTGAGATTATTTAAAATCTGAATGGATAGTAGTGATGTTTTTGCAAATTCTCCTCATTTTACAGATTTAATAGATAACCAGGAAAGTCATGCCTTGTACATATTAATTAACAAACAATACGGTCAATTGTGTTAGATTAATTTCTAGTTTTAAAAAATCTTTGTTTTATGCTCTTTTTATGTGCAGTAAAGTATATCTGAGAATCTTTAATTGTAAAGAGTTTGCTTTTGATAGACTTAAAATTTTTAATTCTATTGTGCTTTTTAAAAGCTACACACACACTAATAGTTTTTCAATAAAAAGGACAGGAGAAACATAGCATTGGCTACTAAATAAAGGAGGGAGATCTTGAGCTTTTATTTTTTATACTGTCATAACTCTCATTGAAAATGATTTTGCTATTTGACATTTAGTTGGATACCTGAGTTTAACATGTATTTATTTACTGAGTATTAATGCTGTTAGTGATGCTGCTTTGCCAATGAAGAATGAAATAAAGTTATCTGAATGTAATAATTTTACAACGGAATACTGTACTTTTTAAATGCTGTGGATTATCGACATTCACAAGGAATATGCTCTGTGATCCCTGAAAATTCCCCACACTCTTGGCTACCTTTAGTACATGATTTTTTAAGTTTCCTTTTCAGCCAAAAAGAGACAATGCTTTCCATTATGTGACTGTAAGTCTCAAATGGAGTCAAACATCGATGGCAGAAGAGCAAATCTGGACTGAAAGCAGGTGCTGGAGGCGGACAGACAAGGATCATGCTTGAGTAAGGTCACTTATCCCCACATCCTGCTTCCAGTTAAAATCTGTGCTTTCTTGAAATACTGCAGCTTACTGAGCATTTTGGGCTTGCAGAGCTACTTAGATTTAGGTAACGGAATTAATGTTAAAATAACATAAATGCAAAATCCCAGTGTCTACTGTATATAAAAATTGATATACATTGTACTTAATGCATTTCCTTTACCTGCCAAAATTTCAATATTCTATATATCCTGCTAATATGTAGATTGAATTAGATGCTTTGCAGTATAGAGGCCAGTGTTGTGGCATAACGGTTTAAGCTGCCATCAAGTCCTGGTCATTCCACGTACACTCAAGCTCCCTGATCATGTGCCTCGGAAAGCAGTGGATATGGTTCAAGTCTTTGGGCTCCTGGACCCAACTAGCAGACCTTGATGAAGTTCACGGCTCCTGATTCATGGCTTCAGCCTGGCTCAGTGTCAGCTGTTACCATTTAGGGAGCAAATGAGCCAATGGTGGGCATCCTCCCTCTCTCTCCCTCTCTCTTTTTGTCCCTTTTACCCCCTTTGCTTGCTCTCTCTCTTTGTAACTTTTCTTTTACAAATAAATAAATCTTTGAAACTGCTTTGCATGACAAAACCTTAACATATTTCTTAAGGGAAAAATGTTACACACCTTATATAAAAGTACATATTGTTTATTGCCTATTTTTATTTCCATACTTGGTAAAATAATTATTAAATTAAAATATTAAGTAATGTCGGAATCTGTTTGTGGGAAAGTGTAACCCTTGTCCTAGAATTTCACAAACACTGAATATAATAGTGCTGGGCACTATCTGAAATGCTTGGAAGACTAGCAAAGCAAAACTGACGCAGTCACTCTCTCACGTCAATTACATTCTAATTCCAAAAGCAGGGATTAAGCAGCCAAACCTATGAGAGAGACCAAAGGAGCTACCAGAATACAATGGAATATAATAAAGGAGGAAGGTGACGCTAAAGTCCTCAGAGGGTCCAAATTGGCCTTCAAGGTTGGTGGTCTTAAACAAATTGTGAGAGAAGCTCATTCTTACCTTAGAGTGGGAAAGGTCAATTCTAATTCTGTCTTGATAGCCAGGAAGATAAATGAAGGAATAAATTTAACAGGGAAAAACAATTTGTCCAGTAAAAGAAAAAAAAAGAAGGAAAAACCAAAGATATACTAGGACAGAGTATCACTAACAAAAGCTAATTTACCAGTGTCTAAAGAGTTGCTGAAGTACTCACAAAAGGAACAAATTGAGAGCCAATAGGAAACTGAGCCAGGTACTGATAGCTAAAAGAAAACAGACACACTATTCGACCTTTTTGCAGCAAGGATAACTAAGTCCAATTTGAATAAAGACATTTCACAATTCCTCACTTATGAAACTGATAAATTAAAAAATCATAAGTTTAATGAAAGTTTCATTTTTTAAGGCTTTGGGAAGCCAAGCACTTGCGTGATGCATTGGCAATAGTACAGAATCACAGATATCCCAAGGAAGACCTTAAAGGTGCCTTCTGGTCTGTCCGAACCATTTAGGAAGTACATCCTGAAAGATCACTGCACAAATGCAAACTGGCATCTATGCAATGCTGTCTACTGCAGCAGAACCACAACAGGAACGACTCTAACCAACAGCAGTTGAATAAAGTGTCTTAATCCAGCCAGCACTATGTAAAGAAAAAGGAGAATTATTTTATCAGTTTTAGGTAATTTACCGAATATATTTTTAAATGAAATGAAATACATAAATATAGAATGGTATATATACTTTGTTTAAAAAAAAGAAGGCTTATAAAACAAAAGATAAAAAATAAAATATTTACTTGAATTTGCGAAGGAAAAGTAAACAATTATCCAATAACATGGCACAAAAAGATCACAAACTTGAATCAAATAGATGGATATTAGGAACGGAATAACATTCAGTGTATACTTTAATACATCTAAGGATTTAAAGATTTATTTTTTTATTATTTTTTCATTGGAAAGGCGGATATACAGAGAGGAGAGACAGAGAGGAAGATCTTCCATCCGATGATTCACTCCCCAAGTGAGCGCAACGGGCCGATACTATGCCATTCCGAAGCCAGGAGCCTCTTCCGGGTCTCCCACGCGGGTGCAGGGTCCCAAAGCTTTGGGCCGTCCTCGACTGCTTTCCCAGGCCACAGGCAGGGAGCTGGAAGGGAAGCGGGGCTGCCGGGATTAGAACCGGCGCCCATATGGGATCCCGGGCGTGCTAGGCGAGGACCTTTAACCACTTGCGCCACCGCGCCGGGCCCAATACATCTAAGGATTTAAATAAAGTAGAAAATAATATACTAATAGAAATCATACAAACGAGCAGTAGAAGTTGACATGAGAAGGTCCAATTTGATCATCTGAGAAAATAAGAGAAGTCCTCTGAATTATGTAGTTCATAGACAGCAATCTGAGTTATGAGTATGAGTAAACCAATAAAGCATTTCCAAGCAAAGAGAACAGAAAATACTAAGATCGTTTGATAGGAAACAAGCATAGAGCAAGAAACTAACAGGCTATGTTAGGGATTTATTATTATTATTATTATTATTATTATTATTATTGTTTGCATTTTGAGTAATGCGGGGCACATACAAGACAGATTTATTGAGATGCACTGAGAGGTCAAATAAACAATGAAATGACTGAGATACCATTGCTGCAGAGTATGGGCATGGATGCAGGGGATCTTGCATAGTATAACATAATTGCTGAGTGAGTACTGTATCATGCTCAAAGGTCTCATCCACCCAACATGATGTTTGCATTTTGGCCCATACCAGTGGATGCAGATAAATCCAAATTTTAATCTTTGTTTCTCAAGTTTGATGGAGGGAGATTCTACAAAGTGTGAACAGCCAAGGAGTCAGTATCTTAGGTGTCATGCTAGAATGTTAGCTATCTTAGGGGTATCAGGATTGTGCTTGCACCAGTGAGGGTCGCTGCTCATCTGTCTGAGCTCACAGAGCGCTGTCATCCTCTGCTCTCATATCAGTTGCTTATTTAGTTGACATTTTGGGGAGAGTGGATGATGGATCTCTCCCTCTGGAGGTAAAACCTATGCAAGCAGGGAGGAGTTTGCTCCAGCCTTACTTTCCTGTCCCTGCATCTGAGATTCTTTCTCAGTAAATGTTTACTAAACTCTATTTGTTAATTAAGTGTAAATATACAGGTAATTTCTTTTAGAAGTAAATTCCAATCACCACCTTACCTTGGCAGGAAAGATAATCCTAATGGACTGTGGATCTGAATCACTTCATATGTGCCCACACCCTCGATGTGAAAACCCCCCTTTTTTTTATTTAGTCCCAATTCTCAACATGATGTTTGCATTTTGGCCCATACCAGTGGATGCAGATAAATCCAAATTTTAATCTTTGTTTCTCAAGTTTGATGGATTACTCTACCCAATATAACTGATACCTAAACATCTTTGTGTAAAAAAAAAATCTGTTGCAAAAGTTATTGTTTAATACTATAGAAAACATGCTAGAAAAGTGATACCATACATTTTTGGAGAAAGTTATATTGCAGTAAATGCTAAACCTAGAATAAAACTAAAAAAATGGCATTACATTTAAGAAATGAAATACCGATGAAAAAGTCCTGCTAATCCACCTTTTATCTTCTTAGAAATCATTCCAGCAAAATGAATCCTTTAACAACAAATATTTCCTGTTGTAGTGACAGGACTTTGACTAGCTTTCATTACTTATCAACTTGTAAAAGATATTTTTCTGAGAAAATTTAGAGAAAAATATTTTCTTTGGAAGAAGGTATTTATAATGATTTGTGAGTAGAAGAAATACAATAGGACATAGAAAGATTAAAAAAAAAACCTTTTTTTTTCTAGGCTTAAGGAAGGATGTTGTAATGCTGATCTTTGATTTTTATGTACAGTTCCATTTTAACCTTAGAAATACTACATTCCCGTAGCCTGAAATGTACTTCAAATTGGCTTTTCCAAAACGCAAAGTGTCAAGAAAGAAAGGTCCTTGTGCATTTTACAAAGGATCCTGAAATTAAGATGATCAAAATTTAAAGATAAACTCTGATGAGTTTCAAGAATCTTGTGAATTGCATATTTTTTCCCAGATATGAATTTGTTAAAACTTTGTAAATATTTGTATTCATTTAAATTTCATTTGAGAGAGTGTGAGATATTATCTTCATTCCCCACATTCTTGCAAAGTTAAGACTGGGTTAGGCCAAATCCAGGGGCCCAGACTTCACCAGATCTCCCATGCTAGAAGAGACCCAAATTTTGTTTTGTTTTTTCTTGGTTAAGTCTTCACTAAATATATATTTTTTGTACAATAGTTATCATAACA